AAATTTGCAGGCTTACACCGATGTTACACAGTGAGCCAAAATGCTCCCTCTCGCGCAAAAATCGATGAGGAATTTGCCAGTTACTGAAGAAACAATCGCTTCTTATAGTCTAGACTACAAAAAGTGCAAGTGAGTTAGAAATATCAAACTAAAGATCAAGGGGTTATACAATACTTCAAAGTCGACCAGATCTTAAAAAATGATGCTTAATATTTATTTTTCTCTGAAGATTTTCAAGAAGATCTGAAAAATGTTATATAATTTAGGGAGAATAAGGGATAATACCAAACATGGTAGAATGTTAAAGAGAATGTAAAATGGTAAAGCAGAATATAAGAAGGATCAGGAGAATGTAAGATAGCTAAGAGGAATAGAGGATATGGAGAATATAAATAAGATAAGAAAGAATGCATTGAACCAATTCTGCAGATTCCATTAATCTCTGTGAACTCGTGAACCCTGTCTGTTTCTTGGTTTAACAGGAAACCAGGGCAAACCAAACCAAATATATCGGGATATACCAAACCAAACATATCGGGATATACCAAACCAAATATATCGGGATATACCAAGCCAAATATATCGGGATATACCAAGCCAAATATATCGGGATATTCTAAACCAAATATATCAGGATATACCAAGCCAAACCAATCGGAATACTCCAAACCAAATATATCAGGATATATAAAACAAAATATATCAAGATATACCGAACCAAATATATCGAGATATTCTAAACCAAATATATCAGGATTTAACAAACCAAATATATCGGGATATTATAAACCAAATATATCATGATATATAAAACAAAATATATCAAGATATACCGAACCAAATATATCGAGATATTCTAAACCAAATTTATCAGGATTTAACAAACCAAATATATCAGGATATAACAAACCAAATATATCGGGATATTATAAACCAAATATATCAGGACTAAAAAAGTTTCATTAAAAAAGCTTTAATAAATACTACCTTCACTGTAAATATATATTTCAATATCATTACTTATAATATAATATGTATCGAATATCGATCCTATGAAAATGTAGATATTTTTAAAGAAACGTTTCCATCTCTATTTTTCACCCCTTGAAGCTTACACCACAGTATTAAGAAGGAGTGTCTTATTATTATTCAAATCTATTTATTGATCAAAAATAAACAAATAAAAATGAACTTTTTATACATAACAACGATATGTACATTTCGATTTTCTGATTTTAATAAATGTGTAGACGAAAACAACAATAAACTATGTAGGCAAAGATTAATAAAATGAAATAGCCGTGCCAAAAAAGTAGCAATTTAGAAACTGGCAAAATTATACAGGGTGCTTCAGGTATGCATGGTTTTAAAAGGCAACATTCTTTGAGACGGATAGAGACGATTGCGGAGAGAGCCGTTATTGAAGATCCAACAGCTTAGCACCATTGTTTCTTTTTAAAAGTTAAAAGTATTTGAAAAACAGAATTATTGTTTTGCACCATCATCATAGAGTTATAGCTTTGCACCATCATCATAGAGTTATAGCTTTGCACCATCATCATAGAGTTATAGCTTTGCACCATCATCATAGAGTTATAGTTTTCCACCATAAAAATAAAAACGACTGCGGAGAGAGCTGTTATTTTAAGTCCAATAGCTTTGCATCATTGTTTCTTTTGTCTGATGTCTACACTTAAGAAAATTACATAAATAATTTATTTACACTTGTAATATGGAAGGGTGTAGGTAGCAAAAATCGTGGAAACATTATATTCTGTAAAACTGCAGTACGTTGTATACATTATAATGATTTAATATTGTAAACTTAGACATAAAGACATTATTCATTGAAACTGCGTTTCAATTTAATGCTTAGCATGATTAGCTTAAATCATGCGACATACTTAAATTACTCTATAAACATGGGCAGAGATAGCTTAACTGTGTTATATCTATTCTTTCTAATCTTATAAATACGTTACATTAAGCTTTAACTGTGCGACAAATACATAATACTAATTGTCTAATTGTGATATAGATACCATCGTAGGAATTATAACTACGTCTATTCATGTTAACTTGTGACACAAGATATTAAATAAAGTTAATTGATAGATTAACTCCGTACTGTTTACTGTGCGAGAGTAGACCTGAAACCCTGAAGCTTGTTTTCAGGTGGATTGTCCGCGTTTATTTGGTATCGATATCTAGCTTGTTGATAGCTAGACTGTTTTGATAAGCAGCTCAGATTGTCCCCATCATTTGGGACCGACATATAGCTTGTTTGATAAGCTATGCTTGTGTCCTTGTGCAGCATTTAGAGCAGATCGGCCCCATCATTTTGGATCGACATATAGCTTGTTGTATGGCTAGGCTTGTGTTCCTGTGTGGTATTCAACGCACCGGATCAACCCTATCATTTGGGATCGATATAGCTTGTTGGATAGCTAGGCTTGTGTCCCTGTGTGGCATTTAGAGCACTGATCTAATAGCTTGTTGGATAGCTACACTTGTGTCCCTGTGTGGCATTTAGAGCCAGGTGGGTTGTGTCCTGGTTGACCCTGATAGCGGACGGATTATACCTGGATAGATATGTTTCGAGAACTTGTTATGGAGTAGGTGTTTACTACATGTATAAGATCGAATAGTTCACATAGTTAAATAAAAATAGTAGGGGGGGGGGCACAACGAATGTGCCACCCCTACACAAATGCTCTTGTACGCCTCTGCAAATATATCAGGGTATATGAAACTAAATATATCAAGATATAGCGAACCAATTATATCAGGATATTCTAAACCAAATATATCAGGCCTACCAAACCAAATATACCAAGAATACCAGGCTATACCAAACCAAATCTGCTGTGTAAAAAACTAGGGAAGCAGGGAATGTGTTAGGTATTTTCCCAAAGGCGTTTTCCCAAGGGCGACTTGCCAAGTGTCAATTTCACAAATGTCAACTTCCAAAATGTACAATTAATTCACGAGAGGGAAGTTCAGAAATGTTAAGTAAGGCCTTCTGAGGTTCCGCAGGCTGCAATGCAGTGCACTGTGATCTTGCCAGGCTACATTTGTTGCATAAAACGTACTGGGTCTACCCTACACCGGGTAGCCTGATTGGACGGTACGACTGAATACATATGCAGTATGGGGTGTACCGGCACGGATCTTGCAACTTTAGACTGAAGTGAATGGTTTGGTGGGGGGACCGAGTGCTGCGGCTGGAACAAGCGAGGGGGCCGCACGCTGAGGCTAGGACAGACTTGGGAAGTTTCCGATTGGGAAATTGTACATTATGGGAAAATGCCCTTGGAAAGTTGCCGCTTGGGAAAATATTTTCGAGAAAATACCCAACACCTAAACCTTGGCAACGCCCGACAATCAAGCTAGCTATAGTAATAATTAAATACAAATAATGAAGTGTCTAATTTACAGCTGCTGCTTTATATTTATAAATAAATGCCATAGATAATCACAATAATAAATGTTAAACATTTTAACTGTAAATTTAAAAAGATATAAAACTGCGAAGATTTTATTGTTGCAGAAAGTGAAAGTAAGTTTATGTGTTATATTGAAGCACTAGAACCCCCCTCCCCCCCCTCTCCCCAATAATACACTTCCATATAAACAGGGTTAAACCTACTTTCAATTTCAAAACTATCACATATCTTGTAAACATTATTTCAAAAAAATTATTTAATGTAATTTATGAAAAAAATGTGAAAAATATGAATGTTGTAAATAGTCTACTATAGACTACCGAAGAGTAAGTTGTATAAAGGGAACCCCTGCTATAAAGAAGACCTCTAATATTATTGCTATAATATAATTCAAATTCTAACATTGACAAATACCAAAAAGTACGACCCTGAGCAGCTAGAATAATATGGGGATCAATAAGATTGTAAAAAAAGTAAACCCCCCTAGCTCCACGGATTAAGAAAATTTAAAATTTGCCTTGCAAAGGTTCTTAATATTTATCCCTGAAGCTAAATTCTAACGCTTGGTCGAACTTGGACTTCATGACCTAGCAGAATTCATAGTATAATGCTATTTGGTTGCAAAGATCTAGACAATATAAGCATGCACGGCAAGTGATCATGGAATTCCTTTTACATAAAACTAATAAAAAATTTTAGAAAAAAAGAGAAAAAGTTTGCAGGAACTCTTTTTATAAAAGGACCGGTCGATCATGTTTCTATGGCTTTGGACATTAAAATAACAACATTAAACTATCAGACATTGGGACAAAGAATAGATAGATTCTACACAACAATGTAAATTAGGGAAAAATATTAGTGGACAAATTTGTTTGGAAAAACATTATTTAAAAAATAAATTTAAATAAAATCAGTAAAAAATGAATACATGTTTAATAATATGCAGAATCAAAATTTCATTTTTCAAAATATAATCGATGAAATTAGCAACAATCTTGCTAAAATATCAACAAAAAGTGACAATTGAGCAAACTTTAATCCAAATTCTAAGTAAAAACTGAAAGTATACTTCTAGTGTCTAGGAAAAAAGATATCTACAATAAGTTTAAAATCTAAATATATTTTCAGTGTGTTCAAATTTAGATGATTTAAAAGCAATAAACAATATTAACCTGAGAAAATTTTAAGTGATAAGAAATTTTAAAATACGATGAATAAAATATCTTTTTTTTGATTTTCTTAAAGACTATAAAAAATTATTTTATTTTATCAAAAGGAAAATTTATTGTTTTAAAAAGTAATTAATTTTCTGTTTTAATAAAGAATGTGTTTAAACTCCCCCCTTCCCCCCCCTCACCAATCCCCCTACCTCATATCGATATTTAAGCTTATTCATGTAAACTAGGCATTTTCTAACTGAATCCCAGGTATTGGCTATTTTTTGCCGCCAAGTGTTAAGTTGGCGGCATGCTGATCTCTGATTGGTTGGTTAGCGGGACGAGTTCAGGGCACGACAGTGAAGGGGTTGTAGAATATTTTCAGTTCTAGCGGAACCTTCCACTTGTATAGTACTCAGGTGTGACACACACACACAAACAGACACTCTTAGCCAACACACAGTTGGACCTTGATGTTGTGATATCGAAATGGTGTCGTACATGTCAGTAATGTTTCCAAACCATGGTAGACCTGCCCCACCTCCAACCAACTCCGCCCACTACCCTGGCTACCACGCCTACCCTAACTACCCGCCCCCTGATCAGAATTCAAATCTTCAGTTGTACTCTGGAATTCCACATCAATTCGATTTCGGGCATGGAGGAACGCCCTCAAGCTGGGCTCACACCAATTGGCCCTCCACTAACTTCCCCGCCTCTTGTCGAACCTACGAGTGGGAGGGGTCCACCAGCCTTCCCAATCAGTCCCCGGAGGTAACGCCCACCAGTGAACCAACCCATACATCACCTCGTTCTCCCTACACAGCCCCTGATCCAAGAAATAGATCTCCACCCCCAGCCTCCGACCAGTTCAACCACGCCCTACCAAGCCATTACAACTCACAGATATTGACCCCGCCCCTGATGTACAAGCAGGAGCCCCCAACCTCAACAACAGAGTTGAACATGGGACCGGCCTCGATGTCCTCGGACTTGAACGATGACTGTCCATCCCCCGGATCTCCGGCCTCTAGGCCAGGACCTGCGAGGTCCCCCTACGAGTGGATGAAGAAGCCTGCTTATCCCTCCCCCGGGAGTCAGTCCGACCCGAATGGTGAGTTCTTAGGTGACATTTTACACAAAATAAGGTTTAGGGATGCGAAATAAGTAAATTTTATATCAGATTAAATTCATTATAACTCCACTTTTATATGAGCTATGAACAGTCAAATTTTAAATTTCTAATATGCAACAAAATATTTTTTTTCTCAAACTTTGGTGTAAAATCAAATTTAGAGAAGCTAACAAGAGGAACCAAAGTCGTACCAGTAATTCCGAATAATTTTGACCTTTTCTTTTACCTTGTTTCTTGTTGTAGATTGAAGTGGGGCGGTTGTATTTTGATTGTTTTGATGGCAAATTTGTATCTATGTATATGAATGCAGTAAAGTTTTAGTAGAAGTAAATACTGTCAGCGCCGATTGAGAAGTCATATCTCTCTTTGGATAATGAGATAGATATAAAGATAGATGTTACCGCCGTAGTGTTTTTATTGGTTCAGAATAGACACCAAACACATGATTGAACCCTGATTGGATTAGGCGCTAAAGGAATCGGCGTACACGTGTGAATGGGGATCATTTCTTTTGCAAGATCAAAATTTGTACGGATTCATTTTCGTCAGTTTAAAAAAAAAGTTTGTTTTCTACAGATATTCATGACATTGTGTTTATATATCTAAGCATAAGCAAGCAAGGATTAGCGGCCTTTTGTCGGCTTGAGTCGGCCTTTTAATCAATCATGTTCACAGCCTTGTAACAACATGCATTCTCAACCTTTCATCGGGATTTTATGAATCATGTTCATTGACATTAACCCTGCTTTTCTGGATAACAGTGTGGGGGGGGGGGAAATCCCCTACGCTGTTTTTATTTATATTTTTATATTTTTTGTAATTTGAAAAATGAGGTCGATGTTTTTTAGTTTTTCTATAAATGACACCAAATCTGAAAGAACATTTTGTCAAATTTTTTAATTTTGATTTATTTTTCAGCTCGGACCCGGACCAAGGATAAATATAGAGTTGTATACAGTGATCATCAGAGATTAGAACTAGAAAAAGAATTTCATTATAGCAGGTAAATAAAATTGTATTATAGCAGGTAAATAATATTATATTATAGCAGGTAAATAATATTATATTATAGTAGGTAAATAATATTATATTATAGTAGGTAAATTAAATTGATTTTCAGTTTCTAAAAAAACATTGGTCGAATTTTTTGTAACCTGAACTTGTGACTTAAACTCTTCAATTTAAAAGTGTACGCTGCAAATATAAAGTTCAGTTGGTAAAGCTTAGCGCTTTCTCATAAAAAAGTTTTGCTCTTATTTATAATCATTACAAATATATGTCAACTTGTTTGATATTTATTTTTTCTAAAAAAGGCAATATCAATATTTTTTGCTAAAAAAGGCAATATCAATATTTTTTGCTAAAAAAGGCAATTTCAATATTTTTTGCTAAAAAAGGCAATTTCAATATTTTTTGCTAAAAAATGCAATAAAAATACTTTTTGCTAAAAAGGCAATATAAATACTTTTTGCTGAAAACAATAGCAATATTTTCAAATTTTAACATTTAATAATTTTCTGATAATTTAGATATATAACGATAAGAAGAAAAGCTGAGCTCGCTAATGGAATTGGACTTTCAGAAAGACAGGTAATTAATCAATCAATCAATTGATATAATTACAGGGGTATTCATTCTGTAGAATATTTTTTTAAGAGTGGGGGGGGGATTGGAAATTGGACTAAAATTGGAAGTTTTTCTTAAACGTTTCACCTAAAAATATTTTGTTTATTTTGATAATTCAACGCTAAAATTTTAAAACATTTTACAAAAAAGTTGTTATCATTATTTTTTCTTTAATTTATACAAACTAAAAAAATTATATAATAATCAATTATTATCAATGTTATTATTATCATTGATAGTGTTTTATTTCTAATGGGCACATAGTTATTATTGTTATTATTATCATTTATATATTACTATTATAAGTAGTACTGCTTTTTTATAATTATTATTATTAAAAGTAGTATCATTATTTCAGGTGAAGATCTGGTTTCAAAACAGACGAGCCAAGGAGCGACGATCAATGAAGAAACAAGAAGATGTTCTCGTTAAAGAGAAACTAGATGGATCAGTTCCCATGCAGGGGGCTTTTTCACCCCACAACATGGGGATGTCCGACGTGTTCAACCCCTCCTCCCTTGGGATGCATTTTAATCAATCGTTTCCACACTCCTTCCCACCTTTCATGAAGTTTGAATAAAAACATTCTATTTCTAAGGAAGTTTGCAACGATGATCGATGCTCGATCATCGATTGAAGCGTGATCGGCATTACATCATGAATGAAAATTTTTTACAATCTTGCCATAATCAGCGGAAAAAATCCATTAAGTATTCAAATAGCAAAGCAGACAACAAACAATAAAAAACTGACGTTATAGAAACAAAAACATAGATTTATTTCATCTTAAATTAAAATAGGAATATTTTTTCTGGATTTAAGAACTGCTTGAAATTTAACCCCTTCTAATCTGTGATATATCAGTGTCTTTAATAATAATATTAATATTATGTAGCTTTATGTTCAGCACAATATCTTTCGGTGAAAATCCGCAATTTGTTAGAAAAAAATTGCTGTTGTGTACAGATATTTATGTACTAAAGTTCTTAACGCTTCTTTTGTACAACGATAGAAATCTGTGTCCTTTGTAAGAATGTACATGAACAGTTGCAAAATGTTTATAAGTGAAAGTGTACAATCGCACCTAAATTTTTTTTCTGCAGTAGTACAGTTGTTGTGTACGAACCAAAGGACACATTGTGCACGACAGCAATCATTTTCAGATCTCAATTCGATGTGGGATTCGAACAAAAGGCGCGCGCGTCGTTTTACGGCACGCGCCCTACGAATTCGGTGAACAGTGTATCCATGTCTAGAACAATGTTGGTTATTAAAAGTATTCATAAAACATTGTTTGTATTTTAATTAATAAATGTTATTTCTTAAATTGTTTAAATTTAGCCTTCAATAATAAATAATTGATGTATGCGCACGGTACAATGCACATGTAGGTTTAGTGTCTTCTAGGTTGCACCTACTCAAAAATTATAAATCAATATACAAAACTTCAAAATATTTCGAAGTCTGATGTTCGTACTAAAGTTTTTAACTGGTTACTTTATTTAAGTTCACCTTATAAAAGATTCTTTGTAATGATTTTTTTTTAAATCAGGCGGCCGGGGAAGAGGGGTTGGCCGATAGTTCTACATATTCAATAAAAATATACTAATCTAAATCTTTATATATAAAGTAGTAATTGTCTGTCTGTCTATCTGTGTGTGATCATAACCCATAAACCCCGAGACCGATTCGCCTCAAATTTTCATTGGGGAACTTGGCAATGGATGTTCTCAGCTGGATTGGAAAACTTGAAAATTAAGTTGGTTGACTTTTTTAGCAAAAGTTTCAAAATAAAATAATAGCGAAATTCATGGTGTCAAAAATATTTATAAAGTAAATAGTAATCTCAGTTTGGATGTTTGAATGTCCGGTCATATCTCAGATACCCTTGGCCAATTGATTTTAATAAAAAGCATTTTTTTGTTTGTCATTGATTTGAAAAAATGTTTCGATACTTAAATGTTCTGAAAACTTGTTTGTTTTTTAACAAACTGTTCAGATACTCTCTAAAGTACTACATCATAATCCAAAAAGAATCACTAAGTGTGAATTTGCTTCCAAAATTTTACAGATTATTTTGATTCCTCTTCGATATCCCTCGGTAATTGTATCCTGGGATAACTTTAATTAAAGGGATCCATTAATTTTACTCAAATTTAAAAGTGCCTAAATTTGATATCAATACCAACCGTTTAATATTAAAGTTACTCCACAAAAAAGCTCCGAACTATGAATTCATGCCTGTGCAGTGTCAGAAGACCAATTTAACTAAAAAATTTTAATAAATTTGTTTATATTTTAGAATTGGAAATATGCACCTAGTGAAAATTTTATAAATATTTGAAAATTATAAAGAGTGTTTTAAAATCAAGGATTTTTTATTTTTTACTTTTAGGTTAGATTAACAATCAGTAATACCACTATTTATAATTTGTAAAGATTTCACAAGGAAAACTTTACTGACTTTGCTATAGATATCACCCAAATCAGACATTTTATGATGAAGGGAGCACAACGAATTCTCATCTGATAACTGAACTCCTCTTTTATGAATTTGGAAAATTTGATTGACATAGGACAGAGCAACAAAATGGAGGCCACCCTCTAGATCATTGGCTATGCCATACAACCAGTTGTTTTTATTTTCTGTCTTTTGAGATTCTTCAGTTGTATCTCTTCTTCTTCTTCCAATAAAGTTGACATGGGATAAAATATTTTGAATTAAACTTGTCGATTTCTTAACAGGTTTTATCTTTGTCACTTCGGAATTTACACTTTTTTCCGAACTTTCTGATATGTAACCAATTTTTAACGTCTGGGATTGAGGTTGGGTTTCAAGTTCAGATGTCGTATTTATCGAGTTTTCAAGTCGTCTTCGTCTGCCCGCCATTGCCATGTTCATGTTGTTTGCGGCATTGTTCGCGTTCGCAATGTTTACATTGACTAAATTATTATTGTTGTCGTTGTTGTTGTTATTATTGTTGTTGTTGTTGTTGTTGATGTTGTTCGCTGTGTTGATCACTGAATTCACAACAGCAATCGCAAAACTTTCAAGAATTTCAATAACGATTAGTTCAGAGATTTAATTTTAAGAGCTTATGAAATTATTTAACAATAAATTTGATACAAAAGATAATTGCCCAATATGACATTTTCCCTTAATGCATTTGTTCGAAGGTACACTTTCCCGAAGCTATAACATGCCTAATGGCAAATGTACTTTTAGGATTGCATAATTGGTTCTATTGTAATTTGTCTTTTTTATTCAATCGATCTGTAAAATCTGTCATAAATGTTAAGACTTGAATATCACAAAAGAAATATCGGAATGAATTCCTGAGAAACCCAAAGGCTGACATTCCACTTGACTCCGCGCAGTCTAAATTCATGATTTTCATATTTTAAAAGGTTTAAAGGGATTGACAATATTTAATTCTCTATTTGTAATGTGGCGTGTCAAATTTACAACGGCACTTTAAACAGATATACAAGTCATAATGAGAAAGGCGTTATTATATTGAAAAAAGTATTGAATTCTGACAATGTCTGTTTATACAGGGTGAGTCAAAAAAAGTGTGATTTGCGGCGTCTGGTGCACAATTGTACCAACTCTCCTATCACAGGAAAATTGCAAAATTGTAATAAGAGAATTCGCAATTTTCAGTTCTGGTCTAACTTTTATGGAAAAGTTATTTAATTTCTCTAGTTCCTTTCTTCTGTGTATATTCTAAAGTATTTAATATACGCTGTTCAGTTGAAACATTACAAACCATTGAAAAACAATTGTTCCGTAAAAATTAGACCAGAACTGAAAATTTTGAATTTTCCTATTACAACTTTGCAAATTTTCTGCGATTCTTTTTAGAATTTTAGATTCGATAGAAATAATTTATTTACACATTTTTGTTTTTCTAAACTTTTGATTTTGAGAGAAAAAAAAGGTTCGCGGATTTTTTTTGGGGCCATTGGAGTACCAAAAAAATTACACATTTTCAAAAAATAGTGAAAAAACACCATTAAAGAGAGTTGCATAAATAAGGTACAATTTTGCACCAGGCTGCGCAAATCACACTTTTTTGACTCACCCTGTATATGATCAGATAAAAGCGTAAAGGGTCCGGTAAAACATTAAATCGGAAGTGTCACTTGAAATTACTTTTTAGTTCCTTCAAAATTTATTTTAAATTGATTATAAAAAGATGTTTTCTTTAAAAAATGTTTACAATGTACAATTTTTTTTAAACATAATCATTAAAATCTAGTCCTGAAGAACTCGGTTTGGACCTGAAAATGACTGGAGCAGGTTTCTTCTTTCTGAAAAAAAACATGAAGTGAGACTTTGGAAGAAGAAGACGACATTTTCAAATAAACTGAAAGCACAACAATTGTTCATTGTACACAAACCCATTTAACTTAATAAGAAAATTGTCAGCCAGGTTATAGTTTTTTTTGTTTCCACCCTATGGTTCTTAAGACTGTCAGAAGCTCTGTGTGAAAGGGAAACGCTATCAGCTCAAATTGAAACTTTTTTACTTAAATTGACCCTTTTTAGTTAGAGATTGCGTCGAGACACTTGTTGTAACTGAATTAAAGATTATTGATGGCCTCCTTTTTAGTGTCAATTAAGTTTTTAAATGAAATACTGTAAAGGATATGAAATCCCCGAAAGTAGATTGAAATCCGCATATCATGTGGTATCGGATCTTGGAACCAGAGAAGACCTACAAGCTCAACTTCCTCTCCTTTTGTATACTAGTTATTTATTATGTAATTATATCTAGAGGCAATAAATGTACTTCCAAAATACCTTATTTTTGTTGATCTTTTATCTCTAATCAAAGCTTGATGATGTCCGGAAGAGTTAGATTTCAAAGTAGACTGAGGAGCAGGATTTACAGAGAATGTCGTCATCCATTGAATTTTGTCAGCTTTCTCTAACTCTGGGAATCCAGAAATCTTTTAACATGATACAAAAAAAATTTTCAAAGACGACTGTACGAAATATAATCAGTTTTTTCTGTAACCTTGTAAAATTCGTTTTATTTTAGTACAGTGGTAAGCGATTATATCAATACAATGAAGATGACTTTTTTATTTAGGTTTTGATTGTTAACATTTTTTTTCTAATTGCAATTTTACAAATAATCAAAGAGGAGCTTTTTAAATAAATAAGTTCTGTTGACATATATGTATACCCATGCTGTTCAATAGCTTGATTTTAATCAAAATTGAAATCGAAAGTTGTCTTCATTGTGTTGATATATTCGCCTTCCACTGTACAAGAAAAAAGTGTATCTAAACCGTTAAAAGTTAAATTTCTTGTTATATTTACAAAATCTCTTGGGAAATTGAAAAATCTATAATTCCGAAATTATTATAAAAGGTTATGAACACAGAAACCTTATATAAATATGTGCGTATATGATATATTGAACCAAATGTTCGAAAAACGTAACAATCTTAAAGAAATTAATGATTAAAACTGCATTAGATATAGTAATAACAAATTGAAATAAATATATGAGAAATTTCAGAAGCTTATAACAAAACTGATAAAATTATGACATTCATGATACACATAGATCAGGTCCGCTATAAAATTGTCCTTCAATATTCAAGACTCCATCGCCTTTCAAGGATTGCAACGCTTTTTTATACCCAAGTAACTTAATTTTTATGTTTTGATTGCTTAGCCCTTAACACGTAGACTTAGCAAGCACTTGTTTTTAACTTTAGTTTTTAAGAAATAAGTGTTTGGCAAAATTGACGTTCATAATATAAGAATGTTAGATAGAAATATATGAAAAACTGCATGTTCAATAAAATATTAAAATTTCGTAATACCCAATTAGAACTTAATAGCAAGAGTAAAGTCATTAATCTGGAATCCAAATTCGCAAAAATGGCAAGCTATTAAAGTCACACACCACAGTAGGGTTAAGACAATTTAAGAGAACATTTATCCTTTAAAGGGAGTGCATGATTAGACATGGCAGTTGAGCTGAGAATGAAGTTTTGTAGGGAAATTTTTTAGAATTCATTTGAGACCTATTTTAAACATTATTCAATAACGACGATGTGGAAAATGTAACGCAAATGCTACAGTAAACTATTCAGATAGTTTAGCTGTACATATTTCTCAATAGAAATTTGTCAACAAATCAATGTGAAAATCAATTATTTCTTTTTCATTTTTAAATTGATTTCCTTTTTCTTTTCCAAATTTGTTCGCAGGTTTCTTTCAATTCTTCAAATGTTGTCTTCTCAATAAAAAATTTTTCCAGGAAATATACAATAAATGCTTGTGAACAATGAGATATTACAGAAGCAAATAATTGAAAAAGATTTCTTAAGGGAATATTAGTTCTAAAACTAACACTCGGCTCATTTCTATATATCCCTATTTTGAAACATTTACTGGATTTTAGCTCACGTGTCGCGTTTTCGGAACATATCCTGGTTTTGAGACAATTACCAGAATTCATATCAATGTCAATTTTCAAACATTTACGCACTTACATAATAAAACAAGCTTTTTGAAAAGGTTAAAAATAAACAAAATAGGAAATAAAAACAAACTGTTCTTTTATCATAAAAAATCATTACAGCATTGAGAAATCCAAATATTAATTTCATTTGTTCTTACAAAATAGATTTAACTAGAAATACGGGCAAATGTTTGTTTAAAATGTTTGAAAATAAATAATCGATATTCTCTAATTTAACAGATAAAATGTGGAAACTTGGATTCTAGAAATAATTCATAAGTTATTTAAGTCTTCATAAGTTAGTTGTTGTATTCAGTGATTTATTTTGTAAGTTATGAAAGTAAGTTTTGTCTTGAATTGTGGATTATACTTAAAAACGGGAAAGTGGGTTTTGTCTCGAAAACGGGACAATGTTTCAAAAATGAAAAACCTGACATTGTCTTGAAAATGGCCAAGAGATTTAATATAAAAAGAACTCATCTTATAATTTTGATCTTAAAAAAGTTTAAAATTGGGAATTGTTGTCCTCGTCATGTTTAATAAAATGTTGGCTATAGTTTTTATTATCGACTTTTACTCTGGATATGGGCCGGGATCCCAAAAACCCAGTCTTTCAATTTCTAACACTCAATGTTAGAAAGGGGTCAAGTGTTAGTTTTGGAACTAATATCCCAATATCCCAATATACTTTTGGAACTAATATCCCAATATCCCAATATACTTTTGGAACTAATATCCCAATATCCCAATGTACTTTTGTTTGAGGAAAAAATTTGATTTTTATTTTCTCGTCCTATTATTCCTAAACAACTATTAAGTTTACTATAGAACTGTTGTTACATTTTTTGTAAACAAATTCTCGTGAACCAAATGAATCTTTAAAAATGTCCCTACAATACCCCATTTTCAGCTCAACTACCATGTTTAGCCAGACATTCCCTCCAAAAGTTTATTAGGAAATCGGATTCCTTGAATATAGTTGTGGGAATAGTTTTGAAGAGTATTCATAAATTGAAGAACGTCTCCTTGAATCAAATTTAATAATTATCAAACAGTATTTAGACGAAATAGACGTTCTTGAACCACTTTTTTCATGCTAAGTTCAAGAAAAGTTGTCCAACTTAGTTTACGTAGTTCAACTACTTCCCACTATTTATTGAATTTGTTCCCTGTGTTCCAATACAGCTGTTGAGACAACATCTCCATTTTTCTCTGAAAAATTAAAAAAAAAAGATTAAAGTACATAAACCCCTAATTTTGAACAAGAATATCTGTAAACACTGTACATTGTTCTACATATAGAACTAAACAATGTACAAGGATATCTGTACACTCTACATAGTTCTACATATAGAACTAAACAATGTATAAAGATATCTGTACACTCTACATAGTTCTATGTATATAACTGAACAATAAACAAGGATATCTGTACACTAAATGTATTGTATATAGTAATATCACTAGAAATGGATAACTGTAAACTCACCTATACTCTCCGTTTCTTTTTTACACAATGTGCTCCATGATTTTTTCAGATAAAAATCTAAATATCTCTAAAACAAAAAAATGTTGCTAAAATAAGACAAAAAACTACAAAAACAAAAAATCTAATAACACCAAAATAAAAGCGCTAAAAGTTTTAGGCTTTCGTAAACAAAAGCAAAAACCCTGATTCACCCTGCACTTGTAACGATTTTTCTACCATTTCTATCTTAGTTTCTATCTAATTATCTATCTATCTATCAATATAGTTTTTTATTAATCTGTTTATCTATCTATCTATTTGTTTTCTATCTACTATCTATCTATCTATCTATCTATCTATATATATCTATCTATCTATCTATCTACCTCCAACTATACCTTGATTTCTAGCGTCCCGTTATAAAATAAAATATTGTTTGTAATTCTCTGTTTTCAAGTGTAGACTGCACTACTGTAGTAGAGCTATCCTATCCATTATAAATATATATATAGACTACACTACTGTAGTAGAGCTATCCTATCCATCATAAATATATCTACAAACTGCACTACTGTAGTAGAGCTATCCTATCCATCATAAATATATCTACAGACTGTACTACTGTAGTAGAGATATCCTATCCATTATAAATATATATACAGACTGTATACTGTAGTAGAGCTATCCTATCCATTATAAATATATCTAGAGACTGTATACTGTAGTAGAGCTATCCTATCCATTATAAATATATCTACAGACTGTATACTGTAGTAGAGCTATCCTAACCATTATAAATATATATACAGACTGCACTACTGTAGTAGAGCTATCCTATCCATTATAAATATATATACAGACTGTACTACTGTAGTAGAGCTATCCTATCCATTATAAATATATATACAGACTGTATACTGTAGTAGAGCTATCCTATCCATTATAAATATATGTACAGACTGGCACAGTTGGAAAAACTACACATCAAGTGTTAAAATCTTACCTTCCTTTTATGAGAATGGTATCCATCATACTTCTTGAAGTACATTGTGATGTAAACATGCTGAACTTCATTATAGAGAAATAAATCAAAAACAAACTGTCTTTTTTAATAAGATATTTAAGTATGAGTAAGTCCGGGGTTGGCTGGTAGAAATACAGTGTAATGTAGAAATTCATATGTGGATAGAATAGATAAAATTACTTATACAGTCGTTGCCTGGTCGGACCGTTCGTTAATTTGTTAATTGTCCAAAAAATAGATGAAAATTGATAATAAATTTGGTTGACACAAATAGAATTTAAAATGAAGAAAAACAAAGAAAGATTAAACATGTACTTAGGTAAGACCTACTTAGTAAAATTTCATACTAATTTAAAAAAAATATCAAATAGTTTATTGTCCTTAATGTTATTATTTTTAGTTGAAGTGGTATTTTATTTATAATGGCCAAATTGTTATCATTGCTGTAATTTGTCATTATTTTTAATCTATTTATCACATTAAATTGATATCAATATTATTCTTTTATTGTTAAACTATTTATTTAGATATTATTATCTTTATTATCATCATCATCATGATTAATATTCTCATTATTTTTAGTATAATCATTATTATTATTATTATTATTATCATTATTAACATTGAATAGATAACATTAACAATATAAATATCTAAGGTATGAGCCCCTTTTTAAACTTGTCTGGCCTGGGAGTGGACAATTGGAGAACGTTATATAAAAGGTAAAAAAAAGAAATTGAGTCTTTGCCACAAAATCTGATTTTATCAATTAAGATTTCACGATATATTTCCTACAGGGAAAATTTTCATGATCAAAATAAATCAGGGAAAACTATCCGGCCTTAATTTATTATTTTCTATTTTTCTGTGTAAATAGGGAGGTAACGCTAGAGTCAAGCTTACTTGGCTTGCATCAGATGAGAAAAAGGCTAAAGCGAAGTTCCAGGTAAAAAAATTGACAAATCTGGCAAATATTTACAAGAATTGACAAAATTTGGGGAAAATTTACAAAAAATGGGAAGTATTGGCAAACATTAATAAAACTATACAAAAATTAACAAAAAAACAAAAACTGACAAAAATAGACAAAAATTTACAAAAATTGGCAAAAAAACGTGGTGCCTATTTAGCCTTTGCATTTTTTCTAATTTTTATTTTCCTTGACCGTAGTGTTACTTAAAATAAAACATTTTATTTTAGTTTTCAATAGGGCACCAGGAGTGTCAAAAAAGGATATTTTAAGATGTTTTGTTTAAGGGCAAAAATCTCTACTTTAGAATTTTGTAAATCAATAAATGAATGATTTTATAATTCAAATATATTTCTTCTATTAATTTTCAAAAAAAAATATTAATCTTTGGATAAGGATAAGGATAAAATCAACAACATTAACTCCAAAAAGTTGTTCGGCGAAAGTGTTTGTTTTTTAGAGTAATTTGTATAAAGAAGACATTTCGAAAAATGCTTCAACTCAGAATTTATTCTGGAAAAGTTGGCAGCTTAAGCTTTCCTCCCCTCGAGTATCCTTGAAATTATCTCTGGATTCTACGGTAGACCGAAACATCTCACATCATCCCACAAAACTCATCAGCATTTAATATTTTTAAAAACCAAGAATTTTTCCAAAAATCAACTTTAATTATATAAGTTTTGCTTTACGCTCGGAACTGGTTTATGTTGGAGTTAGCTCTTTCCATTTTATTACCTAGAATGATCATCCCGGAGTTGTGTGAGCTTTTTTGGTTTACCGATTAACATTTTGGTCTTTTCTTTTTTTAAAACCCAATGTGATTAAACAAAATAATGCAGAACACATTTTTGTTTAAGATAAAAAGTTGTATCAAAAGTAAAAAATAAAAAGTAAGAAATGCTGAAAATTTCAATCAACAACCACTAAGAGATCACTATTGCCTGCCGCATGCTTAAAATTCTAGAAAAAAAAAATGTTTAATTTATATTATTCAAATCACTTGCTGTCTTCTTTTCAGTTCCTGAAATATTTTTAGTTAATTAAAGATACATAAAGAGATCTTTTAAGAGATTTGATGGTAATCGAAATAATTTTTACTTGGCTTTCATGCCAGCAAATGACTCTATAAATTTTTGATTTGACATTTGTACTGGACTTTCAAAGTCGGCCAAGAAAATTGATAAGAGGAACAAGCATTAAGACTTTAAACAAACTGAAACTAGTATAAAAGCCGTTGCAATAAAAAAATTATTTTCGAGAACACCGCCTCTTTTACGAAAATTGGCAAAAACTTACAAAAATTGGCAAAGGCAACAGTTGGCAAAAAATGACACAAATTAAATGAATTGTTTTAGAATTCGACGGCAGATTGCAGACAAAGATGGAGTTATGTATGTCTCCCTGGGTAATACTAATTTTAGTGCTATTGGCAAAAAATTAAAAAGAGACAAAGGATAAACCATGATAAAATATGAAAGAACCCCCTCTAAGACCAAGATTTATAGAGAATTCGAAAAAAATTGTCTTAAGACAAAGCTATCATTTTTAAAAGCCAATAAACCATCAAAGCGCATCAAGTCGTAAGACAGTCTTAGTCGTTCGAAAAGGGGTCAGTGTCCAGACCAACCTTATCCTCCTAGCCCAGAGCAAGTCCGTTCTACCACTCAGTTAGAAACGTTCTGATTGTATTTTTTCGGGTCCCTGAGATTGTGTAAAAAATAAAACAGATATAAAAAAGTTTGCTTGGTTTATAATTTAGTCAGGGTTCATACTACATTTCCTCGTTTTATTTTTGGTGAACACTCTCCCTTACTCAGAAAACTAGTTTACAGATGATTAGTTCAATAAAACATTGAAAAGAAAACACAATCTTTAAAGGATTATTACCGACCAAATCAATAATGAAATTTACACTGTAGGTGTGATCGATTTCGGATTAATAGTAAACAAATTGAATACGTTTTTTGTTAAATTTTAGCCAGCTCTTAGTTGAAGATTTTTTTTCCGATTGTCCAAAAAACCAAATAAAAATGACATAGACAACATTTTTGTTAAAAATTTCAATTTTCACAACGTTTTCTTTTGGAAATTTTATGCTAAATTCAGATTTGGTAATTATGTTATTTTTTTTTTAAATATAAAGTTAAGGTACGCACCTCTGACGCTAGAGTAAAAGAAAATTAAACCTAAAGTCTGACCACGTTAAGTTTGTTGCACCGGCTAGTCCTATTGAAAGTCTGCTTTATTTACCCAATGTCTGGGGAGGGAGGGAGTCCAGAGTTCCTCAAATAGTAATCACCGCCACCCGAATAGAAACTAAGGAGCAATAAAGAAAGCTTTAACAATATTGTACACCATAGGGCCCTTAAAAGAGGTCAATATGGTCTTATTTCTAAAAGAAATAAACGATTTAATGTTATGCTTTTTTGGGCTGATTACTATTTGAGGTGGAGGAGATTAGCAATTGAGGAGCGCTTGCCGCAAAACAGATTTGGGTGACGGTGATTACTATTAGAGGAACTCTGGACTCCCTCCCTCGTCTGGGCGATACAGTACAAACTTAGGCCGGAAAGGTTGACACGGCTCGGAAATTAAAATGTTACTACGTCTGCCCGTGAAGGAGGAATAACAATCCAAAAAAACAGATTTTTATCTTTGTTAAAGTTTTTGGTAGGTTTTCGTTCTATATATCGTTCAATCAAAAAGTATTTTAAGATGGATTTTAATTCAAATTCTAATTAAAAATAGTTATAATTCAGTTTTTTGGCATATCAAACAAAGTGTTTTAACTTAGAAGAAGCCTATTCAATATATTTACTATCGAACTCTGGTAGCCAGTCAACTAATTTCTCCAAAAGTCCTAAATTAATCACCCTATCTATCTAGTCTACAGTGATAACCACAAAACTTTAAAGTATGACTTTAAATAGGCCAATGAACATTGAGAAACCGCATGCAATTATTAAGTATGCAGACCCAAATCCATATATTTTGTAACATCAAAAACACTTAAGTAGTGCTCTATAGTCCTCCCCCTATTCCACAGTTTTCACTGTAATACGAAGCAACGGAATTGAGTCTTTGCCACAAATTCTGATTTTTAATCACTATATCTTTGCATCCCAATGTCTTAGAAAAATGTAAAAGGCTTAGACCATCAGTTTTCTAAGATACAGGGAATAGAAAATTCGAGTTTGTGAAAAGATTCAATTCCTTTTATCGAAATACTATAAAAAGATTTTTCCAAGATGGAGGAGGTGGAGATGAATCTTGTCCGTCTTTAGCGGACTCTAGTGTAGTTTCTTTATCACAGATGGCGTTCTTATCAATGGCGGTCTCCATTTTCAGGTAGGTAGATTTGAAGAAGGTTTTACAATTGTAAAAACTTGTAAGTTCTTCTGTTGACAGAGAACGAAACTAAACAATTGCATCAAATTCTAATTTTCTAATCCCATTATATTTTTAACCTTGTGTCGAACAGTTTTGATAATTAAATTAAACTATTAATTCTGTTAGATCTAAAACATAATGTTTGAAATATCAACAGAGCTGAAAACTTTTGAATTGAATATCCTTAATTCCGATCGGTTAATCAATCTGGAGGAATCCAAGCATTATTCAATCTCGAGATTAAGAAAAAAAGTGGATCAAGCATTAGTCCCGATATCCACCATTCAAAACTTCCCAGCTCAGGTTGAAAATATATTGGTTTTTGAAAAGCTTGCGGCAAGTGTTCAATTTTAAAAGTAAGGTTTTCTCGGAAAAAAATCAGAGTTGTCGGTGCGCGTTAATTGTCGAAACATTTTAATTTTAGACTCTGAGCAAAATATTTGAATTAAATTCGATTTTGATGTTAACATATTTATAATTAAGTTTACATATTTGTAATTAAGTTTACAAATTAATAATTAAGTTTACATATTTATAATTAAGTTTACATATTTGTAATTAAGTTTACATATTTGTAATTAAGTTTACAAATTAATAATTAAGTTTACATATTTATAATTAAGTTTACATATTAATAATTAAGTTTACAAATTCATAATTAAGTTTACATATTTATAATTAAGTTAACATATTAATAATTAAGTTTACATATTTATAATTAAGTTTACAAATTAATAATTAAGTTTACATATTTATAATTTTGAAAAATGTTATTTTCAGGAAAACATTATGTTACAAATATTTAAGAACTTTCGGTTCCAGCTTTGCTTGTAATAAAAAAACCTTGAAAGGGAGTGTTCGCGAAAAATGAATCGCATTAAGCCTATACGCCCTTTCATTTTTCGCGAACACTCCCTTTAATGTGTCTGTGTAGACGTAATTTGAAGTGACTATTTATCTTTAGAGTGGCATGTTTAATTCACAACGGTATCAGTAAAAGATTTGTCTGGTTGATTAATATACATCAGATATTTATAATTTTCTGTTAGAAAATTATTTATGTTCCGTTTACAGAAAAGAAGAATAATGGAAAAAGGAATTCTCTGCTTTAAAACATACATCAATTACTTGTCACTTAAAATTTGTAATATGTAAAAATAGGAAAATAACAAAAAAAAACCAAGTTGTTTATCTTCCGATTTAGGGTTTCTTTGCAGTACAATTTGCGTAAATCTGCTTAAGAGACATTGAGGTAGTACAAAGGCGGTAATACCATATTATTAATCAGATAAAGGTTAAAGGGTACCTTTTTGAATCGGACATGCCCCCTTTTTATGTGGAAGGTCTCTTGAAAGCAAAATTTTTTGAGCTTTCTTCCTTTCCTAGTGTAGTTGCGAACATTGCAAACAATCTGAACAACAACAACAACAACCAGAACGACAACAACCTGAACTACGTTCATCAGCAGAACAACAACCTCAATATGAACCAGAACATTGTTAATCAGGAACATTATTCAATTTTTTGATCAATTCGATTTCTTTTTTTTTTACTCACGACAGACTTCACAGCTGTAATAATTTCAATTGAAAAGTGTTCGAATTTTATATTTAATTTTGTTAATTAATTCGATGAAATCAGTTCATAGCGGAAAACATAGTTCTAATATTTTTTTGCGTATTTTTGTTTTAACTGAAACCAATGAACGAAAAGATTTATCATTGAAGATTTAGCAAATCTAATTACTGTTAAGTTGATTTAATGTCGTCCTTAGTTGACCATTGACCTTCCCCCACCTATTCCTGGAAAAAGATCAATCCCAGACGATATTATTAGGTAATTAACAGTTTTGTAAATATCATATAAATATTCAAATAAATAAATTAATCAATTAATTCATTATAACTCATCGATCAATTTTTCGTGAACTAATCAATGCAAAGTTTGCGTCAAGTTTTTAATGTTTGTGTTTTATTTCATAAACGCGGAATATTAAGAAATCATCGAACCCATAATCTCAAATAAACTCTTAACTATATTCTTATAGATTATGAACACATATATATATAGTCTTTTCTCTCCTATTAAGTAGTCCGAGGCAGCTTGAAGAGCCATGTCAGGATCAAACTCTTGCTAAAGTTGCTGCTGCTCTAAAAGTAGGTATTAAAGGCGTAATTTGAAGAGGGTCAATAATTCACACATCGGTATACCCTCAAATAATAAGCTAGGCAACCCTAGTTTTTTTCTTGAAAAGCGTTAAATTCTGACAATATCCTTTTTTGTCTCTGCTTCATGAATAGTAACTTTTACAAAGAAGGAAGTTAAAAAGGGTATCGTTGTGAATAAAACTGTTCTAATGATAGAGTTGTCTTTATTCGTTTTAATTAAAAATAAAAAAAATATTTTAAGTGTCAATCCCCCCCTTTAAATTTCTGTAAGTATTTTGAAAGTATAGCTGTTCAAACTATTTTACTCGCTTTTGACACTATGTTCATTTCTATTCTCACTTAACGAGCGTCCACCAAAAAATCGTTCGTCCGTTTGAATCATTCTATTGGGTAAAAACCGATAGCTTTTAAAAATGTCTGTTCAGTAAAAAAAAATACGCTTTTCAAAATTTTGATTGAAGAAGTCATAGTGAAAAATTGATAGATTTTGTTTTCATTCGTTCTTAGTCATATGTTTAGGATATCCTTTTATCTGTTTAGGATATTCTATCATCTGTTTAAGATATTCCATCATCTGTTTAGGATATTTTATCATCTGTTTAGGATACTCCATCATCTGTTTAGGATACTCCATCATCTGTTTAGGATATTTTATCATCTGTTTTGTATACTCCATCATCTGTTTAGGATATTCTTTCATCTGCTTAGGAAATTTTATCATCTATTTAGGATATTCCAACATCTGTTTAGGATATTCCATCATCTGTTTAGGATATACTATCATATGTTTTGATATTCAGTCATCTTTTTAGTCATATGTTTAGGATATCCTTTTATCTGTTTAGGATATTCTATCATCTGTTTATGATAGTTTATCATTTGTTTAGGATATTTTATCATCTGTTTAGGATACTTCTTCATCTGTTTAGGATATTTTATCATCTGTTTTGTATACTCCATCATCTGTTTAGGATATTCTATCAGCTGGGTTGACCAATGGATTAGAGTCTAGAGGAGCTAGAGACTGTCTGTCTCGTCAACTATGCCTTGGTTAGTTTCATTTTTTGAAATCACAGATTACTGCCCCCCTTCCCCCCCCCCCTCCTAAAGGTGAAAATGAGGTGGGGAAAAAAGTTGTCCTTCCGCCCCCCCCACCCTCTCCCATGAGTTTAGGGGGGAGGAGGGGTGCACATAATATGAGTCTTTTATATGTTTAAATAAAACTTTTTTTGTAAAAAAAAATTTTCTTCTTCAGATTATAAGAGAGAATCTGGCGGATCAGAAACTGGTTCATTTCAGCAGCTGCTCCTAACTCTAGGTCTAGCTCACATACAGCTCACAGATAGAGGACTACCCTTCACACAGTTTCTAGAGAGTATCACTGAGTCCCCAGATACTTTTTACGCAGGGAGCTTTTAGGATATTTAGTATTTTCATAAATACCAAAGAGTGTTTAGCTAAATTCTTAGAAATTTTGTAGATTAGAAATTTCCTAAAGCTCTTTATCCAGATACGAATGAGAAAAAAGTAGAAAACGATTGTTTCAAGCAATTTCCGGACTGTGACGCGTTCAAGGTGCAATATTAATCTATCTCATTTTCGTAAAAAAATAAATTTTGTATTTTAGTTGATTTTATTTCAAAAGCTAGATAAATGAAGTGCAGAGTATATTCAAAAACAGCGATTTTTAATCAATTCAAAAGCATTGATTTTGTTCATAAAAATCAGTGTCATTTTCCGTTAGCAGAATTCAGCGGCATTCTTCTGTTATTAACATTCAGCATCGTTATTCCGTTATTAAGATTATGCGACATTCTAATCGTGGAATTATTTCATAATTTAAATTTACCGGCACTTTTTCGTCAATAACTTCTTTGCTATATAGAGTTGAGAGCTATAGAGTTGAGTGGTATTAATTTTTAAAAGATTCCGCAGTTGCGTTCATAAACCACAACTATCTAACTTTTACTACCTTTATCTCACTTAATTGAATAAAACAAACAAGGGGTATACAATGTATTTAAATCTAAACATCTAAACTGCACAAAATGTATTCTTTAGAGCAGTTGTAACGAGGGAAGGATGGCATGGAACAAATTCGAACATTTCTTGTAATCAATACCAGTTTCTTACCAGCCATAAATACAATTAAAGGTCGAAATCTTTACAAAGAAGGTGGGGGGNGAAAATAAGGACAAATGATAAAAGAAGAGCAGTTTTTGACCTGAACAATAATCATTTACAAGGACGCGACTTTAGCAATGATATCGTTGAGGCTGAAGTTCAACCACTCATCGAAGGAGATGGATCCGTCACCATTCTCGTCCATCTTCTTGAAGATCTCGGTCCTCTCCTCGGTGGACTGGAAGGGGGTCTCCATTCCCAACCTGAACACACAGGAAATATTAGATGCAGTGTCGACTACTAAGGATGAGACTTTTTTGACGACCTGAAAACCTTTATTACCGTAGCTCTACTTTGATTTTATATGTAGATAAATCTGAAGAGAAATCTGTAGAGAAATGACCTCTTTTGTGCAGATGTTGCCATATCGATCATCTTGTTGAATTCATCTCCAGAAACCATTCCGTCACGATCAGCGTCGGCAGCCTAGAGAAATTTTTTTTACCCAAAAAATATTTTCTATTTTTTTATAAGATTTACTGAAAAGGAAAACTCCCAGGGATAGTAAACGTAATTTCATGTCACCCTCTATGATTCTATCTGAAGAGTGGCATGTTCGATTCACAACTGTGAAGCTATCTGGAAACGTGTTCAATTCTGAAAATTTGCATATTCTTAATGAACTAACAAATGAAAATCACCAATTTTAAGTTCTAAAACAAAAAGTATCTTCTAACAAAGGGAGTGACCGGCAATGTATGGTAGTTAAACTGAGAATGTAGTATTGGGGAGAAATTTTTAGTATTCACTTGAGACATACATATAAACACGTTTTAATGATGTATAATTACTGAGTTTGATCTTTAAGGAATCATTATTATTTATTATTAACAATAATAATAATAAAATTAAACAATAAATCTTGATTCCGTAGAAATCTAGGCCGAGCCCTTTTCAAAATTAACTGGAAATTAATTTCTAGTTTCCACAGAGCTTTTTCGTTTTTGATTCTATCTAAAATGTCGTCTTCAAAATTAGTTTACCTGGAAGCACTGCCAATGGAACCAGTACAGACGCCTGTACTCAGGGGTGTTGGGCTCAGTACACTTCTTGCATACACCTAGTAAATAACAAGTCAAAACTTGTAAAATACCGCTAATCTACAAATCTGCCAAATCTGCAAATTTGCAGGGTATGCTTCTGCATAGGATATCCAAAAGGAATAAAATTCATCCGGAGATCTGCAAAATATGGAGATTCAAATCAACTGACATTAAAGTTGTATAAAAATGTACTTCGACAACAATTTTAAATAATTCAGCAAAGAAGCTTCAGATGTAAGCTGCGCTTTTCTGCTTTATGTATTATACAAGAGAATGTTTTTGTCACCTTTCAAATAGTCTTTATTGAACTTGTTTTTGATCAAACTTCCTTGATTTTTTATTTTCATATAAGTCAATGAAATGTAGAATTATTCAGAAGAATAGTTTCTTTCAGAATAAAATTGCCATGTGTTTTTATTTGATTTTTTTTTTATTTTGATTTGTTTTTTTTTAATATGTTTAGAAGCTGGATATGTTCAAAGTTTTAATATATTTTGAATTTAGTTGATATACTGATTTCATAGGTTTTGTTTTGAAATGAATTGCATGGGCTCATCGGCCTTTATAAGAATTTTATTAGGACTAAGTAATAATAGTTTTTAAGCAAAAATTTGGATTTTCAGTTCAGAATATTTGGTTTGAGAACATTTGATAATTTAAAAAAGAAAAGACGACATTCAATTTCCTCAATAGAATACAGACCTACAAACAAATCCTTTTCCTCCTCATCACTCCGTCATTGTTCTCATCAATCTTGGTAAAGAGCGCGGCTCTGACGGTTTTCCTGGTGGCCTCATCGGGGCACTTAGCCTCGTCCCACCACTGGTATCCAAACTTTCTAAAAAAAAACATATTAAAAACTAACAACAAGAGACTTTCATTTAGGATTGTGAATGCTCGGCAAATTTCCGCCCCATTATTGGCTGTATTCAAATAATTTACCTAAAGTACGGCACTTAAAGGGAGTATTCGCGAAAAAAGGGGAAAAGACTGTTATAGAATTGAATTCTGTATCGATTACTAATTTTACGTTTTTCTGTTGCGTATTTAACGTCTTATACCCAAGAGCGGAGGACCCGTACATATCAAAGTACAGAATTTAAAAAGCGATTTTCGCTGTATTGTAGTGTATATAATATATGCCTACTACCTAGAAATTGTTCTGTGACTGTGATTATTACTATCTAGTTTGCAGTAAAAAGCAACCTTGAATGAAACATAAGTAAGTCTAAAAGTATGAATTCTTACGACAGAACTGATCTACAGGGTGTCCTAATAAACTTGGCAAATGGATAGTGAGGTACTGATAATTTGAGGATTTGAAAATATATTTATTTTCATATTTAATCAAAAAACGTCATATGTACAGTTAGAACTAGAAAACTCTGGAGTCGTTTTTCCATCTTAAAACGAGCAGAACTCTGCTAATTTAATTCCTTCTTTCTACAACATAAATATGCTAATCACTTAATAAGTGAAGGCTATCCATTTTTTTCAAAAAATATTTCCATCATTTTTTCACAAAAGAAGAGAAAGGGTGCTGTTTGAATCAAACATATTCCTCTCAACTGACCTGGGAAGAGCAGCAGCAGCTTCGATCATACTGTCGAACTCATCAACTGACCTGGGAAGAGCAGCAGCAGCTTCGATCATACTGTCGAACTCATAAACTGACCTGGGAAGAGCAGCAGCAGCTTCGATCATACTGTCGAACTCATCAACTGACCTGGGAAGAGCAGAAGCAGCTTCGATCATACTGTCGAACTCATCAACTGACCTGGGAAGAGCAGCAGCTTCGATTATACTGTCGAACTCATCAACTGACCTGAGAAGAGCAGCAGCAGCTTCGATCATGCTGTCGAACTCATCAACTGACACCTTCCCGTCAAAATCAACATCTGCAGCTACAAAGGATCTAAAATGAAAATTTTTCAAAGAAAACTTTAAACAAATAATGCCACTGTGTTGTCCTAAATATAAGTGAGGCCACTATTAAGTAAAGCCATTTGTCGTTAAAACAACAGTTATGTATTTTTAAGAGTTTATTTATTCAAATCCATATAGTTGCTGCTTAAAAACAAAATATGTTTGCTTTAAATAGTCCAGGCATTTCAGAACTTATCCCCATTCTTCCGAAGCATAAATTTTCTGTGAATTTTAGGACCGAAACCTGTCAAAAAATTAAAAAAGAAAGGTATTCTGTTTCTATCATTGAAATTAGTTTCACACTAAAAATTCCTTGATGTCAGATGCTAATAAGCTAATTCTAAAGATTTTTGCAGAAGGGGGGAGTGTTCACATATTTAAAATTTCCATGTACATTGCCACTTTTCAGGAAGGGGGGGGGGTCTATTTTCCTACAGCTCCCTTTTCAAATCTGATTGCTTAACTGTTAATATTTTTTGTACTTTATTTTTTTTAAGGAAATGCAAAGAGGAAACTTTAAAAAATAATTCGTTGCGCTGACCGTTGAGAGAGGTGAGGCGTGAGGCCGTTGTTTGAGTTGAAAAGGATAATGATCAGCTTGCTGAATATTTGTATAATAAGAAACTGCTTAGCTACTTTTACACAAGGGGTGCACCGCAATAAGAAATCATATTCATTAATTCTTCAGTAAAAAATTCAAATATTCTTGATCTGTAAAAACATTGTTGTCCTTTCAAATATATTTCTAATTTAAACTAAAGTTTTGTTTGTTCACCCCATGTAGTCTGGAAATAATAGAATTTCAGTCAGCGTAATGGACCGGCCGCTAGGCCGAAGGCCAAATATAGAATTTTTTTTAACTCTGTGTAAATTAGAAAATATATTAGGCAGGTATATTTGAAGTTTATCTATCTATCTTAAAATTAAATTTTGTTAAAGAACAATTAAACTAAAATGAAAGAAATGTTTCGACTTTGCAGAGATGCAGCATATAGAGCATATAACGGAATTTTAAAAGATTGTCACCTAAAATTCCCGGAATATCTGTGTGCCATTTTTTTCTTTTTTTTCAATCAAATCCGAGTTTAAACAATTTGATTTGTTTGCTTTTCATTAGTTTGTTGATCCAAGGAATTGAAACGGAACAAAAGGGACGGATCGATTTTCCTCCCCGGCACCAGGGGGGGGTAATTAATTTTCCTCCCCGGCAACAAGGGGGGAGGGGGTAATTAATTTTCCTCACCGGCACCAGGGGGGGGTAATTAATTTTCCTCCCCGGCAACAAGGGGGGAGGGGGTAATTAATTTTCCTCACCGGCACCAGGGGGGGGTAAATAATTTTCCTCCCCGGCACCAGGGGGGGTAGTTAATTTTCCTCACCGGACCAGGGGGGGGGGGGGGGTAATTAATTTTCCTATTTGGCTGGAAACCCTAGTAAGGACCCATGAAACTGTGGACTAGGAAGACGACTTCTAATAAGCAATCTTCTTTGTTATAAAGCAGATCGTGTTAATTGTGGCGCAAAAATTCAATTATCAAGCGAAGTGGGAAAGTGTATACTGCACAGTGGATGTTTTTATAAGTCCATATCCCGAGTCTAGCAGTCGTCTTTCTAGTCCTAGATGTGTCCGTATTCCACTGTACATAAATGAATTCAAACCTGAGAAGAAGATTGTACAACTCAATGTAACAATCATCATCAGATGATGTCAGAGCACGACGCATGAAGAAGGTAAAGTCGTCTTTGTTAGCGAGATCCATTCTAGAAAAAATTGTGAAAATTAAAGTATTATTCTCTAAACTTTCCGCAATTTTAAAGATTGCTACAGTGAAACCCTTAATAACGAATACATCAAAAGAATTCATAAAATGTCGCTTTCTTCACTTTCTGATAATGGAATATTGCAAATATTTAGTTTTTTAATTAAATGATTATATGGAACTCTTTAAAACTGTTCCAGCATATTTATGGCTATTTTTTTATTTTCGCAAATACTGAAATTTACGTATTATAGTATAAAACTCATTGAAAAATTGCCAAGACGACATTTGATGTATTCGTTATCAAGGGTTTCATTGTATAATCAAATCAGGTCTTAAAAAACTATATATTTAAATTATGTCAAAAATGAAAATAAGTAATCTTTAACTTTTAAAGAGACAAACAGCTATAACAACAAGAAATAAAACTTAATTCAAGTGAGATTTATTAAATATGTAAATTATGATTTCTGCAATTTTAGATTTTTTTTATTTAATTTTAGATGTCGTTGCAATATCACTTCCTGGCAAAATGCAGCCATTTCAAATAAAATAAGAAAACCCCTCTGAGACTTCGAGTAACCCCCAATTTAAAAATCAAGGGCATGCCCGATTTGCAATGGTAATCTACAAACCTTCGTGCGGTAAAGATAGCTTGGTAATTCGATGTTAGGATTTTTCCCAAGGTTATTATCCCAAGTGGCAACTTCTCGAATATACAATTTCCAAAGCGGCAACTTCCCAAGTCTTTCCTAGCCTTCAGTGCTCGGTCCCCGGCCTGTTCTAGCCGCGGCGCTCGGTCCCTATCCCAACCTAGCCGCAGCGCTCGGTCCCCCATTGCAACCTGCTACGCCTCAAAGGGTTTAACCTAACCTTTGGGAAGTTGCCACTTGGGAAATTGACACTTGGGAAAATGTCTTTGGGAAAACTCTTATAAACACCAAGGAAATTATCACTTTAAAGAATAACGAAGATATTTTCTTTTTGCTGCACAGAAAAAGGTCTAAAGGGAAAATGTCCCAAAGATTAATCTTCATTCTTGTGCCAAAAAAAAAGTTTTTTCAAAATTCTTTTTATCTTTACTCGAATATAAGTATGGTCTGCCTTTGAAATTTTTATAATCTAAATATTTTATCTAAATGAAATCGTCATGTATATGAAGTTTGATTTCATCTGATTAGTAGTTAATTTGTTTTTTGACGCATTCTAAATTAGTTTTAAAATTTTAGTTTTCCAGGGCTAGTAACTTTTGAACGAAAGGAACTAATTCAAATTGGTTCAATTAAGTTAAACCTAAACTATCTTCTCTTATCGTATTGTCAAAATCTTTAAGGTTCGACTAGAAATAGTTAAAAGATTTAGTTTAACTTACTTGTAATAGAAAATTGTTCCGTTATTCAAAAAGTTTCCAACTCTGGTCAAATTAAAAAATTCCGAAATTAAAATTGATTCCCAACTTAGCTGCTTCCATTTTGTAACATGAAACTAAACCGGAAGTGTATGTGTGCATTCGTACATTCGTTTTAAAGGATAAGGTTGATCGGCTAAAAGATACAAAAAATGTAATCACAAAAATCGAAATCAAAAGATACTGTTTTCAGTTTTAGTTTTTTAGAGTTTTCTTGAAAATTACCAGTTTTCTGACATTTTTCAGAACTTCAACACAACATTACAATGACTTAGGGACTTCTCCGAAAAAAAAATACTCAAGCGACCGATCCTTATTTGACTCGAATAAGAGGTTTATGGTGTAAACTCAATATTGCTGACCCCCCTGATACAACAATTGTGCCCCCTCCCACCCCTACCTTGTCGACAGCACATTTAATCTGATTTTCCGATTTTCTTTTTTTCATTAATAATATGTATTATTCATAATATTATAGTTGAATTCGAAATATTAGATTTTATTTTCAGATTGCAGTTTTGGTGAAACGGTACACGGTACACTTCACGGTACACTTTACAGACATGTACCACAGCGCAAATACTTTATTGTACTGTACAGACATGTACGGATACGAGTATTGGATTGTACTTTATCGACATGTACTGCTACATAAGTATTGTATTGTATACAACATACATCGGCAAAGTACTTTATTTACTTTAAACTGCATTGTACTGTACACTGTACAGTTATATCTTGAAACAAGTACTGTATTGTACTGCACACACATACATGTTCAGCGGCAAGTACTGTATTGCACTGTACAGACATTTTTATCTCTCCGAAAATTGATCATTTACAATTTGGGGTCTTTTTAATAGTTATTTGCGGATGTATATAGCAGATTCAAGAGAACTGTCAGAATTTAGCGGTTTCCTTGTTGCAGGAAAAAGAGAGATAAAGAAAAGTTTGTTAAAACATATACATATGTTCCCTTTACCTGCACCTGCACCTGTAGTTTTTTCCTTTAGCTATAGCTGTACTTGTACATGTATTTATACCTGTACCTATAGCTTTTCCTTTAGCTATAGCTGTACTTGTCCATGTACTTATACCTGTACGTATAGTTTTTACTTTAGCTATAGCTGTACCTGTACCTGGACCTGCACTTATAATTTTTCCTTTAGCTGTAGCTGTACATGTACCTGTGCCTATACCTGTACCTTTAGATATATATTTACCTGTGCCTGCACCTGTACCTACAGCTTTTTGCCTATATCTATGGATGTACCTGTAAGTGTACGTGTACATATAGTTATGCCCTAACTAAAGATGTACCTGAACGTGTACGTGTACCCATTTTTCTGTTGGTAAATATAGATGAGGATGTAAGTGTACGTGTACACTGTACGTTTACCAATAGTTTACCTATGGTTGTGCCTTTAGGTATAGAGGTACTTTTACTGTACGTTTACGTGTACCCATAGTTTTGGCCTTAGCTATACCTGTACTTGTACCTGTACCTATACTTGAACGTTTTCCTATAGTTGTGCCTTTAGGTATGTATGTGTATGTACGTACTTGTACCCATAAATTTGTTCTAAGCTATAGCTGTACCTGTACATGTACATGTACGTTTACCTATATGTGTCTTTGGGTATAGTTGTATCTGTAGACTGAACGTACATATACTATCTATAGATGTACCTGTAGCTGTACGGTTGAGCGTCTGTCAAGGAGTGAAGAAGTTTGGCCTGAACGAAGAAAACGGGTACAACGAGCCGGTCAAATCCTCACAGGTTGACAAACTACCTGTCCCGGGTTCACAATATTTACAAACAAAAACTTCGTCAGAAAAATATAAAATTCTAAAATTAAACACACAAAATTCTTTTTTTAATTTAAAAAAAACATATATTTATCCCTGACGAATAGTTTTACCTGTTACCTGGGCAGCCCTGGACTAAAGCCTGCTTCTCTTGTATTTGAAACAAAAGGTGAACACAGTTTTAACCTTCGGAATTTTTTACAAATATTCACAAACTAGTCGAAATCAACAAAATTGAACAAATATTTTGACGGGCTCAAAATTCTGTAAAAATGTTTAGAATTTAATAAAATGTTTATCAATATAAAGTTAACAAGTATGTAAGAAATGTTACAGAAATGTAGAAATCTCCCCCCCTCTCTCGGCATTAACAGAACTTTTAACTAATTTAGCATTGTACTTTAAATACTTTTATCACAATTTCTTTGAAGTTGGAAATTATTTTAACATTCAAACTAGACCCTTTTCCAGGACACTTGTTAAAAATTTACAAAAGCTATGAATTTGTTTCACGTCAGTTTAATGCATTTTTATTCCTTAATCCTTTTAAGTAACTAATAACAAGTTTTTCATGAATTTAAAAACATTCTTAATATTATCAATATTTTTGATAAAAAGATGATATAGGTAAATTTTGAGCACTTTTGATAATTTCAATTTACACAGCATGTTCAAAATGCAAAATTATTCATTATTCATGAATTTTTTGAATATTTACAAACATTTTTTTTAAGGAGAGTGAAACCTAAAGCAATGTGTATTGTATGATGAAGTTTTTGTTCACTAAGATATTTTTAACGTTTTTTATTGTAAAATGTGGGCAACCAAAGAAGATTGATTAACTAAAATAAAAGTCTAGATTGTTTAGAAAATATTTAATAACTGCATTAGAATCATAACTTGTGTTTTTAAATGAAAATAAAGATTTGTTAAAGTAGTTTGCCCTTTTCTTCAAATACATTATTATTACTGGAATTTATGTACTTTTTATATCAAACAATTTGCAAATTAACAAACCAAAGACATATAACCCATGCCTAACTGAGTTGGCCTTTTCTTTTTTTTTGGGGGGGGGCGCTTTGGCGCCTTAAAAATCATGGGTGTGTATCTGAAATTGCCTAAAAAGAGGGATACGATTGTAAAAATTCAAATGATGAGCTGTGTGTCTAAAATTAATTCAGTTTAAAAGGATATGATAGAGGTGACTACGAATTCAATCCGAGAAACATCACGGGTGTGTATCTGAAATTGCCTAAAAAGAGGGATATGATTGTAATAATTCAAATGATGAGCTGTGTGTCTAATATTAATTCAGTTTAAAAGGATATGATAGAGCTGACTACGAATTTAATCAGAGAAACACATCAGCAACATACGTCAACACACATAACACACATCAACAGAAAACAGACTATAGAGACAATAGAGTAAAGATAACCAATTATAGGAATGAAAAAATGAAGGGGTTTAGTAGGTTAAAAATGAAGGGGTTTAGTAGGTTAAAAATAAAGGGGTTTAGTAGGGTAAAAATGAAGGGGTTTAGTAGGGTAAAAATGGAGGGGTTTAGTAGGGTAAAAATGAAGGGGTTTAGTAGGGTAAAAATAAAGGGGTTTAGTAGGGTAAAAATGAAAGGGTTTATTAGGGTAAAAATGAAGGGGTTAAGTAGGGTAAAAATGAAAGGGTTTAGTAGGGTAAAAATAAAGGGGTTTAGTAGGGTAAAAATGAAAGGGTTTAGTAGGGTAAAAATAAAGGGGTTTAGTAGGGTAAAAATGAATGGGTTTAGTAGGGTAAAAATCACAGAGTATAAATACAAAAATGCAGTAGTTGCGCATGGTTTTTTCAATCAAGCAGTGCCTCATTAAAAAAAACACAATTAGTCCCTTTTAGATCCGTAAAACTTTAAAATCCTCACGATCCATGGAGGTCCCTCTTTACATGTATGAGTGATTAGGCTTGTTTATCCTTTTGGCTAAAACTTTTAATAATACTTCAAAACGTTCAAAACTGTATTTAAAATAGTTTTTTACCGAGCAAATTTTTATCCGAAGAGAGAAATTTAAAAGTTTTATCATCTAGATTTGGCATTATAGTGTAACTTGTAAAAAAAGAAAATGTTGATCTCATTTATGGCTTGCCGTCATAGTCTCCAACTGTACATAATTATTTCAATTTACCATGCGCACACATTTGGTTATAAAACCTATTATTTTAAACTTTAAGATAATAGACCAGATCAAATTATTCTAAAAAACTGAGAGAGGAACAATTAGGGTAATATAGAGAGAGAAGATGAAGATGTTTAGATCAGATATCTTCATCATCATTCCTTCTTTCTCAATCATCAGGTATACACAGATATCTTCATCAACATTCCTTCTTCCTCAATCAGCAGGTATACACAGATATCTTCATCATCATTCCTTCTTCCTCAATCATCAGGTATACACAGATATCTTCAACATCATTCCTTCTTCCTCAATCATCAGGTATACACAGATATATTCATCATCATTCTTTCTTCCTCAATCATCAGGTATACACATCATCAACAAACATCAACACATGATTCAACACACATCAACACATCAATAGAGATGGGCATAGCTTTTTGAACAAACGAAATTTTTGAGAACGAACGAAATTTTTCGTGAAAAATAGCGTCGTTCAGGAAAAAATTAAACGATGGACGAAATGAAATGGATCGTGTAGAGAAATGTAAAAACGATAATTTTTTACTGAGAGAACGATTTTTAGAACCAATTTTTAAAAAGACGATAGTTTTTTTACTTAACGAACGAATTAACTGAACGAATGATTTTACCCAATTTTTGTGAACGGTTAAAAAAACGAACGAATTGGTTTGTTCAAGATTTGGTTTTACGATAAAGACATTTAAAAATGGACGCGATCAGGCACACGACAAATTTCATGATTTTATAATTTCGCGGCTTCAGAAATGTAAATCTGAGCAGCTTTTCAATAATAGCTTGCCATTTATAATTCGAGCTGTTAAATAAATTGTTGAGAACAAGTAATAAACTTTACAGTAATACTAATATGTAAAAGATTGTTTTAAATTACATCTTAAGTAACCCTCTATATTAAAACACGACGATATCCTCCTCATGGTTACCCAGATAAAGGTTTAGAGTGATTTGCTGCTAAGCTGGTTTACAGTCATAAAGTCGTTTGTAATATTCCACCAGTTGTTTCAGTCAGCAGAAGAAACGTTTTTTACAATTATTTAATAACCCGGACAAGACATGTAAAAAAATAGCACTGCACTTTCAGCCTAAACTACCATGTCTAGCAAGTCACTCCCTTTAAAGGGTATCGTCGTGAATTTAGCTTTTAATGATTATTGAAATTACGTCAGCATTAAAATTTGCTCTTTTTTAAAATCTTAATGTTGTATTTTCTAGGTCGTTATGACAATACCACAGAATGTTATCATCGTAAATCTTCTTGTATCTCTAGGTAATTTATTTCAAATTAAAAACAACTTTATTTAAAAGTATTAACAAAAGGCAAAAATTTTAATGAACTGAAACAATATAGAATAACAAAGTATAGCGGTAACCATAAACCTGTGGAATAGGAAGACGACAGTATAAGACTGAAGTTACCATGTTAAACATAACATAACATAAAACATAAACATTTGTAAAAATTCCACAGCTGTCACAATGTTACCATAAAACAGTCGTATGAAATAAAGGAAATCTAAAGCATTAAAACTGATGTGAATAAATCTACAGAGTATAGGAAAAAATGTATTTACAAGTAAAACAGTTGCCTGCCTGCTTCCAAGCAGAGCGGACAAATCCTATATGGTCCCAGAATTACAGCTGGAGAAGCGCTGAGTTTAGTTACACATCTTGTATCCTACAGGAGAAAGCAAGAATTGTACATAGATTAAAACAAAACTTCATCTTCAGCTTGGTGCACTGAAAGAGGAGTTTAACCCCTCGTGGGAATACAAGCCATTGTTTTATAACAACAGTCAACTTGCATAAAATTGCTTAAATGTCGTCTTTCTATTGCACAGTATCAAAGGTCTCAATGATAGGTTTTGAACCTTAATCTTTGCAATGTTCCACATTCAATTAGACACAATACACATTGTGACATAGGTTCAAAATCCTGCAAATTATTACCTTTTATGATATTAGATCGTTTATACCTCTAAATTGAGATTTAAAGGACTAATCAGAAAATTCTAAAAGAATAAATCATTTTTTAAAATCTATTAGGCTAATATTGAAAAAAATTCTTGCAGAAATTACCGGTTTTTGAGTATTATTTGTGTATTTTGGCATTAAAGCTTGGAGGATAATCCAATATAATAATGGACGCTCTGTTTAAACTTGAAAGTTAACATTTATAACTAGCTGTGAAGTGAGAAAAAGTTTTTTATTATCTTGCTTTGGGTTCTTAATAGTTGGGACCAAAAAATGTAATTACCCCCAGGATGATTATCTTGGATTTCTCCATTCGAGAAGTGATAAAAATTTTCTAAATATATTTCAGGTTCTTCTTTTTTTCTTCGTCCAGAGTTTTCCATGGAAATTAGATACAAAAGACAAGAAAGGTAATTTTTTCAGCTTTTTTATAAACAGAGAGCCAACATAAGACAGACAAATAGGGGGGGGGGGGGTTTAGCTCCAATAAAATGTGTTAAAAGAACTCCAATATTAATTCTTAGACCAGGAGGTCAAGTTTGCCAGGAAAAATGTGAAGTTTCAAAAAACTATTGTTTATGAAAGTTCAAGGTAGTTTTTTTCAGAAGTCGAACAACTAAACAAATATGCTGTAAGGCGTAACAACACTATTTTAAATAAAACATATCCAAGGGGTGGTTTGCATTAGTCATTATGTCCCCTGAATCATTTGGGAGGAGGGGGGGGGGGGGGCAAAACATCCTTAAATCACGTCTGGTGTATTCAATTTGTACTTTATAACATTTTTAAGATTACTCGATCAACCAGTGCTTGTGAGAAATTGTGACAGACAACGTGAAGTTCTTAATCACACTCCCTTTCTTGTTTATCTTAGGTAGTACTAACAATGATAATAATAATAATAATAAAAATAAAAATTATTTCGGCGTTTTAAGTGTGTTGTATACAAAACGAATACAAAATAATATGAAATATTAACTATACACAAATGCGTCGAAAAATAATTGATGACTATAGGTTGTAATATCTGAATAGTTTGTTTGAAATTAAATATATTTTGTTAAGATCCTAGTTTGATATTCCAATTTTCTGATTTTGTATGGACGCTACGTTCTTCAGTATAAGTCGTTTTTAACAAATTTCTCCTTATCGTCGCAACAGATAGAAGTAAGATTAGTAGCTATCAGAAGCGATTAATTTTCGCTCTAAGTCTATAGCCCCTTTCATTTTTCGTGAACACTCCCTTAAAAGATATTAATAGTTCTAACGAAAATAAATTTAGATGTCAGAGTGTTCCCCAGAATTCAAAAGAAAAAAAGATGGAGGAAAAAGTTTGGACTGGACAACCTGTATTTCCTAGAACCATGAGTGTTGTTCAACTGAGACCAGAGGAGGAAGCTGATCTGCTTGGGGAAGGGGGTGAAGGGGGAGAAGGGGGAGAAGGAGGAGAAGGAGGAGAAGGAGGAGAAGGAGGAGAAGGCAAACATGTACCAAGACCCATATTTAGGTAAATTACAAATGTTTTCATTCGAGGTCAGGATTTATAGGACGGTTAAAGGTCCGAGGTTATTAGCTGCCATAAAAATTATAATTTTGTATTTTTGCAGGTTTATCTAATATGTCAATATTGTTTGACATGTATAAGGCCACATGACACAATTACAAATACTCATGGGAAGTTTCACATTTCAGTAAACGTTGGCTCACTTGGCAAAATGAAGACTCTGCCAGACAATGTACTATTTTTGGTTAAATTTTAAAATGAAAGCAAACTTTAAAAATATTGTGCAGCCGTATTAAATTTAAAGAATCTTGATTTTATAAGTCAAAAACCCAAAACCGTTGTCCAGTGATGTACATTTTACAGTGCTACCCACAAAGGATGAGACTTCAATGACGTCATAAAGCTCTTTAAATATAGCGCCCTGGGTGCAGTTATATGTAAACAGTATTTTAATAACATATTTATGATTAGGCAAACAAAGAAATAAGTTCACAGCTGCAGAAATCCACGAAACTAATAAAAAAGGCTGAATAAATTCCGTACAATCGGCTCTGAAGTCTCATCATTGTACAGTGTACAGTGTACAGTGTACAGTGTACAGTGTACAGTGTACAGTGTACAGTGTACAGTGTATAGTGTACAGTGTACCTTCCGTGGAATTGATGAGTTATTTAATATGTTTTGATATTTCAGACTGATTAAGCGGTCTAGCAGGTTCTGACTACTCCATGGAGAAAAGTCTAGCGTGGCATTGAAAAAAGATAATTTGTTGCATTTATTGTGATGTCACATATGCGATTAATGATTTATTAGCTGAACAACGCACCAAGTGAGCTGTTGTTGTGTACACAAATCACTCACTGTACTGTTGAACGATTTTAATGTTAAGTAAAATTTTACAGACTTTGTTATAATAATGCACGTTTTCATTTTACAACCTTGACATTTGCTGTACATATAAATATTTTCTTCTCATCAACTAAAGCTGTAATTTTTCTTATTTGTATCAATTTAGTTGTAAAAGATTAAATAATTGATTGTTTTTAAGTAGATGTATTAACTCATATTCAATTGGATTTGATGTTAAAGAATAAAATTTGAAGATTGATTTTTAATATTTTCTTTTTTGTTGTAAAAGATTAAATAATTGATAGTTTTAGAGTAGATGTATTACATAATTCATATTCGCTAAATATTTGATTTGATATTAGAGTATAGAATTTCAAGGGCGTACACAGGGGGGGGGCAAGGGGCAGTGCCTCACCCCTAGAACTCAGAGCTATAACACTTTTAAAATATGAAACTGAAGAGTGAAGAACACATAAAAATATTAGTTTGCTGTTTTAATTCTGCTAGTTTTGTTTGAAGCAGTGCTTAGGATCCATTTAAATTTGATGCGGATCCGGATCCGGATCCAGTGTATCTTTCGAACTACGCAAATCCGCTATACTCTACCTCTGACCTACACCAAATCCGCTATACTACACATCCGACCTACTAACACGTGGTTTTCCAGCTGCTAGATAGACTTGAGGCTGTAGCGCCCAGCCCCCTAACCTGTCCTAGCCGCAGCGCTTGGCCCAGGAATTGTCTTATCTTAACCTTACCTTCAAATAATACAAAAGTAAATAGCTGGCGTAGGTCCGATATTGCATTAGGTCATAAGTTCAGTAGTAGGGATGTATCGTATAGACGATGTAACATTACCATTATGTACACCAATTACTAAGGTGTAGTTTCTTATTTCTTCTTCCACTAATATAATGAAGACAAGTTTAATGATAATTGAAAGGCAATTTTAAATATTTAAGAAATTTCACGTCGTACTTTATATTCATATTTCAGTATAAAACGCTCAATTCTTTTTCAGTGGGCGTAAAACTTTGGCGGCCTCCAAAACATTATTTAGCTAAATACATGATGGCAAAATAAATACCACTTTGTAATATTTACAAGTACCTGAAGTACCAGGCGTTGCCAGTGAAATTAAAAAAAGATTTTGAAGAAAAAATGATTTTTTTTGCCTATGTTACTCCGAGGATACCCATGGGTTCCCTCAAAAAATATCAGCCCATTCAGTCCAGCCGTTTGGATGGCTATAGGGAACAAGACTGAATACGAAAAAGGACGATTAAAACCCTGGAATTGAAACGTAGATAACTAAACAGAAATTTTCAATACATTGAAGAAGTTTCTTTCTAAATATATTCTTTGTTTAATTAAACATTCCTCAAACTAAAAAAAGTCCTTTAAAGTGTATCCTACATGCGCATTGGGCAAGCAACTTACATGTCGAAGTATGATTATTAAATATAACAGCAGTGATATTTTCGAATATTTATTATGTTTACAAGATTACAAGATTACAAGATTAATTTGTCAGATTCAGGTTAATCAGGCTTTGGTCTTCTTCTTCGCCTGCTCGCTCTCCTCCTCCCCCTTCCTCTTCTTATCCTTCCCTCCCTTCTTCTTCCTATCTGCCTTCTCTCTCTCCTCTATTTCGTTCATTTCCTAGAATTAAAACTGGCTTAAAAGAGGTATTTACATATATGGTCACTTTTTCATTCTCGTTATAAAATTTTTCAATGGAAAATGATGATAAGTTTTTAAATCATTAAGAGAAAATTTAAGACTTTGTGTCTTTCAATTAAAACGTTCAGAAACTCAAAGCAATTTCATAATTTAGCTAAGAGACAAGGATAATGAAAAAATTTAGTGTTCTTAATTATCTGTTTTTTCACTTTTTCATTTTAAATCCTCTCAACTGAATAAAGGGGTTGAATCTGATAATGTAAATAACCAAATAACATTGTAATTTGGAATTATTACGTTAAAACATATTTCAGAAATGCTTAATGACATACTCGGGGAAGTCCTCTGGAAATGTTTAACCGAGATTAAACCCCCAGATCCGGGGGGAAATGCAGGCCAAAAGAAATGGTAGTAAAATGTAGTAGTAGAAATGGTAATAAAATGTCGTCTTTAAAGGGATTTACATTTTATCTCAAATGTCCTATTTCACAATTAAAAATTAGTGTTTGAAGTATGAAATTAATGGAAAATCTATGTACAATGTTACCCACAAAGAATGAGAGGGTAAAGACGACATGAAACTTTTAAAATATTACGAACGAGGGTTAAGTAAGTTTTCCCATAAACTAAAGTTGATTAAATTAAAAATCTATATTTTTTAAATCCATCAAGTTTATTAAGCCTCGTTTTTTTGCTTGTGGGAGAGAGGTAATACGTATAAAAAGCGTTAAGTCAACACTACATTATTATGCATTAAAGGATAAATTGTTTTAAAATAAATTATATTTTTTTAGGGATGAGGGAAAAACTTGNCCCCCCCCCTAGGACATCCAGGTTTACGTTCCCTCAGAACAAGAAGACAAATTATGGCTTAATCCTTAGAAAATCAAAGAGACAACTGAAATCGTAGATGAATAATGCTACAATGTGTACTGTAGTCATTGTTAAAACCCTCAAACACTTTTACGACAGGGTAATCAAATAGATTTTTTATAAAAATGTTATTTTATGAATATACAGGGTAGAGAAGATGGCGGTCTGTGTCTCAAAGTATCAACTCTATCTAATTTGAGTTAGCTTTCTATTTAATAGTTTTAGTTATCTGAATTTTTTTACTTATTCCTACAAAGACAACATGTATCTAAGCTGAATCTTGGAAATCATGTTAACTGGTTGGACAACATGTCGTCTTTCTTTTTACATTTGACCCTTGTGACGTTGTGCGCAGTTGGTCAATCTTACTGTTGCTATCTATTGTACTTGACAATCTATTTGTATTATTATACCAACTTGGGAACCCAGCGTTGTTTGGAAAGTAAGTCTTTCCTATAAAAGTCATCTTGCTTGACTTAGATTTTTTTTTTATAACTTAAAACATCCTTGTGGTTCTACCGAGTTTCTCAAAACAAAATGTTAAGCAAATCGGTCTATGGGTTCTAGATTCATGATCGGACATCCAAACAAACAGACTGACAAACAGAGATTACTACTTTATATATTCAGATAAAAAAATATACGGTCCCCACCGGAGAAAGATAACAAAAATGGCAATGAAATCATGGAAGCTGTTTTTTTTTTCAGGGATATATTCCTTAATCGCTTCAAATCTTTAGTTTTCTTAATTCTATCACAGCAAAGCGCCTTTTTTCTTGAGAAAAACATATTAAAATGATCTCCAGTTAAAAAATCGAAATGTCATAACTTAGGAAATTAAAATATAGAGAAGTTTATCTTTCCCCACGTCTATTCCATTTAAATACAACTAAGTGTAAGATCTACGGATCTTTTCTTAAATCTTGATGTTCAGGTTGAATCCAGAAACCAGTGATCTAAAGAAGCACATGAAGATCTACTTATCTAATTCTATACTTGTTCCTCCTGTATATACATATATAAATATTTAATCAAGCTTTATCTGAGATTTTATTTGAGTTTAGTTAAATTTTACTCTAAATGTATTATTCTATGCCCCATCATGTTAATAGCTGAACAATTCCTGTGGATCTAGGTATTGTTTCTAGGGAAAATGCTAAAATTCCTAAAACGGGCACACTAAGGATTAAACTCTGGAGCAATATTATTATTATTATTATTAAAGGATCAGTAAGAGAGTACTGAATTTAAGAATAATTAAAAAGTTCTCTATTATTTTAATGCGGATTCGGATTCTGGATTCTGTAAAAAATGGATCCGGATCCGGGTTATGACCATTTACATAAGATGTAATGATTTTTAAATAGATAAAAAAGATTTTATTTCTTTTTTTTATGCTAAAACTTAATGAACCATTTAGAGATTATGAAGTTTTAATAATTGCCCATTAGAAACAGTGGAGTATTGTGTTTAGAGAGCAAAAAATATTCTTTTAGCAGGTTTTAGTTGATATTTTGCACATTGGATCCGGATACAGGAAGTCAAAATGTTGCGTATTCAACGGATACGGATACAAAGTAATGTCTGGAATATGAGAAAAAGAAAACAACGAAGAACTTTTTGTCGGAGAAAAATTTATAGAAATTAAAAAACCTTTTCCAAGAGAAAAACTGAAATAAGAATAATTATCAAACCTTCTCAATGAGCATGATCAGAGTATTACATCTTCTCTGCAGTTCCATTGCTGTTCTTGATTTAATAAACCAATCAAACCTAAAAAAATTGCATTTGAAATGTCCTACTTAATTAGCAGGGGTATGTTTTTCTATACCCCCCCCCCCCCCCCCACATTCATAACAGTTTGGGGGAAAGATAAAAAATGTTGACGGAAAATGAAAAATTAGACAAAATATTCAATCACTGTTCAGTTTAAACCTCTGCTGGATACTCACAATGAAGTATTAATATTACATAATGGGGAAATTATTTTTAAAGATGTCCAAAGGAGTGAAATTAAACCAAGCATCCCAGTAATTAGGTTGAAAAATTTATATGATAATAAAGAAGGAGTTTGACCTGAACTGTGGCGCACATCTAACAGATGCTCTCAGATCCTCGTAAACGTTCTCCTTGTCGAACCCGAGCTTGTGGAGCATACACACCAAAAACCTAACAGAAGGATTAAAAAAGAACTTTAAAGGTATTTTACAGAAATAGAGAAAAGAGGAGGGAAATTAGCAACCTTTGTGGCTAATTTGATAAATAAAACACGCGTCACGTTGCACTGTTTAAATATAATTTGAAAACTATGAAATACCTAAACCGCTGCTGAGATAAAATTCAATTTGTAATCTGAGCAGTGCAGTGAGCACATTAAATAACTATAATCATTAACTATGATTGCAATGTTAAAAAATCGATAATTTACAAAAATTAAATTACAAATTGGTACTAAAAAACATAGAATTTCTAATTGTGCGCAAGCGGGGACTAAAGGCTTTTTTGCGCACTATTCAGAGATTAATTCCGCACCAACAAATGATAAAAAATGTCAATCTTAAGTTCAGAACAATTTTCCATTAAAATATTTTATAAAAAAGAGCCTCTTAAATAGTTTGACTAACCTTTTAATCAGTGCTTAGGATCCATTTAATTTTGATGCGGATCCGGATCCGCACTGGAAATAAATGGATCCTGATCCAGGTAATTTCTTTAAAATTTACTGAAGTTCTTTTAACAAAGCAGAAATTTCAAATTTTTTGTCTAATTTTTTCGCTTGTTATTATGCAAAACTTTATAAAGCATTCAGAAATAGGAAATTTGTATAATCTCTTTTTTCAATCATTCAAATTTGGGCTTCGAGAATAATTTTTTTTCTTCAGTTTTTTGGTTGATATTCTGCCCCTTGGATCCGGATCCGTGGGTACGCATGTTTTTGCGGATCCGGATCCCGGAAGCCAAAATCTAGCGGATCCGGATCCTAAGCACTGATTTTAATATTTCCGATACCAAAATCAAAGCTATTTGAAATCAATTAATTTTCGTTAATAAATAATGCTTTTACCATAATAAACACGAAATAACTCAGTAAAAAAATAGAATGTTTTAGGGAATTAGGGGATGGGGGGGGGAATAATTTACCTGTCTTCCTCCTCGGTATAGTTCTTTCCCTTGTTGGTACCATAGGCTATCCTCAGCTGATGGAAGGGAGCCTTATACCTACATAACAATAAAAATAAAATAATTAGTATAATTAGTATAATTAGTATAATTAGTATAATTAGTATAATTAGTATAATTAGTATAATTAGTATAATTAAGATAATTAGTATAATTAGTATTATTCATGAATATCAGTGAAGAGATCTGAAAGCCCCACAGTTTGTAGAACCCAGACCGCCATAAGTATCAGTACAGGTCTCAAGTCAAACGCTTAGATTGATTAACAAAAACAGATAGATCACTAGATGTCATCTTTCCAAGATTTCGGGGTATTTCGTTCACAATTACCATGAAGAAGTTACGCACTTGCGGCGTAGAACAGGCTCTCTCTCTGGAGCATGCGCACACCTCCTTTTGACTTCTTTCTCGGGATTATTGTGAACGAAAAACCCCTTATCTTGAAAAAACAACATATGGTGTTCTATCTGTTATTGTTAATTAATCTATGGTTAAATGTAAATTAAGTTTCGAAGACTTTAATCTGCTTCTTCAGAGTGTTTTTGCTAAATTTTTTAGCTTTAAGGAGCAGGGTCCCAGGAGTTGTAGGTTTGTCTAAAAAAGTTTTTTTGGGGGATTTAAAATGATTTCTTTTCAAATAGACTTTTTTAGGCAATCATTAGCCAGTCATAAGGTTCAATTAGGACATAGATATTTTACTAAAACATGTCTTATGACTTTTAAGGAAAATTCACAAAATTAAGTGTCCCTACCATCCACGGTTCTTGACTATAACCAAGATTTTATTACGTTAAAAGTTTAGTTAACCCCAGGGGATGATACAGAGGTGAGCATTTAACCAGTTTGCTCACCCCTGAAGCTTTTATGGAAACTACGAGACAATTCTAAAATTCCACTATGAATGGAATTAAAAGAGGCAAACAAGAAATTTGCTCACCCCTAATAAATTAGTGTATCCGCCCAGCTAATATTAAGCTAATGGAAACATCCGAGAAAATTGTTCACGTCAAAGAACATTTAAGTCTACCAAACTACCAAACTTATTTCACATAATTAAATTTTCAAAACGATGATTTATTTTGCACGTTTTCTTGCAAAATACGTGTAATGTGTCAAGTTATGGGAAATTTGATCAGCTCCAAATTAAAATAATGTTCTCTCCAAAAAAAATTGCTTAATCTTTACGATTCGAGCAAGTAATCGATCCTCATTTCAAAACTTGAATACAAAGATCAACAGATAATGATCCAACCTTGCTATTTTGGCGTCCAGAGCTTTCTTGATCAATGATCTTCTCTGTATCCTAGCTTCTCCCTTCTCTATCTGTCCCATGATCCTATCACAATCCTGCAGCTCAGCACAACGATCCCAGAACACCTAGATAACAAGCTAAAACTTTGAATAAAATAAAAATATTATGTTAACGCAAAAAATATATTTTTACTTTTCTTAAGAAAGTTTACCACCAAACATTGATTCAGCGATTTGCGCTTGATCTGCGTCTATCAGTGCTTAGGATCCATTAATTTTGATCCAGGTCCGGATCCGTTTTTTCAATGCTAAAACTTGATGAACCATTCGAAGATCAGGAAATTTTTGAAAATTTCGCTTTTCTTCAACAGTTCAGATTTAGGTTTTGAGAGCAAAAACGTTTTGTTTGCAGCTTTTGGTGTATATTTTGCCCTCGGATTAGGATCCGTGGATCCGCATATTTTTGCGGATTTGGATCCAGGAATTGTCAAAATGATGCGTATCCAACGTATCCGGATCCTAAGCACTGTGTAATATGTATGTAACTTACCTTTGCGTACTGTATAACCTCCTCAGGTGTTTTTCCTTCCACCTCCTTGCTGATAGAGCCCATATCATCTCTACCATACTTCTCATTCAATCTTGATCAAATAATTTCTATTATTTTAATGTTATTTTCAGGATTTTAGCTTTTTTTACTCGTTATAAAAGTTAACCCACTCAACTTAGAATCTTAACCCAGACTAAAAACATTCCCGTGGTTCTCCCAAGTTCTCAAATCAAAATTTGAGGCAAATCGGTCACGGGTTCATGAGTTATGATCGGACATACAAACAAACAAACAAACAAACAAACAGAGATTACTAATTTTTTTTTGACAAATTTTAACGTTTTAAACATTTTTGTTTACACTTAAAATTTCTGTGCGAATGGCGTAAACTAGAGCCTTCTATTATTCTCGTAGTCAATTTTAACCCTATCTCTGCTGGGGTACTTGAAAACCAGGATATGCTAGGGTCAAAATATGACAAATGATACATCATTGGAAAGCTCTTGCGCTCTACTTTTAGAATCTGCAAAAAATTTGCAAATTTGCAAAAATTGAATTTTTTATCGCAAAATCTAGTTATTTGTCCAAAAAAATGAAAAATTATACATTTTTAAAAAGCCCTTGACCATGCTATTTCAAATATGCAAAATTTTTTGCTAAATTTTAAATAACCTGATTTTTAATCAAGAAAAACTAAAAATGTGCAAATTTCCTTCAAAAGGTTGTTTGCAAAAAAATTTGAAATTTTTTTTCGCAAAAATTGTGCAATTCGTTTTCTTATGTCAAAGGCTTTCCATAAAAGCTAAATTTTATCAAAATCTGACAAGTGGAAGTGGGTCAAAACAAAGATTTAGTTTGTTGCAGGAAAAAGCAGTTATTCAGGCAGTGTGCCTGAGGACTCAGGCAGTTAGTATTAAAGCCCGGTTTTAGGCCTAAAGGGAGGGCTTTGGGTATGTTGGAAAAGTCAGAAAATTTCAACAGCCTCAGACCAATACTTTTTGAGTTATGTAAAAAAAACTACAGGGGGGGGTCAAATTGCCCCCCCCCCTAGCAGGAATAGGGTTAATCAAGTTGGAAGCTTTGGGATTTCTCTGATGCAAAATAATTTTTGTATTCATTGTTCAAAACAAATGTCTAAATTTTGTGTTGACACTAAATATTGGGGAATGAAACCTTACTGTACTCTTACTGTACTCCTACTATACTCCTACTATACTCCTTCTGTACTCCTACTGTACTCCTACTGTACTCCTTCTGTACTCCTACTTTACTCCTACTATACTCCTACTATACTCCTACTATACTCCTACTATACTCCTACTATACTCCTTCTGTACTCCTACTTTACTCCTACTATACTCCTTCTGTACTCCTACTGTACTCCTACTGTACTCCTACTATACTCCTACTATACTCCTACTATACTCCTACTATACTCCTTCTGTACTCCTACTTTACTCCTACTATACTCCTTCTGTACTACTCCTACTGTACTCCTACTGTACTCCTACTGTACTCCTACTGTACTCCTACTGTACTCCTACTGTACTCCTACTTTACTCCTACTATACTCCTTCTGTACTCCTACTGTACTCCTACTGTACTCCTAATTTGAACTAATTTGATATGAAATCTGAAAAAGAGGCCCCGTTATGAACCACCCAGACCGCCAGCAGGCACAGGAAGCACCGTCCCATCCTACTATACTCCTACTACTATACTCCTACTATACTCCTACTATACTCCTACTATACTCCTACTATACTCCTAATGTACTCCTACTATACTTCTAATGTAATACTCCTAATGTACTCTACTATACTCCTACTATTCCTACTATACTCCTACTATACTCCTACTATACTCCTACTATACTCCTACTATACTCCTAATGTACTCCTACTATACTTCTAATGTAATACTCCTAATGTACTCTACTATACTCCTACTATGCTCTACTATACTCTACTATACTATACTTTACTCTACTGCTTTCTACCTGACGAACTGGTTGAAGTCTCTCTTTGTCCAATCCCTGAACCCGTCCTTGAGTAGTTCCTCCTTCTCTATCTGCTCCTCCTCCGTCAACTCCTCCGCATCATCAACCTTCCTCTGCTCCTCCTTCTGAACACGCTTAGCGTCGGATCCAAGCTCAGAGTTCAAGGGAACCTAGTTATTTAAGAGAATTAAAACAATTCGGATTCATTCCGTTTTATAAATATGTTTAACAAGCAAAATAAAAATCAAGGCTCATGAGATTTAACCCGGGTTTAACTTGAGGAAATATCCACTAAAAAACCCCATATTCTACATAACCGTAAACTATATAAAAAAGTTTTTACACAAAAAAAATCAAAGCTTACTGGAAAAAAAATCTCAAAAATTGATGGTTAAACTTAATCAAATATATATAAAGGCAGCCCATTTTTGTTAACTATATTCATTTTAAAAACTTCCAAATTTTGAAAACTGTATTATGTCAAAGTTTTCTTTTTTTATTAAACTTTGCAATATTTTTCTCCTTAACACAGAAAAACGGAACAACGATCCAAAAACGATCGTTAAAACCTTAAAAGACGTTCGTTTTTGGACTTTTTTTTTGGCATAAATCTTCTGCCAGGGTTCAAATTTGACATAGTATAAGATATACAAATATTTATAATAACAATTTGAAAACATCCACTCTTCTTAAACTATTCCAAATTTTGACCCTGAAAGAAATTATAGGCAAACCTACCACAAAGCTAACCAAAAGAGTGTACACTGCACATCACTGTCTAGTGTCTATACACACTATTTTCGAAGGATAGTTGTAAGACTACAATTCTATTATTAAAAGATCTGTAAAAAACACTGTATGTAGTTTGTTTGCTTACTAACCTTATAGTTAACAGTTTTTCTGAAGTGGAAAATCTCCTGATCGAGGAGTTCAAAAAGACGAGTCGGGAAGAACTGGAAATCTTGCACAATCGGCTGCTTCGGCGGTCGCGGGGCCTTGTGAGCCTTTTGTTCGGCTGCTCCTTGACGCAACGCCTCACGGAAGTACGCATCAACCGCGTAATTTGCTTTTCGCTCACGCTTAGGAGGAGCAATCCATTGGAGACCGATATCTTCTCTCTGCTTCTCCCTAAAATCCTCTCCTTCGAAGTTATAAAGTGAGGATTCCTGCTTAGTGTCGAGGGTAAAGTTGCGAAGACTGGATTCCCCAAGGTCGGCCATCTTGGCGTTCAGTTCCTGGGTTTTCTTTTCTCCGATCTCCAGGAGCTTATCAATATCAGAATCCTCTAGTTCTCCGTCCTTGCTGGCGAACACGTGGTTGGCTCCGTGTCTGATCATGTTGAGCATCTCGTCCTTGTTGAGGTTCGCCTTTTGCTCCGCTAGTTTGCCCTGCTGAATCACCATCCTGTCCAGGCGCAGCTTAATCTCAGCTCTCTCAACAATCTTCTCGTCCACAGTGTTCTCCACCAGGAACCGGAATACACGGACCTGGACGAGGAATTAACAAACAATTGAAACCAACAACAACTGTTGAAAGTTAGAAGAAAAGAAAAAAGAAAAGGAGCTATAGGAAGAGAAAGTAGTGATGGAATAGAGAACAAATAACAAGATACCGAACTGCAGAGAATAGCAGACACATTTGACAGCAAAATAGAGGTTGAACTTCAACCAACGGTCAGGAAGGGGGGGGGGGGGTTAACATCTGAATGCAAGAATTGAAGAGGCATATAATATTAGAGATATGGCATATAATACTTGAGATATGGAGTACAGAAAGCGTTGAATATATTGCAGAAAAAATGAGGTTGAAAGTAAAGAAAACAGGATGCATGGAAAAAGAGAGGAATAAAGCACTGTGAACAGGAGGTTGAGTGCAGAAAACATGTATTATGGGTACAGAAAACAGGATGTATGGAAAACGAGAGGAATAAAGCACTGTGAACAGGAGGTTGAGTGCAGAAAACATGTATTATGGGTACAGAAAACAGGATATATGGAAAACGAGAGGAATAAAGCACTGTGAACAGGAGGTTGAGCAGAAAACAGTATCAATTTGAACGGCAAAGAAAACAAGACATTGTGGAATACAGAAAAAAAAATAAAAGATTTAATTAAATTGTATTAGAGTTTATAAAATATAAAACAAATTTCTATTTTTAATGTTCCCTAACCTGTTTTTTCTGTCCTATCCTATGAGCTCTGTCCATAGCCTGGAGATCCATCTGAGGATTCCAATCCGAGTCATAGATGATGACAACATCTGCCGTGTACAAGTTGATTCCCAACCCTCCAGCCCTCGTGCTCAACATGAAGATAAACTTGGAGGAGTTCTCCGCGTTGTATTCCTGGATTTGACGATCCCTGTCCTCATGAGCTGTATTTCCATCAATTCTAAATAAAACAAATCTAGAATAGTTTCAATTCCAAGTTTACACAAACATTTTTGTATTTGTGAATAGGAAATAGGAAAAATAAAAATGAGGCTCACTCTCTCAAATATTTTTTTAATAAACGTATGTTTTAGAGTTTAGGTATCAAAAAGGTGAAAACTTGCCTTTTAATGTCAAACTTTTTAACCCCCCCCCCCCTAAGCGCATCCAATATTGTTTACATATCAACTAATCTACTAGTTCATGGGCTATCATTTTAAGCCACAGTAAATAAAGAAAAAAAAGAAAAAGTTTTTTATTTTGAAAAATCTACTAAATGGGATTGTTTACCTGCAATACTGATGTCCTCTGTACCAACAATAATCCTCCAATATATCCAACATCCTCGCCATTTGTGTGAAGATGAGAACTCTGCTCCCCTGCTCCATCAGCTTGGGCAGCAACCTGTCCAGGACCAGCAGCTTGGCGGAGTTCTGGATCAGATGCTCGTCTGTAGTGTAGGGAGGCCCGGGCTCAGCACCGTCAAACAGATAAGGGTGATTACAGCATTTACGCAGCTGCATCAGAATATTCTGAAGACGCATCTTTTCGGTCTTTCCGGCGCCGTTCACGATATCGATATCCTTCATCAAGATCTTGGTGTACCAGTCCCTCTGCATCTTAGACAGCCCAATGAAGATCTTAACTTCCTTCTTTGGAAGAAGAGACTTCTCCACGTCACACTTAAGACGACGAAGTAGAAAGGGTTTCAGAACTCCATGGAGACGGGCAACCATAGAGTTGTCGCCAAGACAGGAGTTGGTGTTGAACCATTCGTCGAAGTCGTCGGAGGAGTTGAACACATCAGGAAGCAGAAAGTTGAGGAGGGCCCACAGCTCGTGAAGGTTGTTCTGGAGAGGGGTTCCAGTCAGGAGAAGACGGTTCGAGGTCTTGATCTCCCTGATCACGGAAGAGAGTTTACTCTCCTCGTTCTTAATCCTGTGCGCTTCGTCTATGACCATGTACTTCCAGTTAAACTTCTTAAAGACCGACTTCTCCCGAAGGATCATTTCGTAGGAGGTGACAACAACATCCCAGCCTCCGGGCATCATTACGTCACGGATAAATGCATTTCTAGTCTCCTGGTCACCTTAATAGAACAAATAGATGATGGTTGAGGATAAAGCTGTACAGTGAACACAAGCTCGTTTAAAGACGGTATATCTTGAAATCTTGAAATTAGTTCATAATTTCAAAACAGGCATTTAAGGCATAACATATCTAAAAATTCAATATTTTAACAGCCTATATTTGTGCTCAGCATATTTAAAAATGAATTGTGTTACCTATAAGACAGACTGCTCTGAGAGTCGGGCACCATTTCTTGAACTCGTTCATCCAATTCGCCAGGGTAGACTTAGGAACCAGGATCATATGAGGGCCGTTAATATTCCTAGAATAAGACAATAGCAGTAAATTTTTAATTATTTCTTATCACTTTCTTTGATTGCTTTTAACAAAAATTAGATTCCTACTACAGATGAAAGATGAAGTGAAGAGACAACTGAATAAAAAGTCCAATGTCATTGTCAACACACACAATAAAAACTCAGCAATCTATACTTAAATTTAGCTTGTCTGTCTGGGTGTTTGTTTGTATCCAATAAACGTCATAACGGCTGAACCGATGGGGCCCAAATTTTGTGTGGGGTCTCACGTTACCCCAGGAAGTTTTATGAATGTTCAAAATTAAAAAAATTGTGTTTAAGTTTTTTATTTTTGTAAAATTTTGAAAATGCGCGAAAGAATATTATGAAATCCGCAAACTTTTTTGTTTTACTGTACAAAGAGAAGATTCTCATAGATAAAGCCACAATTCTGAATAATCTATAGATATTGACCTAAAATGTTTCATGTATCCAAGAAGAGAGATTGTCTGCAATGTTTTCCCTAAACCCATCTCGTCAGCAAGGATACCATTGATATTGTTCTCATATAAGGAGATCATCCAGTTCAATCCTCGCACCTGGTAGTCCCTCATCTTACCACCCTACACACAGATCGTAAAATAAATGTGTCCACATAATCAGTTTTAATTCGATCCAAAAAAAATCGCCCGCATTTCAGTTCTCTGATGAGAGAAGTGCAATCTATTTGGTAGAAAATTGGTAATTTTCACAAAATTATTTGCTTAACCCAAAAACAAGCGATGTAAGAACCATTAAATAAATTTAGTAAATTCAGCGAAGGTTTTTAACCCTAAAAAAATTAAAATGGTTTTTGTAGAAAAATGCCAATTTTCACAATTTGTCCATTTTTCCTTCACTGGTCCAACAATTAGTGTTCAGAATCGGAATTTCGTGCGAAATTACGCAAAATAATTTTCGAATTCAGTGGAATTTCGCGGAACTTTCTCACAAGTAATTTTAACAGCATTAAATCACATACCTTGATGTATGGCGGGGACTCATCAAAACTAATCACAGTTTTCTTCGCCTGGTTCAAATCTGATAGAAGCTCTTCATCCTCCTCCTGCTCTGTCATCCTAGAAAGTAAATTTTAAAATTTGTTTTAATATTTTTCAATATTCGGGGGAACAACATACGTCTTTAGAAAAGGTGTTCCGATTTAATTTGGTTAAAAGTGAAGCATGTGAAATTATCAAAAATGATTCTCCTTGACAAAAAAGCTGAAGCCTGATGTTTGCCAGATGAATCTTCGTACGTATCAATAGATAAAGCTTGTGTGTCAAGATTTCTATATTCTTCTGTCTATAAATTTAACCTTCAACATAAAAACGACTTATTCATGATACAAAAGTTTTACTTATTTTAGAGGAGTTTTTTTTTCTCAGATTCTCTTAATCCTTCTTATTAATGTGCAGCTGCAGCTAGAAAGACTAACCAGGTTCTGGGACAAATGTCAAGATCATTCCATTACAGGGACAGGTTCACTTGGATCCAATTGTACAAGGTTTATGTTAGACCCCACCTTGAGTATGCAGTGCAAGCATAGTTCCCATGGACACAAGATATTAATCTACTGGAGAATGTGCAGTGCAGAGCTCTAAGAATGACGTCAGGTCTGGCAAGTGAAACTTATGAGGATAGATTGATTGAGGTTGGTTTGACCTCTCTAGGGGCCAGACGACTTCGTGGTAATTTAAAATAAAGACCTGGAAAATTCTACATGGATATGATAATGTTGATGAATCTTCATGGTTCAGCAGAACATGCGATACAGTGAACAGACTGACAAGACAATCCAATTGTACTTTTAATTTAAATGTGAAGTAATTCAATTCTAACATCCAAAAAAACTCTTTTTCTGTGAGAGTGATAATCCCATGGAACAGTTTGCCAGATTATGTTAAAGAGGCTAAAACTCAAACATTTTCAGGAACAGTTACGATGAACATGTAAAAAATTTCCTGCATATATAACGAAATAAATATACAGTTTAAAATAGCTTTTTCTTACCAAAAATGGTATCTTAGCGAAACCAGAACAATATAGAAATATAATAACAAGTGACCCAGCTCACACTGAAACCTTTCTGCAATATCTTTCGCTATTTAGATGAACCTATATAAACTCTGTACAAATTGTAAACTCTGTTCTGTTACAAAAAAAAGTTAAGGTGAAAATCAGCTGAAGTTAGAAACCTACTAAAAGATTACTCCAATAAAAATTTCTTTTTGTGTTAAAAATAAATTTACTTACTAACTTGTTTTATGAAATATCTAATCGTCACTATTATAAATAAACTAAGAATAAACGTTGGCGATTTTAAAGATCCACTGACAGCTTCGAGTACATTTGTTAATCTTGTTTTATTTATAAAATATTTTGACAGTTGGATCCGGATCCAGGAAGCCCGCGGATCCAACGGATCCGAATCAAAAGTATTGCAAAAAAGGTCCCTTTTCATAAGCCATTTAATTATCGTACCTGTGCCTATTATCTCCTTCCTTCCCCTTGTTAACCTTCTTCTTCTTATCCTTGACCTTCAGCGGGGAGCTGGCTTTGCTAGATCCCATGAAGTGACTGAACAGCTCGGTTTGCTTGAGCAGGAAATCAAATCTTTTATTGCTGGCATTCTTATCCGCAGATGCTGCAACCTGGGGGGTTGAAGTTCCTAAACAAAAAGAAAAACGGATTAAATCTTCTTTTTCTGATACGCTTTATTAGAATTTAGAAATATGTAAAAAGAGTTTCAATATATCAAAATATATATCATAATGAACGACATTATTTTAAATTATATGATACCATTTTTAGCTACTTCGCAAAACAAGTTTAGGAATAATCGTTAATTAAACGCTTAAATTTTAGGATAAAAGTTTATCCCTTATACATGAGATCCAAGGTCGAATTAATGAAATTGTATCTGGATCGTGGAATAACATCATATTTAAGCTTTAAATCAAATGTATCGCTTAGAATAAAATATAGATTTATAAAATTGTTTAGCATTAAAAGGACAGCAGGCGTAATTTCAAGTGACCCTCCATGGAAAAATGGCAATGACAGATTTACAACGTGAAACTTTAATCTGATAAAAATGTGGAATATTCGCAAAAAAAACGTATGAGTCAGGAAAACCCTGACTCATACGGTTTTTTTTGCGAATTTCTCCTTAGCTTCTTAAAAACAAGAAATGTGCAAGTCACTTTCGTCACGTTGAGAAATCGCAAAAGATAAACAATTTAAAGAAACAGAAATATATGTAACTAAACTAAATCAGACAAAGCTTTGCAGGGTACCGTTGTAAATTGGGCATTGCCATCTTTGCATGGAGGGTCACTTGTAATAACGCTCACACTCCTTTTAAGAACAGTTTCTTCTAAAAACTTTGTAATGAAAATTTCAGAAGAATTAAATAAACTTTCAGCGTTTTCACCTGACTCCGAAGAATTAGAATTCCCTTCGTCCACCTCCATTGTAAGGTTTGGATTTATCTAGATCTGAAACAACGATCAATCGTAAATACTTAAACACAATTTTACAACTTAAACTTGTATTATTCCTCATCAAAGAGTTTAAACAAGTAATTAGTGTTTTCATAATCGTTAACTTGGTAATTCCTGGAGAACGAGAATCAATTTTGTGAATAGATCTCATTTCTGTCACACGGGATAGAATTGGGCATGTGGCCGCAGCCGCGGCGCCCCGGCCCCCTAACCGGTCTTAGTCGCAGCCCCCTAGCCTGTCATAATAAAAATAAATAAAAATTGTTTGAGTGCGTCCACCTTTACGATATATTGACCCCCGTCCTATCGTCCTACCCCCAGCCCCCCCCCCCTCCTCTCAATTTTGTACACGAGTCTCACAGGAAGTGTCTTAACATAACCTAACCCGTGGCCGCAGCGCTCGGCCCCCTAGCCCATCCTAGCCGCAGCGCTCGGCCCAGAAAGTGTCTTAACCTAACCTACCCTAAATAACAAAAAAATAAATAATAATAAATTTGCTGAAAAATAAATGGTCATGTACAAAATTGATAGGAGGGGGGGGGCTGGCTGGCCCAAAAATTGTTCACTAGGACAGACCCATCATTTTAATACATGATCATTAATTTACAAATTTCATATTATTGTAAGATAGGTCAGATTAAAACGGGCCGGGCACTGCGGCTAGGACAGGCAAGGGGTCCGGAGGCTGCGGCCACATGGTCGATCCTATCCTTCTCTTTAACGTGTAAGATCCAAGTACAAATTTAATTGGAGGGGGGGGGAGGTTGGACGAGGAGGTCCAAAAATCATACTAAGAAATTGCCAATAATTTTGCTAAAAATAAGAGGTCATGTATAAATTGATAGGAGGGGGGAGGTCCAAAATCGTTCTCTATGATAGCCCCGTTCCCTTAGTAACAAGTAGTAAAGTGAACTCTGTAAATCTTGAGTTTCGTAATTTTAATTCACTGGCCGGCGGCGGCTTGTTGTTTCTTCACAGAAAACCGCGGTTCAAGCGCCGAATGCCCCGTTTATTTTTGCATTCTTTCTTTCAGGGCTTCTGTGGTTTAATATTCAAATTTTTCAATAAATCTATGCTTCTCATAAAAATAAGTTTTCGAAATAAAAATTATTCAAAACTGGTGGGGAAGGGGGGTCATGCATCCGAAAATTTTGTAAGTAAACAACGACGACATTTTACACTTTTCACGACTGTCGCTTGAACGAGGAAGGGAAGGCAAGCCACACCCGTAGCACTTCTTTTCCACAATTTACTCACTTGCGGTAAAGCGCTCACCGTTAGCGCTGCATTCAAAGCTTCTGGCAAACGGTCTTAATTAATGATGCCTAATTTCATCCATTATGACAAATAAACTCCCCTTTGGCAACGTCAGGCAACAATGATTGATACAAAATAGATTTATATTTACTTTAATACCAGAATGAATTTAATCTTTTTTTCCAATTTAAGATAATGTAAAGGTAATCCTACACAAAACTACATCTTTTCTTGCAAAGATTGAACTTATCCTCAATTTCATAAACATGCATAAAGAAGATTAACATCGGCCCAAATGTACAAAATATTGTGGTTAATGAGGAAATTGCAAAAAAATCCATTTCTTGCCATTTACACAGTTCAAACCAACTTTAAATAAAAGATTAATGCATTTTCAGGAAAATAATGCCTTAGTTTCATAACGTAATTATATCCCCTGCACAAGAACATTTAGTTGTAAATAGTACTTATTGAGGCATATAAAAGTATTAATTGAGCAACTCATGATTTACACTGAAACACTGTTCCTAACAAAATTTTAACAACTTTTGGTCCAAGGATGCAGAATGTTTACTTATGTTAACAAATAAAAACATGATAAATGAAAGGTTTAATGAGCCCAGATAGCCAAATTGCGCAAAAAGAGCGCAATTTAAACGTCACTATTTGCATTTTTACGTAAATTTTACCTAGAGATTTTGGTTCTTTTTACGTCATGAAAGATGTAAAATCGCACACTTAGCTACACAAATTTATTGGTACGGTTTTAGTATATTTAAAATTTACGTAATAATATTATACAAATTTACGTCGAAAATGCGCATTATTATTTTCTCAATAAACATGTCAGCTTTCTTTTACCAAATATTATGCTAAATCTAAGCAAATTTGATTCATGCAGATATGCCATCCATCCCTGCAGTTGGATGGATGGATGCAGTAGTATAAGTATCTCTGTCTAAACTGAATCCTTTCATCAGGGAATACAGTTTAAGACAGAGATTACTGCTACTAGCTTTATAATTAGTATGGAGTTATAAAAGTTATATAAAATTTTCNTTAATGCCTAAAAAGACAATTTAAATTCTTTTTAAATGTTTATTTTTTCAATTTATTTTGGAAAATGCAACATGTGCCGTATCGGAAATTTTAGACATTTCACAAATAATTTAGATTTAGAGTTTTAGGCAATTACGCAATTTGGATAGCTGGGAGGAGGGGAAGGCTAACCACACCTTTAGCGCTTCCAATCCACAATCTACTCACAAACATAAACTTGTGGCAAAGCGCTCACACATAGTGCTTCCTTAGCCACACCCAAATAGCTTCCAGCAAGATGTATTTTACTTTTGATTTTATGCCTTAATAAGTACTATTTACAACAAAATAATCTTGTGTGGGGTTCATTATGTTATGAAACTAAGGCATATTCTTCCTAAAAATGCATTAATTTTTAATGTAACTTTGGTTTGTACTATTAAGAGGACTGTGAACTTTCTTGTTAAAAAATGGAATTTTTGAATCAATTATTATCGCATGATATTGCCAAATTGGAGTTTATTAGCCATTTATGGATGATATTAGGCATTAAAAATTAAGACATTTTCCAGAAGCTATTTTGGTGTGGCAAAGGAAACGCTACCAGTGAGCCCTTTGCCACAAGTCTGTTTGTGAGTAAATTAAACTTTGAAGTTTAAACTTTGTGATTTAAACAGTGAGAAAATATTATTTCAAAAAAATCTGTTGTATTTAATTAAATATATATTTTTTTAAATGCTATGATGTCTTTATGAATCTTAAATTAATGCTAAATTCTTCTTTAAAAATCATTATTAAAAAGTAAGCAATTTTGCCGGAAGCTATGGTGGTAGGCAATAATATCAATATAATGAAGACAAATTTTATAACTTTTTATTGCTAACAACTTTTTTGCGAATTACAAGTGACTTAAGAGACTCTTTTTTAAATGACAGCTTTTCTTTGTTTTATTTGTGTATCTATGCTGTTTAAAGACTTGATATAAATCAAAATGGAAAGCGAAGATCGTCTACATTGTATTGGTATAATCGCCTACCACCGTATAATTTGGGTGTGAATAAGTATAGTGCTTCAGGTGAGCGTTTTGCTGCAATTGTCTATGTTTGTGAGTAAATTGAACTTTGAAGTTTTAACTTTTTGATTTAAACAGTGAGAAAATATCTTTTTAAAAAAACTGTTGTATTTGATTAAATATATTAAAAAAATCCTCTCCTCTTTCTAATGGACCGGATTTGCTTTCACCCCCTCGTTGTGTACTGTGCTATTGTGATTTCTTTGTATGGAAATCAGCTGACTGACACCAATAGTGTAATTAATTAGTTTGGTATAACACCAAACTGAACAGAGAGAACAGAGATCGTCTGTTACAAGTGCTTTAAGTTTGTAATTTTCGGCTCAGTGACGTCTTCTAGATATTTTAAGATGTGATATCTGTTTGAGGTTTTTTTTGACTGATCATAACGTAAATCAGGAACCCCTTAACCGATTTGCCTCAAAGTTTGGGTCTGTCCTAGTGAACGATTTNGCCACGGGAATGTTTGGGTCTGGGTAATTTCCTAGAAATTGACCTATCTTAACCTTGATAGGAGGGAGGGGGAGGGAGGGTCCAAAAATCGTTCTTTAGAACGGACCCCGGCCGGGCCACAATAGCGCCATTAAAAGTTGGACTAGAAGATAGGCGTGAAGCGTCCTAAAATTAAATGAACTTCAAAGAAAATAACTTTGTTTCTCCACAAGGCATAATAAGGCACGAAAGCATGTTTTCCTTAACTGAGAGATTATATATTAATGCACTTTTTTTCAGAAGAATGCAGCCCAGACTATCACATTTTCCTACTCAATGGCAACGGTTTGTTAAGGCCTCAGCATCCTCAACACACGAAGGGAATGTTCAAGAGATAAATCAGGGAAAGATGAAAGGGGAAGATGTCATGAATTTTTACAATGAGATAATTCAAGCCGATGCCCAGACAGTGAAACAGGAAGCAAAAGTGGAAGTAAAGGAAGAGAATAAAGCTAATGATGCAAAATAATATAAGTTGAATAGTTATAATTTTGTTGATAAATAGTTGTCGTGTTCAAAATTGAAAGGAGGGGGGGTCCAAGAAAACGTTTTCTATGACAGATTCCAGAAATTATATGAACCTAACATAAGCCGAAAAAGTAACAAAAGATAAACAAAAGATTATTTTGGTGTGCTTGATTTTTGAGTTAACAGAGTAATGCAGTTCCATTATTTTTATGAGTATTATAATAGAGAGAAGAGATTACAAAACAAAATTTTGTGACAATTCTCTGTAAAGTTTATTTTTGATTTAACAAAAGAAATTTTACCAAATTGTCTATCAAAAAATTAAAATATTTTAGAGTGATTGACCCAGCTATGGACTCAAAGTTGTTAACAGCAGCGCAAGTTGGAGACAAACACTCTATAATCCAATTACTACAGGAATAGTCAAATTTGTTTCAAAGTGCAAAAAAATCCTACATTTTACAAAGATAAAGCCAATAAATCTCTAGAAGAAAGAAACTGTCTAACCAATTGTAGTATTTTCTGCTCTGTTAAATTGTAATTAGTAGTATACACAGAAAGGCATTTCATTAAAACTAACTACAGGGTGTCCCAATAAACATGGGAATTAAGTGACAACTTCAATATTGTCACAGTTCCGTGCGGTATTATATCGTGAAAACAATTTTAGTAGTATCCCATTTAAAGCAATCAACAACTGAAACTACTCGGGAATTCCAAAATGTGGTCTACCATTTTTGGACCTTCACAATTGACGGAGTTATCGAGAAATTTGCTAAGATTCCCTTTTTTTTTGATAACAAAAAAATTGTTCAAATGTTTGATATCTCCGTCAACTTTAAAGATATATAAAGAATGCAGACCACATTTTGAAGAGCTCAGAAGACATGCTTTTCTTTATATGATGCCTTTTTGTCATTATATCAAATATCGGAAATCAAAGACGATTTTCAAGTAGTATCCAGGAACAATAATTTGATCGCCCCAGATTGTTTAGGATGGAGCCAATCTAAACGTGGTAGATAAGTACGGCTGGTCGGCACTCATGATATCTAGCGCGGCTGGGCATTCAAATATAGTTGAATGTCTACTAAGTTCCGGCGCAGATACATCTATTAAGGATAAAAGTGGAAGAAATGCTGTAGATATTGCAAATATAAAAGGTATGATTTTTATGTCCCCCCCCCCCAGAATGTTTAAATTTTTTGTTTTTATTCTGTATTTCTAGGAAATTTCGAAGTTCTGAAAAAATTTCAAAGTTGGCAAAATAAGGACGAATTCAAGATAAGAAAAAAGAAATCAGAAGTTGGTGAGTTATATCGCAAGCAATAAGCATTCCTGAAAATTAGAATTTCTGAAAATGAATTGCTATGCACTGTGCATGATAAAATATTTTTTGCTTTGTCTTTTACATCTTCCTTCACGTTTTTTTCATGGGGACATGTACAGGGGGGGGGGGTTAGTAATGTGATATATCGTGACCCCCCCCCCTGGATTTTTATTTAATTGTCTCCAAATTCTCCTTCTGTGTCAGCAGGTAAAACCATGTAAAGTTTAGCCGATAGAGAGAATCCGGTTTAGTGGTCTTTGATGATCGATGGTGAGTGTGTATATTTTCTCGAAAAATCATTTCTCCCCTTGAAAATATTTTAGTTCCCTAAAATAATATAGGTTTGTGCGGAGCAGGAATTTTTTTGTGTGTTCAATTCGTTGAATTGGCGAACATGAATGATTTTTCGAGAAAATATATTTCCATGATCACATCTCTGTACGAATAGTATAACTATATGTTAATCTCGTATTCTTTTACTCGAATTAGCCAATGGTTTATTTTTTTTATGCAAGAGTAAACCTTGGATCACAGATTGAATTCCACATTTTATTTTCATTTAATACGTCTATTATTATCAAATTTCAAAGATTTTAATATTCTAGATGAATTTGAAACCTGTGATGTGTGCGGTGAAATTTACCAAACAAATAACAAAAATCTTCATATAGGTACTTTTTTACCATCAGACTTTCTAAATGTACAATTCTCTATGTTCCAATAGCATGGCCTGGTCTTCAATGAAAGTGTGATTTGTCGTAGTTGCACGGAGAAGAGTACATGCAATATTTATGTCATTTAATTTGGCGTATTTACATCCTAAATATATTATGAAGAAGAAAAACTACTCTAAAAAGCAAAAGCTGAGTTTTCTGGAATTTCCATAGCATTTCCCTGAACTATGAAATCATTGAACGTAACATTTCATATTTTCGAAAAAAAATCTGTAAAATTTTGAATGGGAATTCGACGATACTAGAAACGTTTTTGGGAGCAGGCATTATAATTATACGAATACTTTATGTACGTTATTCGCAAACTTAACCTCCGAGCCCATGATATTTTCCCCAGAAAAATGTGCAATCCTAGCTTGGGAACTCAGCTTTGCCTGCAAGCAAAACTTTCTCTGTCAACGTCGATTTATATTTTTTTTACCAACTAAGAACATTCCCGTCGGTCTACCGAGTTCCCAAATCAAAATTGAGGCAAATCGGTCAAAGTTTTTATGACAAAAGAAACTTAAGTCTTTGGTTTGATATTGTAACTAACGAATTCGTTTTTTTACAGCCTCGATGCCCCACCAGTTGAAGATTGATCGGTCAGAGTTAGAAATCGATCCAGGATTTAGTATCTCACAAACCAACAAAGGTAGAATCTTTAATTTTAGATAATTTTAACTTAAGTATACATATATTTACTAGAGTTTGAGTTGTTGTTTTTGTAAAACCTTACTTCCAAGCTTTAAGTAATCAATAAGCATTGCATGAATCTTCTTCTTAGTTTATTTTTATTTTGAAATCATTCGAGGGTGTATATTTTATTTTGAAAAGAAATAATTTTTTATTTGTTAAAATTTTAAGTTTTGCGAGGATAATATTCATAAAAAATGAATAAAACAATGTGAAGTTATGAATGGGGGGGGGGGGTTATATTAAAAGACATGTTTTTATTCTTTTGACACTTCATAGCCAAAAATTCTTGCATTTTTTTATTTTAAATGAATTAGAACGGTCTGAAATTAAACATTCTTTTAAAATAATTTTGTACTTTATTCAGGCTACCAGCTTCTACGGAAAGGTGGATGGGATGGAAGGTCTGGATTGGGTGCTGTAAAGGAAGGCCGAAAGACAGGGCGTCTCTTCCCTATCAAAAGCGTTCTTAAACGGGACCGCGAGGGGGTCCAAGAGGGAACCAAGAAATCTGCAAAAATAACACATTTTGCGGCAAATGATAAAGAGAGTATATTAAATGCCCAAACCAGAGTTCAGAAGAAAAATAGATCGAATCCACAGGACACAAGCGCGGATTTGTTAATTAGAAGAAGTCTTGGAATTTTTTAGTATTTTCAGTATTGTTTAGAATATAAAAAGAACTTTCAGTTTGTCAGAGCTTAAAGCATTCCCTACATTTCATGATTGAATTCATTATTCTTAATCATAAATCAATTAATCAGAATGAGTCGGCAAATGAATGTTGATTTTTAAAATTGGGAGGTGATGCGTTGCATTATCACCTTCTAATAAAATAACACTCAATAATATTATGTATTTTTTCCGAAATAATAATTTTTATTGTTTTCAGATTTCCTACTTATTGGACCTTTAGGAGATTGGTAAAGTTGGGAGGAAGCTGATTAAGTTCATTCTTTCCCATCTTCTAGGACAGAATTGGTATGTTTATTTTTATTTTTATTTTGGATATCAGTAACCAAAGCCAAGTATTATAATATTATTGATGGAGCATATCCACTCCAGGCATATTAGGGGTTTAATTTAATCTATGCAATCAAGTTCTTAAAGGGACTGTAACCATAATTTCAAGTGACCCTCCAACGGTACCCTTAAACATGTGTGTGTTTGTCGAGTACAGATATATGTGTGTGTAACTGTAAACTTGTTTCCAATGTGCGCTGTGTTGAGTTACGTACGGTCTGAACTTAACACAACGCACACTTGATTTTTCAGCTGAATAAGCGGGTTTTGATAAGTTTAATCACACACATCGTTGTAAATAAGGCATTGGCCTTTTAGCTTGGAGGGTAACCCTGAAATCACGCATACATTCCCTTTAAGGAAAAATATTTTGTCTCTTTTATTGTATTAAATCCCCACTTCAAGTAAATACACAGTTTATCTAATTTGGTATTAGCTTGGTTATACACTTGAACCTTTGTTTATTTGAACTTCTATTTTTTGTCATAGTTTAAACTGTTGTGATTTAACCAGTGCCGATAGTGTGTTATCAGAACATTTGCATGGAAAATTTGAAAATCCCATCTGTTAAGGTGGGGTAGGAAGTAGAACAAAGAGGGTAGGTATGGCGGCAAGACGCGCCACGCATGCAGACTCTTGGTATAGTGCCGATGCTAAAGAACTGAACAGGTAACCTAGGACTGAGTCACTGACTATGAAAGTAACTGTGAGTAAAAACTTACTTATATCACTATGAAGAGTTATTTGTCAAAGTTATGTGGCTTTTTGAGCAATGCTTAGGATCCATTTCATTTTGATGCGGATCCGGATCCTGGTTCCGTCAAGGAAAAATGGATCCGGTTTCAGGGCATGAACATTTCTTTACACTTACTGATTTTTTAACAGCCTAATAATTTTCAAAAATTTTCTTCTTTTCGCTTATTTTATGCTGAAACTTAGAGATAAGCAAATTTTTTAATAATATCTCTTTTTTCAACACTTCGGATTTGGATTTTGAGAGCCAAAAGTTTATTTCTACAGATTTTTTCGCTGATAAGTGTATCCTTTGGATCCGCATATTTTTGCGGATTCGGATCCGGATCTAGAAAGCCAAAATGTTACGGATCCGGATCCTAAGCAATGTTTTTGTGTAGAAATGGAGGTGGACTTCAGCGTGGAAAATTTTAGCCAAACTTTTTCCACATTTTTGTAGGGAGTTGGAGGGATGGTTGGCTAATGTGGGACAACCTTCGATATCAGCTCGAGCAGTCATCAGTCCCCACGCCGGGTATAGATACTCGGGGGCTACTGCCGCGCATAGTTTCAAGCAGATCAATCCGGAAAATGTTAGGTGAGAAATATAAATGAATTAATTAAGATTCTTGGTCCCATTCCTTTCTGTTCGGTTGATTAAGAACAATTTTTTCAATATACACTCCTAATCTAATGCGCTCCGCACATTTCAAAACAAAATCTCAAAAAAAAGGGCTTGTATTTTTAAATAAAAGAAGCAACGATAAAACTTGGTAAAACAGAAAAGAATAATAATGATATTCACAGATACCTGAAATTTTAATATAAAAAAAAATATTTGTTGAGGAATAGAGGAACTTTTCTTTTATACCCTAAAATCATTAAATTTCACCCCTGGAAAAAAATTGCGCAGGGCACAAACACTTCTGGGGAGGGGGGTTTTGAGCAAATATATACACCCCTGACTTATTACTCCACAATAATCTGTGAAGGCGGTCGTAGTCTGAAGGGATAAATAAATTCCTTGGATCAAACACCTTTTTTCAATATTAAAAGTGTCACATGAATATCGAGACCCCAGAGGCCGAATTTATTTAAAGAATCTAAACCGCGTCGCTGATCCACCAAAAATCGGTTCCAGTTGAGTTCAAGTCTCGAAACACTGAATACAATTTCAAGTGGAATCAACAATATTAAAACCGTGTCTCATATTTGAGCCGCAGCTTAAATTCTTTAATTTCGGCCTCAGATCTATATTAAGTCTGGACTGAGAGGTACATTTTAATATTTCACCCTTCTTTAGAACAATTTTTATTCTTGGACCATCCCACCATGTTAAGTTGTCTGGTTGTGCTGTTTCTCAGGTATAAATATCATAACATTGTCTTATGATTCAACAATTTAATAAGAAAATTTGAAGTAAATCCTGATTGATATCATAAAAAACTCTTTTTTAAATATTACTGCTTTTATTATGGTTTATTTGTTATAATTTTTGACATTTTTCCAAATTTTACGGGACATTTCCGATCGATGGTCGTACACCAGTCACCAATAAGAGATCTATAGTGTAAAAATTAAGAAACTTATAACAGTTTGAAATTTTTTACTTTGGCTTGGTCGAGTTCGTAAATTTTTTCTATTTGATTTTCTTGTATGGTTAGAGATTTCATTAGAGTCTCAAAATAGGAAAATTATTTTTAAAGATTAAAATCCAAGGATCATACAGAAAAAAACCTTGAAACTGAAATTGATTGGAGTTTGAAAACGTAAAACTATAATGAGAGCTCTTATCAAAAAAAGCGTTTTATTGGAACTCCCCTTATCTCTGATATTTAATAAAAGTACTTGATACTCATTATTTGTACTTTAAATGTGATATTTTAATCATTTATCTAAAATATAACAATGGTACTAATTGTAAATTTGTTGAAAATGAAGTTTTTTGTACAGTCATAATCAGAAAGACCTGGAATTGATTGACAATTTTTAAGGCGCCTTTACATACATGTCTTTGGAAATTTCAAATGCTCAGAAAAGACAGACCACATTTTGGAAATGACAGGACTAGGACTATTTTGTGATTATGGATTCATCAATCATATTTGTCAAATTAGATAATAAGTCGTCTGATTAATTGTAAATTAACTCTGGGCCTTTCTAATTATGACTGTAAGAATATTTGTTTAGTGTGCTACCTACAAAACCCCGTTGTATGATCTGAATATAAATACAGAGATAACTCAAGATCTCCTCGATACAGGTAACAGTTTTATGCTTCTTTAGCTTTTGTTTCTTTTCATGCAGGGGGGTGTATTTTTAATAATTACCCCCCCGCCCCACACACACACTAGGGAGGTGGAAAATTATTTTTGAAGGGGGGGGGGGTCGATGAAAAATGGGAAATCAAGATGCAAGCTGTATCATCTTGTTTGATAATTTTTACTCAAAATTTTATTTATTTTCCCTGAAAAATCATCTTTTCCACCATATTCAGCAAAAAAAAACTTTACCTTACTTCTGGAAGGGAAATATATTTTCGAAATGAAGAAGGGGGGGGGGGTGGATTTTCAAGAAATATTCCCCTTTGTTTTGATGCTGAAAATTACATGATGTTTTACAAGCTTTCCCAAGCTTTACTTAAGTCTTTTGTTCGACGTACAATATGTTCTATGTTCTTCTGGTCGTTATCAATAATTATTGTCTGCTAAAAATGTAAAATAAAATTCTAGTCATAAAATAAGGGATAAAAGGTAAATTGAACTATTAAGAAAGTTAAAGGGAAAAAAAAATTAATAGCATTTTAAAGTTACCAGACCTACAAGTGGGATCAGCTTTCAGAAAAATTACACTGTTTTGAAATTTGAATTTTGAGGATAAAATTACTGTCTTGTCTGTTCATTTCCTATTGTTTCAAACCAGACACTGCTCTCAACCTTATTAATACCTCTTTCAAAATCTTGAAGTTTGTATCATGCCATATCATATTTGGTCTTGTTTCAAGGGTTTGTAAACCAAGCTCTCCAAGTTTTTATTGTTAATTTCTCCCTTTTAAACCAGCCACCATACTAACCATTCTTATTTAAACTTTTCCCATGAGCTCAATGTCTCCCCAAGTCCACGGGAACCAGACTAAGATTGCAAACTCCAGGTCGGGCCTAATGTACTGTTTGTACAGTTTCAAAGAAACATGCCGATCTCTGTAACTAAAGACATGAGTGACCTGTCCAAGTACAGTGAAACCCTTAATAACGAATACATCGGAAGAATTTATCAAATGTCGTCTTGACAATTTTTCAATGAGTTTTATACTATATTACGTAAATTTCAGTATTTGCGAAAATAAAAAAAAAGCCATGAATTTGCGGGAACAGTTTTAAAGACTTTCATATAATCATTTAATTAAAAAACTAAATATCTGCAACATTCCATTATCAGAAAGTGAAGAATACGACATTTGATGAATTCTTTCGATGTATTCGTTATTAAGGGTTTCACTGTAGAATTTTGGCTTTTTTTACTGCTTCTCTACAAAATAATCTGGGTCTAAGGTTTTTTTGAGTGATGATTCCTAGGCCTTTTTCCTGTTCTACAACTGAGAGATCTAATCCTTTCATACTGTAACATGTTCATGGGTACTTCTACCTACATGGCTGTGTTGAAAGCCATACCCCAGGTGTCTGCCCAGACCAACAGATTGTCAAGAGCTTCTTGAATACTTTAATCATCATCTTCATGGTGACTTAACTTTGTAGCTATCAATATCATTTATAAAAACTATGAATGCAACTGATCCCTGCGGAACACCTCAAAAAAAACCTCTTGCCAATCAGAACATTTACACAGTTTGGCAAAATCAAGATATATCATATCTAATGGCTTGTTAATGTCATATATCTCAGTAACCTTTTCAAGGAACTCGAGGAGGTTTCTGGTACAGGATTTGTTGCTGAGAAACCCATGTTGGGTATTTTTTATCAAGGGATTATCTAGAACTTGATTGATTAACTGGTCTTTAATAATTGCCTCAAACATTTTGCATGGTATTGAAGTTAGTGACACAGGTCTATAGTTTTCTGCTTTAGTTTTTGTCCCTTTCTTAAAAATCGGGGTAACATTTGCTATCCTCCAATCCTCTGGCATCTTCCTAGAACTCATGGATTTTCTGTATATAATGCAGAGAGGACTGATAAGTGCTTCTTTGTTATCTTTTAATAGTCTTGCTGTTATGTTATCTGGACCTTTAGCACTGTGTGGTTTAAGTTTTCTGATTTTTTCTTTCACCATGTCCTCAGTAATTAGTATATCTTTTATGGTAGAGTTGGGTTCTAATGTCACAATGTTAGGTTCACCGTCTTTGGTAAAAACACTGCAAACGTAGTTGTTTAACATTTTAGCAACCTCTAAATCATTATGTTGTAATTATGTTGTCATTTAATTTTAGTGTTCCAATATTTGTTCTAATTTTGGTCTTGTTCTTCAGCTAAGCATAGAAATGCCTTTTGTTTCCACTCTTAGCTATTATTTTCTCAAACTTACGCTTTCCTGCAACCACTGCTTTTTTGCATTCTTTTTCTACTGCCTTGAATTCAGTTTAATGTTCTGGTAAACAAGTTTGATACAAGATGTAGAATCTTTGTTTTTTTCTACACAGCTTCACTACAGATTTTGTCATCCATTGGGGTTTATTTATATTTCAATGCAACTTTTTAGTATGAAATTTTCTATTCCTGCCTCAATTTTGGCTTTTAAAATCTCCCAAGCTTCCTCAGCAATTTTATCATTAAGCATCAAATTCCAATCAATATTGTTGTAAAATTCATGGAAGACCAGCTGTGTCCCCATTATACCAATCCAGTATAAGTTCATCTAATTCCTGGAACTTTGGATTAAAATCCACCTTTTTAATCACAAATACTCAAAACAAACTTTACAATGGAGCAAACAAACTTTATACAATTGAGTAAACAAACTTTATACAATGCAGCAAACAAACTTTACACAATGCAGCAAACAAACTTTACACAATGGAGCAAACAAACATTACACAATGGAGAAAACAAACTTTATACAATGGAGCACACAAACTTTATACAATTGAGTAAACAAAGTTTATACAATTGACCAAACAAACTTTATACAATTGAGCTAACAAAATTAATACAATTGAGCAAACAAACTTTATACAATGGAGCTAACAAAATTAATACAATAAAGCAAATAAACTTTATACAATGGAGCAAACAAACTTTATACAATGGAGCAAAAAAACTTAATACAATAAAGCAAACAAAATTTAATTAATGGAGCAAACAAACTTTATACAATGGAGCAAACAAACTTAATACAATAAAGCAAACAAACTTTATACAATGGAGCAAACAAACTTTATACAATGGAGCAAACAAACTTAATACAATAAAGCAAATAAACTTTATACAATGGAGAAAACAAGCTCTACCAAATACTCAAAACAAACTTTATACAATGGAGCAAACAAACTTTATACAATGGAGCAAACAAACTTTATACAATGGAGCAAACAAACTTTATACAATGGAGCAAACAAACTTTACACAATGGAGCGAACAAACATTACACAATAAAGCAAACAAACTTTATACAATAAAGCAAACAAACTTTATACAATGGAGGAAACAAACTTTATACAATACTGCAAACAAACTTTACACAATGGAGCGAACAAACATTACACAATGGAGAAAACAAACTTTACAAAATGGAGTAAACAAAATTTACACAATGGAGCAAACAAAATTTACGCAATGAAGCAAACAAAATTTACGCAATGGAGCAAAGAAAAAGAAACTCTACACAAAGGAGCAAACATTTTTACACAATAGAGCAAGCAATTTTTACACAATGGAGAAAACAAACTGTACGCAATGGAGCAAACAAACTTTAAACAATGGAGCAAACAACCTTAGCAAACAACTTCATATGAAAGAGCAAACAAAGTTTACACATGGAGCAAACTAACTTTATACAATAGAGAAAACAAACTCTACATAATGGAGCAAACAAACTTTAAACAATAGAGCACTTTACACAACAAACAAACTTTACACGATTGAGCAATCAAATTTTACACAATGGAGAAAAGTTTAGATTTTGTAGATTCTGAATTTGTTCAGGTCATTTTGAGTTGATGAGTATGGAGGCTGATGAGGACGAACATAGTATTGAGATGCAGCTTCCATACATAGCCAAGGTTGTTAAATCCTATTCAGACTGACGTGTCCTTTCACTTTAAATAGTCTGGGTTTATAGTTTACATCCTTATTGTCAGTCATACAAATCTATAACATTTGATACATTTTTGTAATAGCCCTTGGGAAAGGAAGAGTTTATATCTTCTTTGCATATTTGTTCAACAATCTTTAATATAAAATTATATCATAAATTAGTATTTTGAAGAGCTTTTCAAAATGTACAAAATATTTTTTTTATTTTTGCTTATAATTTGCCTAGTTTTCAATGAATTTTTACGAATTTAACTTTTTTGAACTCAGTGTTTCAAGACAGATAATTTTAAACACAAAAAAGTAAAAATCTGAATAAGTTTAAAAATTATAAAAAATTCCTTTTCTCACCCTTCACTTAAAAACATTTGTGTAGATTATGGAGTCTGCCAGGGGAAGGTTTACTATTGTTCCCATCATGGTAGGTTCTCTATCTACCTCAGGAGAGGCCAAATATGGCAAACTTTTAGCTAAATACTTGGAGGTAATAATACCAATAAATTGAAATTACAGATTTGAGTAAAGAGCACAAATTTAGATAATTTTAATTTACATAATTTTTAAGCACATTTCAGACCCAAAATAAATCAAAATAGACTAAATAACAATTGACAAATGTTGGAGCATATTAAATATTTATTATCTTGTTTTTATGCAATATTGGCTAGTACTGACTGTTAGAATCCCAGAATCATGTAAAATGAAAAACCTTAATTTTTTCATATTTCTAAGCATATAATGAATCATCCAATTGTGCTCTTTACTCTACTGAATATTATTTTAAATTGAAAAAGTTGTCTAATAAGAGATAATAAAATAAATATTAAATAAGCCCTGATTCTTTGATAAATAGTTATATTACTTATCCTCAGGATCCGTCCAACTGCTTTGTGATATCCTCGGACTTCTGTCACTGGGGACAAAGGTGATCATAATAATGATAATAATGATAATAATGATAATAATATATTTCGACATTTTAATTCAAAAAGATTTTTTAACAATTCGGTCGAGGACTTATAGGTCTGAGAGCGTTATAAGTTTAAAAAATTTAGGTTCCGTCACACTCACTACAACCAGGTCTGAGAGCGTTATAAGTTTATAAATTTAGGTTCCGTCACACTCACTACAACCAGGTCTGAGAGCGTTATAAGTTTATAAATTTAGGTTCCGTTACACTCAGTACAACCAGGTGTGAGACAGTTATAAGTTTATAAATTTAGGTTCCGTTACACTCACTACAACCAGGTCTGAGACCGTGATAAGATTATAAATTTAGGTTCCGTTACACTCACTACAACCAGGACCAGGGAGACATATACCAGTCTATTGAGGTAAGGCCCACTGGGAGTGAAGGAAGGCAAATTAAAGCAATTGCTCACCCAAGTCACATTCTCTTAATTTTCTCGTCCGAGCCACCTACAAATCCTTCTCCAAGCCACTGATAAAAATTAAAAAATTTAAAAATGTTGAGAAAATTAAACATTTTCTTTATGCCCTAATGTGGACGGATTTTCGAGAAAAAGGGTTTATCTACAAGGGTTGGACGGACGAGAATTTCGAGGTGGCTCAGACAACAAAATGAGGAGAATGTGGCTAGGATGGGAAATTGTTGTTGACTTTCCTTCCCTCGCCCACCAATGGCAGGAGAGAGAGATAGGTTCCACGGTTAAAGAACATGCTTTAATTCTTTTCTTATTTTTAGTAGTCAAATTTGTCGTTTTAAAAGCTTTGACGAATATTAAAAATCAAGTTTAAAGCGTATGAACCAATATTTTCTAATCAATGAAATAGAGACTTAATAAAGTAGCAGTATACACTAGCCAGTGATCTCAACGAGTTGCAATCGTTGCATTTATTTCCTACATAACTATCTTGATTGATATGTTTTCTAGGCCTTGGACCGTCAAGGTATGGAACTGATCTCAAGCCTTGATGCCCCAGGGTTCTCTTCATATCTCAAAAAATATGGGAACACAATCTGTGGAAGGCATCCAATAGGTAAAATTTGGAAATGGGAAAAAGATAAAGATTTCCATCTCGTTTTCAATAAAATCTATTAAGTTTTGTAACGCATATTCTTAAATTCAGAAATCTAAATTAATTCAGGTTTTCGGAGTTGTAAACCCGCAACATTATGGCAGCAAAATTCGCAATTAATTAGATCGCATCCCTAGGGTTGCAATCTAACATTGCGACCCTGGTTTCAGGGGGGCAATGTAAATATCAGGGATTTAATAGTGTCATAATTTTGTTCAAAAGTTGGAAAAATAAATTTTTCAAAAGTTGAATTGAACATGAAGACCTAAAATGCTTTCTTGAAAAAAAGTCGGAAGTGGAATAAATGAATTTTTTACGCTTATCATTTGTGTTGCTTCTGTGGTCAAATGCCCGAAAGAAGAGAACTCCCCCCCCCCCCCCTCCCTCCTCTATAATCTTAACCAGAGCAGTTTAATATTTTTATATTGCCCGTATGTGGTGTAGATTATTATTATTGTTACCGTGAAAAAATTTTAAAAATACAAAAAATGCCAATGAATTTTTAAAAAAAAGATGGGTAGATTTGAGCAATCCATTTTATTTTTTCATCCAAATCTAGGATTTGGACCTGGATTCTCATACAATGAGAGAAAGTTTTAAAATTTTACAAAACTGATAATATTCAGGTGTATTTCTAAACATGGTTGCTGCAATGCGTCAAAATATGAATGGCATCAAGATGGAGATGAACTTCCTCAGCTACGCGCAGTCGAACCAGGTCAAATCTTTTATCAATTCATCTTATCCAATAAACGTCAAAACGGCTGAACCGATCGGGCCCAAATTTTTTGTGGGACTTCACGGTACACAGGGAAGGTTTATGAATGATACAAATTTTAAAAAATGTGTTTTAAAGGTTTTTAATTTTATAATTACTTTTGTTGTTTTCGTCTTAAAGGGACTGTAAGCGTAATTTCAAGTGATCCTCCATGCAAAGATGGCAGTGCCCGATTCACAACGGTACCCTTTAAACCTTTGACTGTTCATGTGGAAGACAGATCGTTCTGATGAACATATCGAAAACCGCTTGAATTCTTCAAAAACTATTAAGAAATAACTATTTTCTTTCATTCCGGAAGGGAAGGAATTTTCTTTTAAACAATTCTTTTATTTTTAGGTGAAAAATGTCCGGGACTCCTCTGTGAGCTATGCTGCTGCTACGTTCATTATTCACTAGAAAAACCCTCACAATTCAGATTTAGATTCAATTGTATTTTCATCGTTTATTTTTAATTCGATGAGCATTGCGGTTCTTTTCGTAAGACCAGCTGAACATTTTGTTTATAGATTAAGCTTTTCGTCAAGTAAATTTCTAGTTAAGGTCGAATTTTCATCTTTGGATAAATCTTGCATTCATTATTATTTATTTTCAAAAGTTTCCCCCCCTCACTTATTGGAAAACAACTTTTGTTCTGCTTTTGGAGAGAAAGGATAAAAATTGGATTTTAAAAGGCAAGATTTTTTAAAATCCTTTTTGATACTTTTTATCCAAAAAGTAAAAGTTATTTTTTCCTGTAAAATTCCCCGCTCCCCCCCCCCCCCGTCTCACTAAATAACCTACCTCACAACGGGGGGAATTTTTTTTCAAGAGATTCGGGGGATAAGTTTTAACAAGATAATGTGCACCCCTGATAATTGCTTGACGTTTTTTATTCCCTTTAAAAACTTAGATAGCATAGTTTTTAAGTATATCTAATAAAAGCTCAATCTCCACGTACAGTTTATCTTTTTAAGAACTAACGCTAATAAAAAGTAATAACTGTAATTCACCCTAAATGAAAAAGTAAAGCTCCGACGGCACAATTTTAAATTTTTTTTGTATCCAATAATATTTTTGAAATATTTTGATCCCCGTGTAATATTGGAATTAAGCGACGACTTCTATATCGTCTTCTTCTACGAGGCATTAAATATGAGAGCACACTTTTTGTAGCATCCTAGTTTAAAAAGTTAATAATGAAGACTATAGTATTGGGAATTCCAAAATGTGGGTTACTATTTTTGCACCTCAAAAATTGACGAGAGATATTAAAAAATCTGTCCAGATTATGATTTACTAAATAGGGTCGAAATGGCTCAGTAACATTTCGTTTAGTACACTTTCGTCTAAGTTCACTTTTGTCTAGTTCATTTTCGTCTAGTTCTTTTTTGTCTAGTAAAATTTGGTCTAAGTAACATTTCGTCTAAGTAACATTTCGTCTAAGTAATTTGGTCTGAAAAAAATGTTAAGTGATTTTATTTTAACACTGCAAAAAAAGGAGAAAACCCGTGAAACAAAATCAAGAAATCCGCAATTCGTATAGGAGAAATTCTCCACTCTTCTAAAACACGTTGAACTGAGAGGAACTCAATGGCGGGATTAATTATGATACTCAACCAGTACTTTTGTAGATAAGTACTTCAGACCAAATTCCTTACTAAAAATTACTTATACCAAAAGTTACTTGGACAAAATGTTACTTACTCCTTTCTTAAAGTTAGTTAAACCAATTCTGTAGTTTTAGACCAATTTACTTACTAAAAGTTACTTAGACCAAATGTTACTTAGACCAAATGTTACTTAGACCAAATGTTACTTAGACCAAATGTTACTTAGACCAAATGTTAATTAGACAAAATGTTACTTAGACCAAATGTTAATTAGACAAAATGTTACTTAGACCAAATGTTACTTAGACCAAATGTTACTTAGACGAAATGTTAATTAGACAAAATGTTACTAGACAAAATGTTATTAGACGAAAGTGTACTAGACGAAATGTTACTGAGCCGTCGAAATCTTCAGAATGTTTAATATCTCCGTCAATTATTTGGTTAGACTCTTTGCCATTGATCAACCATCGGAAATCGAAGACGATTTTCAAGTCTTCTCTTAATTCCCATGTTTATTACTTCCTCCTATTTCTGTACATTGTACATATTTTTGGTTCTAGTATTTAGTTCTAATGTTCTCTCTAGTTCAAATAAAAAATAAAAAACTCTGCCTCAAATTAAATAATTAAATAGAACAAAAACGAAGGTCATCTGATATACAGTGGTAGGCGATTATATCAATATAATGAAGACTACTATTTTATTTAAGTTTTGATTGTTAGCAATCTTTTTTCGAAGTTTCCAAGTAATCAAATAGAAGCTGTTTTAATTGACAGCTTTTTTTCACTTCTATGTTTATTGTCAATTTAAAAAGCTTCTCTTCAACTTCTTGTAAACTTGTAATTCTAGAAAAGCTTGTTAACAATTAAAACGTAAATTAAAAGTCGTCTTTATTATATTGATATTTTCGCCTACCACTTATTGTTTTCTGATAAAGAATTTTCTGATCAGGTTTCCGACCTCAAATGGTATTTTCAGGGTGTACTAATCATGACGGTAGCATTACATGTCGTCTTTGGTCCTTAGCCAAAAGCTGCATTTTATTCTGTAATTAATGTTAGAAGTGTAATTCAATATAGAGTTGATAATCAAAAAATAATCATATTTTTGGCATCTTCAAAATGTCGGCTGCCTTTTTTTGTGATTTCAAGATCACCAGATTTGTGAAGATATTTAGACAGACAGGACTTGTTTATCCAGTGCTTACATGTTTACAAACAGTGTTAAGTTCGAGTAGACTATTAAATAATTTAGGAATGTGTATTTAAAAAAAAAACAGAAATCATCTAAAGAAAATTGGTGAAACATTTAAAATGTAAAAGCGTATTTTCAAATGACCATCAATGTAAAGAAGGAGCACTTACGAAACGTTTCCTGCTCGAAATGTTTCACCACAAAACGTTTCCTAACGAATCATTTCCACCACAAAACGTTTACAATTTACATAGGTTGAGTTATAGCTCACTCATTTCTAAAAAATGGGATTCTGGGATTTGGCGTTTCCAGTTTATGTTAAATAAAATATTCTCTATATCATTTCAAAGTCAAGAGTTTTTTAAATGTTTATTTGCGTAATAATGTTATAAATATCATCATTTCTCAACATTCCTTTATTTTAACAAAAACACATACGCTTTGTATGTGCGCCGCTAAGAGAGAGGGCAATGCCTGATTTATAACGGTACCCTTAAAACCTTGTATTTTAGTTAAGTACAGAGCGAGTCACTTGAAATTACGCTTACAGTCCCTTTAATGATTTAAAATGAATTTAGATTCTCATATAGCTAGAGTGTAACAACTGCAGGTAAACAGTGACTCATCGAGAATGCATCGTGATTTCTCTTCAAGTTACTCGATAAAAAACCACGTTATTTCATATACAGGGTTACCCACAAAGAATGAGACGATTGTACAAAATAATTTTCATGCTTGATCAGACAAAACTTCAAGTGTAGTCTCAACTTCAAGTCATAATTTAAATAGTCCAATAGACATAAGAAAATATGCTATTGTGCAGTGTGACTGTGCACAGACTAATTCACTCTGGGAATAGATCTTCTAGCTAATAATAAAACATATTTTTTTTGTAAAACCATCAAATACACAATAAGATATTACTTTAATGTCGTCTTCCTTTTTCACATGTTTGTTGGTTCTCACTGTTGTAGTACGAGAACTGTTTCGGTTATTAATCTATGCAGTTCTGAACAAAAGATATCATGAGAAATAAGTTAAAAATAATTTCTAAAAACTATTGAATTGTTTAAAAATATGTTGGATGAAAAACCTGTAGTGCTTTTTTGTGGTTTAACTTGAGCGTAAATGAAAGAGTTTTGCCGGGTATAGGTTAAAACTCATTTGTAAACATAAAGTCTGATAAGTTTTTATCGAATTATGTTTTTATGACGTTACATTTGGTAATGTTACAGAGTCTATACGCAACATCCCCCCTACTGAACTTCTGGCCCACTAACTTTCCGACCTACTGCAATATCAGACCTACGCCAGCTGTTTATTTTTGTATTATTTGAGGGTTAGCTTAGGCTGAGACAATTTCTCTGCCGATCGCTGGGGCTAGGATAGGCTAGGGGCCCAGCGCCACGGCTAGGGCAGGCTAGGAGGCCGGGCGCTGCGGCCACAAGTCCATCTAGCAGCTGCAAAACCACGTGCTAGTAGGTCGGATGTGTAGAATAGCGGATTTAGCGTAAGTCAGGATTTTCGTAGGTCAAAAGATACACCATCGTTACATTTATCAACGATGTACACGTAAAATATTAAGGTACAGTATGTCCCATAAAACATGACAGTTATTAGGTGAATAGTTTTAAATTCCTTCTTCCATCATTTCTTAAATTGTTTGATACCAAAAAGAAAAAGAAAACTGTTAGTCGTATAAATATATATGTATAGTAGTAAAATTGATCTCAAATTAAAATAAAGTTGAGTAAAACATTTTCAAACGAAATAACTGCAAAAAGTCTTTAAAATCTAATCGAGAATGTGGAAGAAGACATTCTAAACTATTCATAACATCAATAGTCATGTTTTGTGGGACACCCTGTATGTAAATGCATGAGATTGAGTGACAAATATATCACGATAAGTATCCATCCTATACTTAATGGTAAATGAGGAGCCTTAATTACTGTTCTCTGCCAATCTTTAATAACAAGTAATTGTTAAAAGATTTTATGTTATATTTTATATTCCCCGAGATAAATTAGTATACAGGGTGTCCCACGAAACATGACAGTTGGTAAATAGTTAGGAAAGTCGTCTTTTATATACTTTATTAGATATTAAAGGCTTATAGCAGTTTATTTTGTCAAAAAATCTTTTCTGGAACATATTTTTCTTTGAAACCAGTTTTACTATACCATGACTCCCGTATAGTATTTGTATTATTGTCTTTGGTATCAAACAACTTAACAAACTATGGAAGAAGACATTCTAAACTATTCACAAACTGTCATGTTTCGTGGGACACCCTGTATATACAGTGATTACCAGAAAACTCTAAAATAGGAAGACGGCTTTATAACAATACTGTTTTTGATGTGTTATACTAGTTATAACTTATACTAGCCTCTTATTAAGTCACAAATTAAGTGAAATGGGTCTGTTTACACTGCACAATTGCCGAATCCCATGCATATTGGACTTTATAAAGTCATAAATTGCGTCTAAAAGTCGTCGTCTTCCTATTCCAGATTTTTCTGGTTATCATTGTAGATTGGAGGAATTTGAGTTATATTAAGATAAACGCAAAGAATTTTACTTTCCAGTAATCCTATCCAATGGGTCACGTACGTCGTACAGGGCTGGGCGTCGTTTCTGGGGAACGATAGTTCTTTAATTCCCAGGAACGAGCGATTAAAAAAATGTAAAAACTCGCCCAGTCCTTCACATAGACCGCTTAATCTGTATTCTGTCCATGCAATATGAATTAACAGTTCTACTCATATAGTACCGTTTAATCTGTATTCTGTACATGCAATATGACCTAAAAGACGATTTTTCTATCGTTATCCATGCGGCAGGTTTAGTTAATACATTATTAGTCCAACTTCAACAGTTTCCAGCGGAAAATGTTGGTCTCGGAATTTCCAAAACGTGGCCGGCTACTTGTGTATAAACATAAAAAATAAAGTATAACAGGTAACATTGAAGCAACGCTGAAGTGCATTTGATATGGTCAAAAACAAATAGTTTTCTACTAAGTTATTAAATTGTTTAAGTGAAATGGGACTTTTTACACTGAACAATTGCTATAACCTCATGTACATTTGACTATTTAAAGTCATAACTTGCGTCTAAAAGTCGACTTCATCTACCAGAGTTTTCTGAAACATGATTTATAGTTTGAAATATTTACTGTCTACGACATTGGGCTGCAAAGATATAGAGATTAAAAATCTGAGTTTGTTCCAAAGACTTAATTTTAAGGAAAACAAAATAAAACTTCGCGCAAAAAATCGGCATTCAAAGTACATCGTTTATAAAGAAAAAATGCTTTGATTTTAGTTTATTTGCATTCATACCATATTGTTTTTTTTAAGAGCTAATTCTTGTTTTTAAAATTTTGAATATTATTCAATGTCAGTATTTGTTATTAAAGGGATTTATAAAAAAGCTTTCAAAAAGTCTGTTTAACATTAGATATTTTTTTAGCGTTAAATAGCTGAATTTCTTTTAGGAAACCCACGAGTATCCAAGGGGTAACATAGGCTAAACAAAATTTATCTTTTTTTTCTAAATTACATATTCTTTTTCAAAATTAGTTTTTTAATTCCACTGGCAACGCCGGGCAATCCAGCTAGTATTACATAAATGTATACGTGTCTGTTTTTATGCATATATGAAAAGTTTATAATTAGAAGAGCTTTATTATATAGATATTTATTTTCGGTATACATACATGCAATGGTTTTAAACATTGTAAGACACGGTACATGACATTGTATAGAAATTTTCCATTGTTTTCATCTTTATATAAACATAATACTAAGGAGAAGTGCACTGAAGAGGTGGAGGAATGATCGTGATATTGTGGCATCGTTACACAGATCTTTAGAGGAGCACCAACAGTATTCTAATACAGTCAATCAATTGATATTCTAAATTATATATACAGGGTTACCCTCAAAGGATAAGACTGTAAAGACGACTTGAAAGTCATGTAATATGATACTTATAAAGTTAAATTCAGTCTTCTGAGTTAAATAAAGTTTTGTAATGAATTTTTTCAGTATTTGTCCAAGAAAGAAACAAGTTTACAGGGCCAGAGAATCGTAAATATAAAGAAACAGACAGTATTAATTTCTTACAGTCGTCTCTGAAGTCTCATCCCTTGGTGGATAACCCTGCACAAAATACCGACTGGAAATGGAAAACAAATTGCAAAAAGAAATTTTAGTTAATACTGTGTTGTTACAATTACAGTACAGGAGAGGATAACGATTTTCGTAAAATTATCCGTATTCCGATAAAAAGGGGGTTTTGATCTTAGAGTAAAAATATACTCATCTTTTCCACGGGACACACCTCACGAGCCGTGGTACATTTGAATTTCCGAGCCGGGTCAACCTTTCCGGTCCCAGTATCGCCCGGACATTGGGTAAATAAGGCAGACACTTAACAGAACTAGCCCATGACTAGCCGGTGCAACAAGGTTGACGCGGTCAGACTTTAGGTTGAATTTACTTTTACTAAAGGGTCAGGGGTGACAGTTTGTACTGTATCGCCCGGACATTGGGTAAATAAGGCAGACACTTAACAGAACTAGTCCATGACTAGCCGGTGCAACAAGGTTGACGCGGTCAGACTTTAGGTTGAATTTACTTTTACTAAAGGGTCAGGGGTGTGTGAGACCATTATCATTATTATTTTTTTGTCGACACAAAACGCCTATTAAATCATTTAAAAACTTAATATGAAATTCATTATTAAGATGTTTCAATTAAAAATCCTTAAATTTGGTAAAATTTGATTGATGTTTTACCTAGTCCATCTTTAGAGGTAAAGCACAAATCCTAAATATCGTTTTAGTAATTAGTATCTGATAAATCTCAAACTCTAATTTTAAAATCCTTTTATTTTTATATGATGCATAAACTCTATTTAAAATCCTTTTATTTTTACAACGTTATGCATGAACTCTGTTATTTAAAATCCTTTTATTTTTACAACATAATGTACGGATTCTGTTATTTAAAATCCTTTTATTTTTACAACATAATGTACGGATTCTGTTATTGAAATCCTTTTATTTTTACAACATGATGCATGCATTCTGTTATTTAAAATCCTTTCATTTTTACAACATAATGCATAAATTCTGTTATTTAAAATCCTTTTATTTTTACAACATAATGCATGAATTCTGTTATTTAAAAATAAAATTAACCAAAGTATAAAAGGTTGATGCACATCTAAATTATGAAGTTAAAAAATCGGATTTAGAGTTCGCCAAATAGGTCGCAAAGTTTGAGGTAAGTATTCAGCGCTGAAAACTTTAAAATTGATAATATCTTGATCAATGCTTGATCTCCTCTTTTCAATAATCTTAAGATTATTTTAATGTTTTATAGCTTTGTTATCCAGGAAAGTGTATAAAATTCAACTAATCAGAGTGGCGTGTAGAATTCCGAAAAGCCAATCAGAAGCCGGGAAATTTGATATTTTGCGCGCCATTTAATGAAAGGATTTACATTGGTTGAAATCCAGTCTGATTATACAAAAATAGTGGAAAAGAGCGGATTAAGCAGAAATCAAAAGTGTCCATAGTGGATATTCAGATCAAGCGATTAATTCTAAAGTTGTTAGCTCAGTTCTTTTATGCCAACTAACCCAACAAGTCACCGGTCAGCATTGTAAAATTATATTTAAAATCTTACCATGTGCATATCAATTACAAAACAGCCTCTATGAAAATATTAACCAATGTTTTTTGTAGATTTCAGCAGTAAATTTATATATAACATTTTGTTTTGAATTGAATTTGTAATATAATTTTTGGTTAAATCCCTGAAAAGAGTTGAGAATCCTGGACGCCTGTCAGGAGCCAGAAACTCTCCATACTGATTAAAGAGGTAGGGTGGCTGGGATATCTAGAGAACTTAAAATGTACCCATTCTCCTTGGACTAATCCCAGGAATGTAAAACTGAAAGTTTTTCTTGGAAATTTCCATAATAAATTGATTAAAGCTCGCTAAACACTAAATAGTGTAACTATATAAACTTAGATTTTTTCGCTTATACTTCAGTTTTTTTTGTTTTTCCCCAAGCGATATATTTTGCTTAAGACTAATTTGAAACAGTAAATTGCATAGCAGAATTATGATAGCATATAGCATAAATGTTTTATTCATTTCTAAAATTTTAGATGCAAAAAAACTTTCTTGAACTCTGTAATGCACAACAATACTACTCTGATTAAAGATTAAATAAAAAAGTGCAAAAATAGAAAATATAGAAAAAAAGAAAAAAATGTTACTCCGCAAAATTTAGTATTTTTGTTTTATCAAAGCAACAGTTAAAAGTTGAAATAGAAGATTGGCGAGAAGCACCCTGATAGCGTTATAGTAATTTGAAATTTTTATATTGTTGAATAATATTAATATATATTTACGTATTACCTTAATACAGGAGGAAGATTCACCACACTGAAAAAAAAACTTTTTTTATAAACAAATATATATGTGCAGAGGCCGAGGGTGCCTCTTTGAACACGTGAGTAAATTGACGACTTTTTTATCTTAACAAATTTATGTGAATATAGTTATTGTATAAGTACTAAATACAGTTTTTATGAAAAAAATCTAGTTCTGAGATACAAAAAAATACATATATTTTACCCAGTTTTGGGAAAAAGGTAATTTGTTAAAGGGACTGTTAAGGTAAAATGAAAGGGGGTATGGCTGAAACCTAAAAATTTTAGGAGTTGATTCCGACCAATATTATAGCCCTATCTGATGTCCCTGTCTCGCGAAATTGATATTAAACTGTGTCAAAGTTATACCAAAACTCAAATGTGATATGGTATATGAATCAAAGTTTTAAACAGATCATATTCAGCAAATACGAAACGATACTGAAAATTAGGCTAACCCAGAGGTACCTAGGAATTGTAGACACGCTCTTATTATAATGAATACAATACTTATTTATTTTTAATAGATATAATCATAAAAATGGATTAAATCTTGATTTGTCTGTATCACGTGACCAGAATTTCCCCCAATGGCAGCTAGTATCTGGTCACCTTGCTCCGTCTGGTTTCCACCAATGGGTGTTCAGTATCTGGTCACGTTGCTCTGTCAGCCATATTATGTATATATGAAAATTTTTGTATAACCTTAACATAGATTTATATCAATTTCTCGAGACAGGGACATAAGATAGAACAGTTACTAGTCGCGATCAACGCCTATAATTTCTATGCATTAGCCTTTACCCCCTTTCATTTGACCTAACAGTCCCTTTAAACTTGTGCCTCTTCCTTGATATATGTATTGGACAATGTGTTAAATAAATATTGGAATTCTCTTCTGTATCAATTATCAAAGATAAAAGCATACAGATAGTGTAGATAAGTCATAGAAGATCAAAACAATTTGTTTTAGTCCCGTATTGATAATTTAATCTGTTTATATATAATATTTGTACTAAATGTTTATCATTATTCGAAATAAAATGTTAATCCGTATTCTGCATTCCGCGAATTACCCTTTAACTGCCAATTAGATTTTCAGTTTGAATTTTCCAAATTTACTTATTTTTCCATATTCAGGATAGTAAACATCTTTTTAGCACTTTTCAGTGCAAAATAATATTTGATACTGTGGCGCAACACATCCTCACTGAGATCCACAGAGCTTGGCCATTGGTTTAACATTTATAACTTTCTTATACTTTTTCTAATAGCCCTGAGCATTTTCATTTAAAAAATATAGCGGGCATGTTTCTGTCTCTAGTGTTTCAGATGAAATTGGCAAAATCCATTTACAGGGTTACCCACAAAGGATGAACCTTCAGAGACGATTGTACGGAATATGTTTAGTCCGTTTTCTTGCATTAATGGTTCTTTTTGGACTAAAACTGGCCTAATTCTGGTATTGTCAATTTATTATATGCATCAAAATACTTAATTTGAGTGAAAAATCTAAAAAATCAAACTTCAAATCATGATATCGACTACTAACTAGTGAAGATGTATGACTTGACTATACTAATCGACTACTAACTAGTGAAGATATATAACTTGTTGGGTCGTCTTGACAGTCTCCTCCTTAGTGGGTAACCCTGTATATATATCTGCGTAAGATTATGCATGCCCACTTTGTATGTCCTATTCAATCAATAATTTCATGTCCTATTTTCAAATTATAATCTTGATCTTATTTTATTGCCTGAATCTCTTGTCAAGTTTTGGATAAAAATCTCAGAAAGCTTCATAAAAATACATACAATACATACAATACATGATTTGGTTCGATTAACCTTAGAATTGAGTTTTCTGGCACTTGCATTGTGCCAGAAAGTAGAGAATTCTCATCCTGCCAAATCAAGACGTTAAATTTATTTCTTACATTGTAGTCTAAAACCAGTGACACACCCATTCAGGATTTATTTCAAGCAATAAAAACAGTTGTGACAAGTAAATAAACTGAACGCGAATCCCTAAATCTTTGCAATCTTATGTTGTATATTTTGGATTTCAGAGTGTAAGATCTGTAAAACCAAATACTTTTAAGAGATTTATTGCCAAATATGAAAAGAATATTTTTATGGACCCAGGGAAGGTGTATGAACCGTAAAATTAAAATATCGACATTTTTCTAAGTAGAAATATTCGCAATGATTTAAAATTTTAATGATCATAGTTTGAGTAAAAAAAATATTCCTTGATAGTTTACCTCTACGGAAAAGCGTTTATCAGGTATAGGTTGAATATAGCAGCGAGTACCAGATACCAGGGGCAGCATACAACAGAGGGGAAGAGAGAGGGACAGCATGGGAGATATGCGGGGTCTCATCCTCAACCACTTTTATTAAAACATTTCTCTGTTATCTATTTGTCAATAGTTATATATTCGTATTCGTATTGATTTTTCTAACTAGCACAAGCCTCTCACTTCAGGGTAAAAGGTGAACTTCAAAACCTACTGCATGCAAGTCCTCTGGCATACTGTCTTCGAATGGCTTGATTTAACTAAACCAGGCAAAATCTATATTTAGACCCAATAAAAAGGTATTTTGTGCAGAGGAGACGTCAGTAAAAATAGCGTTAGTAAACAATTAGCTTAACGAAACCACTGTTTATTTAACTTTATATAACTTCTATGATGAAAGCTGACTTTTAATATTGCTCATTTTGATCTTAAAGAAAATAAAACAAACAAAATTTTTTTTTCTCCATATGTAATGAGTATTATTTAATATGAATTCTAGGTAGATGAGGAATACATAATCATGGGATAAAAAAGAAAAATTCATTAGTTTAATTCTTTTCATAGAATAATATTTTGGTACTAAATCAAAAAATATCCATATAAAGGACAAACTTATTTCATTTGTTTTAAAATTGTTAGCATCATTTCAAGTGCATGAGTCTCCATATAAAGATGGCAATGCCCGATTAACAAGGGTACCCTTGATACCTTTATCTGATCATTGAAGGGAGGGACCGCCAATGTATGGTAGTTGAACTGAGAATGTAGTATTGTGGAGAATTTTTTAGGATTTATTTAAGACATACAAAACGTTTTAATGAGGTATAAGAAAAGACCTTTTGCGCAAAGTCGACGTTCAAATTCATTCATTTAGGTGGTATAGATTTGAGATTAAATGACGACGAAGAAAAATATATAAAAATTTTTCTATAAACTAATTAGATGTTAAGAAACATATTTCTCAATAGAAATTTGTCAATAAATCAGTGTTATTTCTTTTCCTTCATTATATTGAATTTTTTATTCTATACGAATTTGTTCATTTCTACAAACTCTTCAAACGTCTTTTCAATAAAAATTCCAGAAAATCTACAGAAAACTTTTGTGAAAAATGAGACATTACAGAAACTAAAAACTGAATAAAATTACTTATTTTCGGTGATGAGAGTTAATTTTTATTTTCTCATCCTGTTCCTAAACAACTAATTAGTTTACTGTAGAATTTTTGTTACTTTTTTGTCGTCGTTATTTAATAATTAAAACAAAGTTCTCAAAATATAACCCCCCAAATGGATGATTTTGAACGTCGACCTTGCGTTCAAACTCAGTAATTGTACATCATTGTATTATGTCTTAAATGAATCCTAAAACAATTCTCCACAATATTATATTCTCAGTTTAACTACCATACCATACTACTCCCTTTAATGTGGAAGATATTGTCGATTTTCTATTTTTAAAACTGTTTAATTGAGGTGATTGCTTCCTGCAGTAGAGAAACCACAATTGAAAAAGATTAGTTTTCAAAATGTTCAACATTGATTTCTAATTAATACTTGATCAGGCAACGCTTTAAAGTGTACAGTTGTGAATCGGGCATTGTCATCTTTGCATGGAGGGTCACTTGAAATTACGCTTACAATCCCTTTAAGAGAACATTTAAACATAGAAATAAACCTAGTATTTAATATTTAAACTATCCTGTTCCTTGCGTAACTAAGGACTGTTGGATGAGGATAATATGTGTCCGTCCCGAGATACCCGAAAGTTGGCTCTATCCCTTCCCCCCTTTCTATCCCCGTTCTCACTCCAACTTCAAGTAACATCATCAATATATACCGTACAATTACAATTCTATTCATATTCTCCGTCAACTACCGTAAAATATAAGGTTTGACCGTTGGGTTTGACTTGTCAATTTATGAATTTTAGGGTCACCGTATGCAATTATGGGTGAAACAATTACATCAAAAATGTCAAATCCTGTTTGCACTGCAGCAAAATATCATACAATAGCAAGTTAGAAGCAACATATATAAAAGAAATAGATTGAAAAAATCAAAACTTTTTAAATTTTTCAATTTTTCAATTTTTCAATAATTAAAAATTAGGAAAGGTCGATTTTTAATTTTTCAATAATTAACATAAGGAAAGGTTGATTTTCAATTTTTTCAAAAACACGTGTTTTTCCTTATAATTCGCTTATTTTTTCAGAGATTTTTCCAAATTTTACGTTTTTTTCTAGCTTACATTAGTGATTTGATTTATACAAAAAAGGCAAAAATTAGATGAGTTTATAAGTTATAAAGAAAAATTCTCAAATATTTTTTATCAAATTTATCAAAGAAAACTTTAGAACGTGTATTTGAACATTTTTATCAAAAGAGTGCCAAAATAGTTTTACCCTTAGTATGATTATTTTTGTTTGTTCTGTTATCACTAAAATTAGGAGGAGTTAACTTAGTATCATATAATGTAAAGTATCGAGGCTTCACTTCTCATATTAAGAATAAAATAAAATAAATAATATTATAATAAGTTCATGCATTAAATTACGAGACTACTAAAAAACTGCTTTTCTTTTATGACCACCCTGTGAAAAGTGAAATCATAGATTAATTAAAATAACAGAAAAGGACACTAGATGTCGTCATTTCAAGATTTTGGGGTTTTTCGTTCACAATAAACATTTAAAGGTAAAAGATACTGATAGTGACTTGTTTAATAGAAATATTCATCTTCCATGTGTATACTGTGCGCTGTACTGTACTATACAGTCTATTGTACAGTACACTGAACAGTGTACTGTACAGTTTACTGAACAGTGTACTGTACAGTGTACTGAACAGTGTACTATACAGTGTATTGAACAGTGCACTGAACATTGTACTGAACAGTGTACTATACTGTGTACTGAACAGTATAGTACACTGTGAAATGCTAATCTTTCCATCACTCTTTCTACTACTTTGTAGTGTTCTTTAATTGTTTCTTCAATTGTTGGGAACATAGGAGATGTCATTAAAACATCATCATAAAAAATATGTACGTTAGGAATTAAATCATGTTCCATTTTGATTACGTTATGTTCCAAAAAGATTGGTTCTCCCTTTTTCATTCAGTACTGGTTTCATGTGTATCATTATATGACAATATTCTGCAAAGTTTGTTGGAGATAGATGTAATTTACTATACTGTGTACTTTAAAGTGTACTGTATAATTACTGTACAGGTATTGTACATTACACTTTGTACATATAAATTGACCAAGGTACAAGTGTATCATACGTACATACACAACAATAAAGAATATTTTGAAACATTATTCTGGTCAACACATAGCTATAGGGTCAACACCAGGGAGTTAATCATTTATTATGCTACAGTTCATCTCCCCTGCTACAATTCAACTCCCCTGCTACAGTTCAACTCCCCTGCTAAAGTTCAGCTCCCCTGCTACAGTTCATCTCCCCTGCTACAGTTCAACTCCCCTGCTACAGTTCATCTCCCCTGCTACAGTTCAACTCCCCTGCTACACTTCATCTCTCCTGCTACAGTTCATCTCCCCTGCTACAGTTCAACTCCCCTGCTACAGTTCAACTCTCCTGCTACAGTTCAACTCCCCTGCTACAGTTCAACTCCCCTGCTACAGTTCAACTCCCCTGCTACAGTTCATCTCCCCTGCTACAATTCAACTCCCCTGCTACAGTTCAACTCCCCTGCTAAAGTTCAACTCCCCTGCTACAGTTCATCTCCCCTGCTACAGTTCAACTCCCCTGCTACAGTTCAATTCCCCTGGTACAGTTCATCTCCCCTGCTACAGTTCATCTCCCCTGCGACAGTTCAACTCCCCTGCTACAGTTCATCTCCTCTGCGACAGTTCAACTCCCCTGCTACAGTTCAACTCCCATGCTACAGTTCAATTCCCCTGGATCTTTAACCGCTTCAATAGGAAAGTTTGACGTCAAAAACAATATCATAATATGAAAAATTATTAGATTACATAACTGAATGCGCATTTAGATCTAAATTGCATTGTAAAAGGGGGAAACACAAACAAATTGTTTTCTCTTAAATGTCGTCTTCCTTTTCAAACCATTAACATTTATCCGAAACATAAAAATATAAATGTGTTTTTCTACTCAAAACATACAAATAAACATCAGCAAGCGTAATCACATTACTATTTTGATGTCGAACATTGCGTAGAATGGTTAAAATACTAAGGGGTGATGCACGACACATGTGGCATCCAATTTTTAGCGAGAAAATTCCGGATTTCTCATGGTCGACTTTGTTAAATGTAAATGGAGGGCTATATAAAAGTGCGCCTATACATCTTATTTGACCAAAAAATATCAATGGATCATTAACAAATTATATTTTATAGAAAGAAAGAAAGAAAATGGAAGATTTTAGAGGGTTGCTGGACAAATCTGCCTCTTGGAGTTTAGAAGACGACAAAACCTTTTTAGAGTATGATCACAAATTAAATCAGTTTAATCAGACAAAATATTTGCTAAAATGTCGGAATTAGCCTGAAAAAATCTTATCCTACAAAGCTCACGCCAGGCTGCAAAAATTTAAGTTCAAATAAAGTTCAAGCTCTCTAACCCGAAAAAAAGAAACAAACATTGATTAATAGATTGAAATATGTTTTTTTAAATAATTGTGTCCACTCCACTTTTTCTTTTTGAAAGACGTCTGCTACCAGAAAAGAAAAAAAGTTAAAACGTGTAAAAGTGATATTTTTGAAAAAATTTATTCTATGTTTGCCTTTGAAAGGTCTAAATGACTTTCCAGAGTATCCAGCTGTTTAAAGTTGTAATCTCTGTTTGTCTGTCTGTCTGTCTTTCTGTTTGTTGTTTTCCGATCTTAACTCAAGAACCCTTAGACCGATTTACCTCAAATTTTGATTGGGGAATTCCGGAATGTTCTATAGCTTGGTTTTGAGATATTAAGTTGAGTGGTTCGACTTTAATAGCGAAAATTTTGTTTCCTGGACAAATCGTTCAAGTGCGGGTAAACGGCGGGAGTAACTTTTAGTAACCTAGGCAGCGCTGCAGATTCCCAAGCTAGTTTCGAAATAAAATTAGGTGATCGCAATGGTAGGAAATATCAATCATGATTATATAGATGCGTATAATATCAATTTTAATTATATAGATGCGTATAATATTTTTTATCTAGATGCGTATAATATTTTTTAGGATTGTTAGAAAACTTTCTGTGGATGTGACAGTTAATTGTAACTCAGTTCTTACGAACATTAGACGCATCTCAACACACACAAAGTAATCTGCAATTTTTCATTTTTCATTTTTCATTTTAAACCTAACTAATTACATTATGCACTATATTTAGTTACTCCATGCCTAATTGAAATGTTTTAGGTTGTTAGAAATTAAGCTTGAAAATGCTACGAACAAGGAAATTTAAAGCTTTGCAATGTTTTAAATAATGAAATAACTTATTAAATACTTTTAATTTTTTGTCTTGGAAACAAGATATCATCTCAAGATGTTACGCTACTTTTATTTTTGTTGTTATATGCACATAAGGCATCATCTTTTTATATTTAGAATCATCAATTATTATTTATATTTATATTTCACTCAAACTTAAAAACAATAATAAAAAGTTGACCATTGCCACACGGTAAATTGACTACAAGAAAGTTTACCTGTATATTTGTATCTCTATCTCAAATTCGTTTTGTATATTTTCAGTTATAAAGTTCCGGTAAAAACAACGCATCAGATTTTATATTATATTGTAAATAGAAAGCCCATTAAAAACGTATGAAATAGCAAATACTAAACATCTACATCATTCTTCCCGATCAAAAATATACATCGTTCATCAAAAAAGTGTTCATTTCTGCGAGTTTCTCCATTGCTTCTCTTATATACGAGAAATACGCAGAGAACCCACAAATGAAAATAAACAGTTTAAAGAAACAAAAACATTGATATCTAATTCATACTTGATTAGACAAAGCTTTCAAAGGGTAACGTTGTAAATTGGGCATTGCCATCTTTGCATGAAGGGTCACTTGAAATTACGCGTACAGTCCCTTTGACCAGGACCTGAAATCTACCGTTAACATCTCCAAGATGTGAGTAAGCATGCACTTGTCGCATCATCCAGAAATCCCAATCAGAGTAAAATACTTCAAAGAACTTTGCTTGTAAACTAAGTATTCTAAATAAGCTCCTTAAATTGTTGGTTTAGTTAATGCTGTTGTCCGACACCAAGTTTCTTGAGTCCAGGGATCTAATTTAATGAATTTGAGCAAGGTCACTTACCTACCTACCGCCGCGCTGATTCAACTTCTGATCTGAAGAACTGACGTGGAGTAAACATCTACAGGATATGGACAAATCCTGAATCACCAATTATAGATACGTGGTTGAACCGTCTCTATAGACCTAGCTCAAATTCATTAAATCTGGTCTCAGGGTATACGAGGGAACGGATGAAAACTCGCATCATCAACAAGACGGATTAGACTCAGATCAAGAACGGGAAGTGGAGACGGCTCAAAAGCTTACAGAGGAACAGGTAGCTTGTCAAATTCAAGGGTGTAATGAAAGGAAAGTTAATTGCGGTCGTGTATACTCTGCGTACACATTGAAACCAGTTCTCTTTGGGCGGAATTTGTAAACAAGAATAGCTGCATCAGTGTTCGTTTAGTATCCGAAGAGGTTAAAAACATTAAATTTTGATAATTTTGATAATTCACATAACAGTTTCCTATGACCAGAATATTTCATTGATTTTTTTAATGTGAAAGATGGATCCCATGTCAGGCTTTGACATCCGTCTTTTGTTTATATTACCGCCCAGAGACAGTACACTGCAGTACAAAAGATGTGTACACTTCTGAAATAACTTTCCTTGCATTACATCCTAGGTCAAATTAATGTTTTAGAGTTCGAATTTATTGAATTTGAGCTAGGTCGCTGAAATACCTACTGCCAGTTCAAATTTGAACCACCTACATGAAATTAAATATTCAGGAAGAATTTAAATCAGTAATTTAAATTTGAATCGGCGGTATATATAGAATTCAGTGACCCCTCAAATTCTATTAATTCTGTCCCCGAACGGAGTTTAGTCTAATTCAGCCTTTTGAACCATAATTTTCCCATTTTACTAATTCAAAGTACAGATATCCATTTACCACTTTTATACTCTCTATATATTATATTATACAACAATACATATGTATATCAATTTAACCTAGAAGGTCAAGGAAAATATGGGTTCTTCTCATATTTCCCATTATCATTCATAAGACATAAGTTCCCTACACTTTTTTAAACCTAAAGCTTTTTTAGACTAAGTGTGCAGTGCTATGATAACATTTTTAGTTTTCAGATCTTTTATATTTTGATAGAGTTTCGCGGTGCATTTGATGTTGTTTACAGCAAATTATAGCTTAACTTGAAAGCTATAAAATTACTTATTAAGTAAAACGGGTCTGTTTACATTGCTCCATTGCTGCGTCTCATGTTCAATGCGCTATAAAAATTCCTAACTTGAATTCAAAAGTCGACTTCCTATTCCAGAGTTTTCTGGTTATCACTGTATATATTTAAAGTTTTGGACTACTACACAAAATAAGTCTGATACAGTTTAAAAAAAGTTGTCAAAAATAAAAACATTTTATTCTAACTAAAAAATTAGTTTAATCGCGTTTAATTCTCTGAACTATAGATGGTAAGTGAAGTCTTAAGAAATGGATTTAAGATGATGATGAAGAAAAACAACCAGGTTAATGAGGTATAAAGTTACACAGGGTGTCACAAAAAAATGATCTTTTGAAAATGTATACACATTTTTTGAAAGCTTTGGAACATTTCCAATCGATTGATTTCAATTATAGGTAGCACAAAATTCACCATGATGAGAGCTACAATATCTAAAAGATCGTTTTTTAATTGTTAAATTTAAAATGCAGTTTGCTTTTATCATGTAAATATTGTTCGAGTACGAACATTTTTTAATTGAATAGAGTTAGAACAAATCTAGGGATTTCAATACATAGTTTAGGAAATAAATAAGTCTTTTTATCTTTGCACCCAAATGTTGTAGACCTTAGATATTTAAATCTATAAATTATGTTAATTTAATTATCCAAGTTTAAAATATCAAGGTTTGCACCATCAGGCTGAAAAGAAATTGGGATTAGAAAATATGAGTTTATGACTAAGACTCAATTAACTTCTAGCAAAATATTAATAAAAAAGGTTCCAAAGAAGGCTACCTTTATATAAAACCTCAAAGTATTGGTGATATTTTTAATATTCTAATTTAAGAAGGGGGGGGGGGCAAGCTAAAGTTGGTTATACAATTACTGTCCCCCGTTTTCCTGCGTTTTACCTTTTTTGGTAGCTTTCATGAAATTGTGGAAATGTTTGTTCATGATTGTTACCATGTATAGAGACAACAAAATATTCGAGCATTACCGAGCATAATTGGCTCTGAGGAATGGTTTAAAGACAAGTTTGTTCAAGAAGAGAAAACTATTGTTGAAGGTAAAATTCAATAACAAGAAAATATAATCACTGTTAAAATTATTTTTAATATATATATATTATTTATAGAGGAAATATTGGCCGCTGATTCTGATAGTTTAAAGTATCAAGAAAAAGAAGAGAAAGAAGACACTGTGAGTAATTAACAATATTACTTGTTAACTTAACAATACCAAGTTTATTTTCTAGGTTTCTGAAAACATGGTTTCTAAAAGTTCTTTACCAGAAAAAGAAGATTTTAGACAAAACACGAAAGAAACGAAATCTGCACCAGTCAATCAATCAATTCAGTTCAGGTAGGGTGATTTGATTTTTACAAAGACTTTAAAGGGATTGCGTAATTTCAATTTCAAGCCCGATTTACAACAATTTCCACCTTTGACTGTTTATTGAGTAAAGAGAGCTCTATGTTTTAATATCTTGAAACCCACTTGAATTCCTTTTAAATACAGTGTACAGCGTACGCTGTGTACTGTTCGACCTCAACACATCGAATGCAGTGTTTTTGTATTTTTACATTACCAAATATTTAACATTAAAAACGGTTTCCAAAAATTCGAAAGAAAATATTTATTTTCTTCAAAGTCTTGAAAGTAAATATTATAATTTCTAAAACTTATAACATGTTCCTACATTATAGTGTTCAAGAAATAAACACGCTTTTTGTAGATTAATGAGGATAAGTCCGACATTGATCAGTAGAAGTTTTTAAGGGTACCCTTGTAAATCGGGCATTGCCATCTTTGCATGGACAGTCACCGGATATTAGTCTTTCAGTCCCTTTAACCCCATATTTATTATAAAACACCATTAAAGTGATTCTGAAGATGATCTTGAAGAGTCAATGAAAATAAGTGCAAAATTGGGATCCAACACGAATCTGTTTTCTTTGAAAAGTTCAGGTAAAAAGATGTTTCCAACAAATTAAATATTTTCCCCCCTGCATTAAACCATTCTTCTAGGAAGTTTAGATTCATCATGTGATTCTGAAACCATGAATTCACCGCACAATGTTAGCGAGGAAAGTATAAAACCTGAGGAGAATATTGAGGTGAATGCAGCTAAAGATGAACTAGATGCTACAGATAAAAATGCTTTTAACTTTGCTGCAGAACTATCTAAAAAGCTTGGGTTACCACCATTAATGTAAGAAATTATCTAATTATTCACTTGAAATTTCATTTCATAACATATTCTTTCAGAAAACAGGAAAATAAGCCTGTAGAAACTACTGCAATCACGCAAGGACTTGGGGCACAAGATTCTGGGTTACTAAAGTCTGAGACAAAAATAGTTAAATCTGAAAAAACAGCAGAAAAAGCTAAAACATCCGTCTTGTTTGATTCTGATTCTGATGATGATTTGTTCTCAATTCCTGCAAGAAAACAATTACCAAAAGTGGCCTCAAAGCAAAAGGGTAATTTATTTTCATTAACCCAATAAAAAATTGTTTTTTCCCCCCATGAAAAGTAGAGCATGACAATTCCGTCAGATTTAAATATATTAAATATTAAACAAAAATAATCCAACATCCTTTATTCTATTTTTTGTGCATGACCGTCAAACTGCAGACCTCATGTTGAAAGCATTTAGTAATCACGATAAACAATGATAAAGCCAAGGTACTAATGCAAGGAAAGTTATTTCAGAGGTGTACGCATTTTCTGTACTGCAGTGTACTGTCTTTGGGCGAAAAAGTAAACCCAAGACGGATGTCTAAGCCTGACATTGAATCCATTTTCACAAAGTAATCTATGAAATATTCTGGTCATAGGAAACTATTATGTGAATTATAAAAATTATCAAAATAAAATGTTTTTATCCTCCTCGGATACTAGACGAACACTGATGCATCCATTCTTGTACGCAGAGTATACACGACCGCAATTAACTTTCCTTGCATTAGTACCTTGAATAAAACTAGCAAATGCTGTTGTTAAGTCGTAACTAAAATTTTCAGTTGGGTCTTGAACACATTGTTTGATTGGCTTTATTTGGAAACTAGACAAAATTTCACAATTTTTTTAAGATCCAATATCTGTTAAAAAACCTTTGATTGAACTCAACGATGAAGATAACAGTGTCAAAGAAGATGCAAATACAACTGAGGTCAAAGCCAAAGAGTCAGAACAACATTACCCTACAAAGAAACCCACTCTTTTTAACTTTAGTGATGATGAAGATGAAGAGTTTTTCAAGGATTTGAAGATTCAGAAAAAACCTCAGGAAGATAAAGGAGTCAGGGGCATATATACTAAATAGAAACATAAAGAAAAGGGGAAATCCGTAAAGGAAATGAGTCCTTGCCACAAATACCAACTTTCTAATACCTATCTATCTACAACCAAATGATGTAAACCTTTGATATTTCAAACTTATATTGTTTGATGTAGCAGAAGTCATAGTTTGAAATATCTAAGGTCTACAACATTGGGTTGTTAATATATAGGGATTTAAAATTCAGAGTTTGTGGCAAAAACTCAATTCCTTTGTTTCATTGAGTCAAACAGACATTCAATCCAAAAAACAGAATTACAATTACTTACATAGTCAATAAATATACATTGACTAGGAGTAGGAACCACCATATCTGCAAATCTTCATATCTGTTTACTGCTAAACAAAGAACAAAACAAAGTCAAAAACAAGTTTTAGAAAATAGCTTCGATCCTACTCTAACACCAGTTGTTGGAGCACTGCATTTATTCACATAGCTCCCAGACCCCAAATTTTAAGACAGAGTATCGTCATAAAACCCATGGTATCGGAAACCCAATTTCATGAATGGGGTCAGGCAGTTTTGTAGCTGCCTATATTTTTGTTACAAAACACTATAATTTTTTTATATTCTCTAATATTTACTAATTTCTTAAATCAAAATCTACACAAATGTTTAGACCTCAATAAGGAAATTTGGAGTTTCGTTCAACGATACTTTCTTATGGGCTCAGAGAGTACAGGTGAGGGAGGAAAGGCAACCTCACCCGCACAGCTTCTGAGTCTCATTTTACCTATTTGCGGCAGTGTGTGTCCCCATAGGGCTTCCGAACCTCCCCCAAACAGTCTTCCGGGAATGATCATCCATTTATAATCGTCAATTTCTACTTAAAATTGGGACTAATTCGATTATTAAGCACGTTAGTCCATCTACAGTATATCCTGAACATTTTCATAATATTTCTATTTCTTGTTATTTATTTTTTTATCTGCAAAATAATGCATCAAACAACAATTAAAGGCAATTTGTGCAATCCTCTAATTACAGAAAAAGTAAATATCTTTCGATCTATACGTATTTCAAATCTGTAGCGCTTGTAAAAAAAAAGTTTTTAAATCATTATTAGGTTACAACCGAGCTTTGATTCCTTTATATATCGCAATAACTAGAAAGAAAATTTACAAAGTGCAATGTTTTTTAAAATCTACATTTTATGGAGAATATTTTGTATTAGTCTACTTATTAATAAAAGCTATTAATAAAAGCCCCAGCAATTCCAAGATTTGTTGAGAAAAAAATGTAAAAATAAAAGCTATTTTCTCCCCGATCTTTAATTGCAAAAAGAAAGAAAAATATTATGAAAATGTTCAGGATACATCTAGACGGACTACCGTGCTTAAAGGGAGTGTTCGCGAAAAATGAAAGGGGGTATAGGCTTAATGCGATAAAAAAGCGCTTTTGATCGCTTCTAATCTTACTTCTGTCGCGTCTATAAGGAGAAAATTGTTAAAAACAACTAATACCGAAGAACGTAGTATCCATACAAATCCAGAAAGATGCAACATACGACTTAGACCGTAAAAAATCTATTTAATTTCAAACAAATCATTCAGATACTAAACCCTATTGTCATCGATTATCTTTCGCCACATTTGTATATAGTTGATTTTTCATAATATGTTTTATTACATTTGAGTTGGGGGTTCCTAGTTTAGTTCTTTGAATACAGTGAGATCCAGAAGGCAATGTCAAGATTGTCATCTTATTTCTTTTTCGCTGTTGTCAAGAGTTTTGTAATTTGTATCATTTCTAAAAGACAAAATCTTCTAACCATATTCAGAAATACAATTACAATTTACAAAATTCTTGGTTTACGAAGATGAAAATCATTCAACATTTTTCTGGATATTACTGTATTATTATATTTCTGGATATTATTGTATTATTGTATTTCTGGATATTACTTTATTATCATATTTCTGGATATTACTGTATTATCATATTTCTGGATATTACTGTATTATCATGCATGGCAAATATCCGACAATCTATGTTTCTATTTCTCCATCAACTAGTGAGAGGACCACACCAAGGACAGAAATCAAAACCAGCTTGTTTGATTTTGATGACAATGATGATGATGATGATGATGACTTCTTTCAAAACCTAAGTTTATCAAAACATGCAAGTGCTCCTTTATCAAATCTGGAAACTACTATTGAAGAAAACGAAAAAGTGAAAAATGTTTATGATGATGCAGAAGAATCCAAAACTGAGGAAAAAACTGAATTTACAGATGGAAAACATTTTAAGGATGAAGAAAACAGAACGGATATAAAAAGGTTCGTAGAAGACGATAAAGACGACTTTATAGTAAGTTTTGATTGCTTACAAAAAAAATAGTTTACAGGTACGACACGAAATCAAAGAGACGCTTTTTGATGAACAGCTTCAAGAGAAGCTTTTTGATGGACAGCTTCAAGATACATTTTTTGATGGACAGCTTCAAGAGAAGCTTTTTGATGGAAAGCTTGAAGAGAAGCTTTTTGATAGACAGCTTCTCTTTGTTTCCATGTTTATGTGTATTAATTCTTTTTAAAGGCTTGATAAGAATCAAAATAAATCAATGTCGTCTGCATTGCATTGAAATATGCGACGACGACACGCGACTGTACAAATATTTAATCAAGCAAGATTTTATTTGAATTATTTTTTCATTGATAGTTTGATGGATTCAGAACAAGATGAAGTTACAGAATTCAAGTTTCCGGAGGTAAAAAAAGACAACATATAAAAAATTATTTGAAATTAAAAAAAGCTAAAAATTGCAAAAGAAACTTTACAACTGAAAAAAGTTTAATTTCAAAGTTAAAGGGACTATATGCGTAGTTTGTAATTGCAAAAATAGCAATGCACGATTTACAATTCTGTATACCATTGAAAGTATTGTCTGATCAATTACGAATTAGATAATATTTATGACTTTGTTTATTTAAACCGTTTTTTATTTGTGGTTTCTCTGCATAAAGTTGACTTGAGAAATAACCACTTTTCGAGTAAAAAACGACTTTCTCTTCCACATTTTTGATCAGATTAAAGTTTCAAGGGTACCGTTGTAAATCGGGCATTGCTATTTTTGCAATGAGGCTAACTTTTAATCACGCTTACAGACCATTTAAGATAAAAAATGTTAAAAATATTTGTGCTAGAACTTGGTTCCTATATTAGAGAGTGTAACCAAGCAACGAGTACAAATTCCCAGAGGGAGAAAACCCCAGTCAAGGTTAGAAATTAAAAATATGCAAAATGGAAAATTAATTTAATTTGTTTAGAACTAACAGAAGGAATATTTCGGCTCCACTGAACTATATGGACGGAAAGGAAATTTATAATACATTTCTTATTTACATTTATTAACTTATTCTGTTCTTTTTTTACTTGTTTTCCCTGAATAAATGGATTATGTACAATGTACAGAGAGAACCAACAAATTTTGGAACAGGAAATGACATTAAAGAATCCTTAAAGTGTACTTGATGTTGTTACAAAGCAAAAAGGGATACTTGAAAATCAACTATTTAAGTGAAATTACACGGTTGTTGTCTCTCATTTACATCAGACCATAATTGGACACTTAACGTCGTCTATTCCAGAGTTTTCTGGTTCTCACAGTACATAAAATGTAAAAAAAACATTAATTGATTAATCAAAACATGTATTGTTTACACTTTCCGCAGAACATCGATGAAATTTATGGAAACTCTTTTATTTCTTCAAAGGAGGAGATTCTTAACGATCTTGATCCGACAGATGTTGGGTTAGTCGTGGAAAAAGAGAAAGCTTTTCCTACTCCGCAATTTTTGGACATGGTGGATAATCTCTCCGAGTCCGATCTGTTCATGTCGAAATCTCCTCCTCCGCTTACAAAAATGAAACCAGATTCAAAATCTATATTTGACGACTACTCCTCGGATGATTCTGACGACATTTTTGCAAATCTTTGATGATGAAATACAACCTAATAATGAACTCCTAATTTTAATTTGTTCACATTTATAGTAGTTAAAGACAAATAAAGTAGATTTTATAAAGTACATTTACCACTTTTTTGTACTGCTTTTGAAATCATTTGTGCACCATGAGGGAGGGACGGCAAACCACACCATTTTTTCGTCCGACTACAAGTGACCACAAAATTACGTCCGACCACACCTTTCATCGATTGGCATTGTTTAAATTAATTTTTCTTCTTCAGTACTTTACATTATTCGAAATTTGAGCCACGTCATGTTTTTTAGAATATGTTATCCTGTTTTATTATAAAGAACATCTTATGAAGGAACAAGGCATGCAATAATTTAAAGTTTTTTTTTCAGAATATATTTCAGTCACGTATGGATATTAAAAAATATGTTACACATAAATGGAAGCTCTAAATGTGCTCAGTGGTTTTTAATGATAATATCGTCATAAAAATATCACATTTCTTCAATAAAAATGTAGATTTATTCGTCATGTAAATTCGTAATAATTGTCTAGATTTTTATTTTCATTTAACAGAGCTGAAAACTTCAGAATTGTAAATATTGAAATCAATGTTTAAAATCTTCATTTTATTGATCTCCAGATTAATTTAATCTTTAGCTTGTATACGGAAAAGTGTGTAAAATTCAACCAATCAGAACTTCAGAAGCCGAGAAATTTTCAAATATTGCGCACCATTTAATTAGAGAACTCCCATTGATCGGATTCCGATAGGGATATTCAAGTAGAGGGGAAAAAGGCTGATTAAGCAGAAATCAAAAGTGTCCACAGAGGATACTCACTGATGCAATATGTTTTAACGGAATCCAATTCTAAAGTTTCAGCTCAATACACAATTTGTATCTCACTATTTATGCATGAAAACAGACAATACAAACTTAATGCGCTTTACCCCGGAATTCTGGCTTTTTTTTGAAAAAATAAATAAATTTTGAGGGTTCGACAAGTTAAAACATATTTCCAAAAAAAATGAAGAGATCAGATTCAGATTATGTAAAAAATGATTTAGAAATTGTTTACAAAATCCAATACATGAACCATAACAATAGTTGATTCCTGAAATAAAGGTTCACTCCACTGGATGTGGGGTTTTCGACGTTTAAATCTCCATACATATTCACAAGAAAAGTTCGAACATCACTGAGTGAGAATGATCCATTTTTGTTATAACAGAGGGGACAGGACTCGATAGACGGAAACACTTCTTTTGAAAAATGAGGGTCCTCTGTGGCTTGATTCTTCAATCTTTAAAAAATGTCATTAAAAATTTTACAAATATCTGTTGCATTTTTCTTCAGATTCTTATAGGGAGTTGATGCAGTATTGTAGAGACACTTTTTGGGATTCATTTAAGACCAATCAGACGTTTTACGGTGCATATTTGTTCAGCAAGAGCGCAAAATCAATTTTTAAAATCCTCATAGATTGTTCATTTTACAGGGATGTTAAACCGAAAAAAGTCTGATAGGTCAAAAATGAATCCAAAAAAATTTCTCTACAGTGAAACCCTTAATAACGAATACATCGGAAGAATTTATCAAATGTCGTTTTGACAATTTTCCAATGAGTTTTATACTATTTTACGTAAATTTCAGTATTTGCGAAAATAAATAAATAGCCATGAATATGCGGGAACAGTTTTAAAGAGTTCCATATAATCATTTAATTAAAAAACTAAATATCTGCAACATTCCATTATCAGAAAGTGAAGAATACGACATTTGATGAATTCTTTCGATGTATTCGTTATTAAGGGTTTCACTATACAATACTGTATTCTCAGCTCAACTACCATGTCTGGCCAGACACTTCCTTTAACGCTATTTTAGAATTAATAAGAAAACACACAAAAAATAAAGCGCATATTTTTATGTTTATTTTTTAAGGCACCTACCTTTCGTTAACGCTATTATGCTTCTCCCATAGATAAATAATCGCATCCTGATAAGATAAGTTTTAAAACAATAATTTAACTCCAATTTGTGAACGCCGCAAAATTTTTCTAATGTCAAGAACGACTAGTTAAAGTGATGAATCAATTTATATTTATGGGTTATAACTTTTTAAGCAAGCACCTGATATGTTGCGAGTTGATTGAATTCGTTCCCATCCGCAGTCATATTAACAAAATGTCTACTGCACTCAGTACAACTGTGTGTATATTAACAAGTCACAAATCCACAGTTAATAATTTGTAGTGAACTATCATGACGCAATCCAGTCTTTGCCACAAACATAAATTTTCTAATCCCTTTAGTCTTTATCTTTATTTTAACTTTGATTATTTGATCTAATTAAATTATAGTTTGAAATAAATATCTAAAGTACGTCTATGACATTTGGTTGCAAAGATAAAAAAAATGAGTTTGTGGCAAAGACGTAATTCTGTTATATGAAAAAATAATTGTAAAGAAAATATTTTTTTTCGCGTTCGCGACAAAAGATGCTTTAATTTGTTCAATATAAATTTGTATAATCTTGTGTTTGTTCATGGTTAATTAAAATAGATCTACACTAAAGTTTGGTCTACAGTGATAACCAGAAAACACTGAAATAAGAGTAATAAAGTGTATTTGATGTTGTTTCAAGGCAAAATATTATATTTTACTGGACACTTATTGAATCACTAATTTGGTTCAATGCCTGTTCACAATCCACTATTAATGTGTCTCATGCTCATTGGACTTATTAAAGTTATAACTCTAATAATATTCGTTTTCCTATTTCAGAGTTTTCTGGTTCTCACTGTAATATCTGACAAGTAACTTGTTTATTTCCTAAAGAAATGTTTAATGTACTGTAACATAGCTCTGAGTACAAGATCAGGTGAACCCCAGTCTTCCAAATATTGTGCTACAGTTAAACTGTGCCACAGCATCCATTGTCCACAGGGGTATCCTGAAAGGAATTCATGTTAAAGGGACTGTAAGCGTAATATCAAGTGGCCTTCCATTTATAGAGAGGCGTATCCGTTTTACAACGATACCCTTTAAACCTTTGTTTGTTAAAGGATTTCGTAGATATTCTTGTTTATATAGCGGGAAATTAAGCGTGAAAAAAACGCGCAAGTGTGCACTAGTAAGAAGTGTACACTGTACATACACTGTAACCTCAAGTTTCCCAGTGTGGCATTACATCATGGTTAGCCTTAAAAAATTAGTCTCTACGCGGTAACTGCACTCATTTTTCTGAATGTAAACAATAAAAAAAGATCAGAGGGAGAGGGAAGGAAACGGGATAGGAGGGAGGGTGGTGGTGGGGGGAATCAGAGGTAATAAACACGGAGCCCATCAACTTCTTGACTTGAAACCTGCAGTTCTCTTCTCCCTAAACCGAAAGAATATTCATATTTTAACCCAACCCAGTGTCAACAACAATGATGCGACTTTAAAATGAGGTATCAAATCTACCCCTCCCTCCGCGGAAAACGCGTTTTGTGTTCTGAATCTATTTAATATTTAAATATTTATTTCATGGTAATTTCCTACCGAACGATTTTAGGACCTAACCCTAAAATAATGTAAAATAAATTGTATTAACTCGTGTTGAAAAATAGGTGAAATGAGTGTCATGTTGCAAACATCATTTATAGGACGGACCTCCTCCTAAAGTTATGATAGAACAAATTATTCTAATCTGAACGTTTGTTAAGTTTGATTAAAAATTACAATATATGTAAGCGTCCATTTGTTGGTATACAGGAGAAAAGTTAGATATATTATCATAAATAAAGCATTTCTCTTTAATTTAAATTTCATTAATATCTTTTTAACTGAAGATGTTTCGATTTAAGATAAATGTTTAATTTGACTCGTTGTTTACATTAAAAAATGAGCGCGGTTGCCGCGACAATTCTGTTGCGTAAGAGACTATGATCATTTTTTAACGATGACCAAAAAGTAACGCCACACCGGCACTCGATCTTCAGCTATACAAATGAGAGTGTCTACTGTCTACCTCATCGTTGTCCGGACGAAGGTTTAAAGGGTACAGTTGTGAATCGGACATGCTCTCCAGAAATGGTAGGTCACTTGAAATTACGCTTACAGTCCTTTTTTAATTCACGAATGAAATGGTAAAAGTAAAACCTAAAAAGAGCGAAATTTAGAATAGAGAAAAAAATGAAATTATTAATTGTTTAACAAACTCTGATTTTCCAATCCCTATATCTGTGCAGTGTGCAACCCAATGTCTTAGACCTTAAGATACTTTAAACTTTGAAATCTGTTGGATCTAATAATATAAGTCTGAAATATTAAAGGTTCACGCCATCATCTTGCACAGGTATAGTTATAAGAAAACCTTATTTTTTTTGCAAAGACTCAATATTTTAGATTTCATATTTATGTGTACTGTATGGTATTCTATGACTTTTATCGGTGGCAATTCTCAATAAAATCCACGAATAATAGTTAATCAGTAAAATTTAATTTGTAACAATTGTAAGACGGGATTGTGAAGAGTTACAAATAACGCTTTAAACTTGAAATAATCCTAATCCTACAGTGATAAACAGAATAGGAAGACGACATTATAGCAATTCTGAACAGTATTTGATGTTGTTAAAAAGCAAATAGCTTTACTAGTAAGTTATCAAATCACTTACTATTAAGTGAAATGGGTCTGTTAACACTGCACAATTGCTGTGTCTCAAGTTCATTCGACTCTTTAAAGTCAAAACTCGAGTCTGAAAGTCGACTTCCTTTTTTATAGTTTTCTGATTCTCATTGTATAACTTCTAAAATAATTTTGAACTAAGTTACCTCGAAACTGTGGTTCAGATCCTTTACATGATTTCCATGAGGCTCTCTCATAAAATCCATCCCAGCTTCCAACTAGAGTTCGCAGATTCTCTAAAATGAAAATAATGAAGAAAACTAAATTAATTTTTAATTTTTCATATACAATGGTTTAGCTAATTTAATCACCTAAAACTTTTGATTCTTGAAGGAATGTGAGCTGCTCTAGAATTGGATAAAGTACTGAGGTCTGGGGAAAGAAATCAACCAGAATTTGTACAAAATCCTTTAGTGCGATAAACCTTTCACCACTTATTTCTCCTGAAAAATCATTAAAAACTATCAACATACATATATCCATAAAAATGATTATAAAAAGAAGATGAATTGTTCAAAATTACTTAAAACTAAAAAATAATAGTCAGATAAGATAAATATTAACTAAGAAATAAAAGAAAATAATTAGAAATAAAGTAAATAATTAAAATCAATTTCAAAACCTTAATAAAATATATTTTTTATGTATTTACCTTTCATGGGAACTTCATGAAGTAGAGCGTAGACAACAGTTTTTTCCAGATCTGCTAAGCTAAAAGTATAAACCTGATTTAAGATTCTTTTTTACTTATATTTTTACTATCTGAAGTGCCCGGCGTTGCCCGTTAAATTTTTTTATTATCTAATTTTGAAAAAAATTCAATTTATAAAAATAGCTTATGTTACCCCCCGGGCATCCATGGGTTCCCTAAAAAAATGCAGCCTATCTAGCTGAAGTGCCCGGCGTTGCCCGTTAAATTTTGAATATCGATTGGAAAAAAATTTCGATTTTTTTAACCCTATGTTACCCCCAGGATACTCAAGGGTTTCTTTAAAAAAAATTCAGCCCATTTGGTCTAGCCGTTTGGCCAGCTAAAGCTAACATATAAATATATATGTATATTATTATAGGTTGGTGGGGGAATCAGAGGTAATAA